AAGTTGCAGATCTCTGCTCCAATATGATGTATTTTATATCTACATGTGTAATAATTTTACTCGTAAGATATTCGAAAAGATATAATCTTGTAAAGTAATAGGTATGAGTATTTAACACATATCATAAAAATAAATAAGTATAGCGTGATGTCTACTTTAAATCATTAAGTGCTATTATCATCTTATCCTTGGCGGCCATGACGAGCCTGTTAACTAGAGTATTTTCAGTAGGATTCATGGTTTTTATTTCATGTTCCAAAATTAGCTGCGTTTTAGAAGGTTAATAATATTCTTTAGTCATTACCAAATTATTATGAATTACTATGCTATATGTATAATATCTGTATACTTGAGATAATAGATCAAGTATGAAGAAACTGACCTTTGATAACAAAGTATGTATTTCCATCTCTGCTACGCGTTTTCCAATACACATACGTGGACCAAAACCAAATGGTAAATATTGAAATCGGCTATCGCTATTGTATCCTTGGCGATCGCTGCCTCTTAGCCATCTTTCCGGCATGTACTGGCTAGGATTGGGAAAAGCTGACTCGTCTCTGCCCATAACGTAACTGGCGATCATTACTAAAGTCTATTTTTATATATATTAAATGTTGCATTAGTAAACATTGTAAATAAAAGTCAACGTATAGAAAATAAATCTTGCAAATTATACATTAAAGGGTTTTCTGTATTTTATAAAGGAATATACCTTGGCTGGTACTTTATATCCGCTAAGTACAAGATCACTATCAGTAATTCGGGGTAAAGCAAAGGCAATTGGCTGAAGTCTACAGTAGTAAAAAAGAAGAAATGAGATTTTTAATTTGTACAAATGTACAAGACTGATTCAGTTAAAATATATATTATCGTTATCGAGTCACAGCTAATCTTACAATGAGGCATAAAATGATAGTTTTACTCTATTGATGGAACTCTAACCTCAATGTTTCTTTCACGCACGAACGTAAATATGGCATCTTTTCTATTAAACTTGTATCCGGTTCTTTACAATCTTCCATAACGCTACGAACCTCGCTTCGTAATTTATCTTGTACATGTGGATTTTTACCCAGATTATATAAAGTCCATAGAATAGTCGTTGCTGCCTAAATATATATTGTATAATATAATTAATCATCGTATTTAGATTGCACTTGAAATGCAACAAATTAATGAATATATTCTGCTATGTAACATATATATATATGTTATACATTAACTATTTTGATTATGAAATGCGAGCATTACTATAAAATGTCAGTATAAAATGTACAAATACAGTCCATGCGTATGGATGACTCCTACCTCTCTACTGGTATACGATGCTAAGCCAGATATGAACAATAAACGAATCACTACAAAAATACTGTGTTATTTAAATAGCTAAGTGCACTGTACTGTATATTATATACTGTAGGATTATATTTCTAGTAAGAGTTGTAGTGTTTTTATATTATGGATTAATATAAATACTATGAAAGTGATTTTCTAAATTGAATCAATGTTGAAGTAGCTAGTATTAATTTAGTTTCTGCACTATTTGTAAAATCGATATGCCCTTTGCTAAATTATTAACACTAACTTCTTATTTGGGTTACCACTAGTATTCTATCAATATTATTATTTATTATTTATTTATTTATTGTACCGTATCTACTCCGCCGAAAAGTAATTCCATCATGGCTACATTGGCTTCCCTTCGGCTTAATTTGCCGGTAGCAATAACATAAGTAAGAAAATCGACTCTATCGTTTGATCGAGTTATGTCATCATTGCTCGCAATCTTCTTTTCAATTTGTTTTCTTTTTTCTTCAATAATATCATCAGCGAATTCGGAAGCGATATCGCCCCATTTAATAAGTTCTTTCCAGTGCTTAGTAAAGATATACTTGAAAATGAAGGGAGGGATAGTCAATATTGCATTAGTGGCTTCAAAAATTTTGGTAATAGATTGATAGAACTGTTCAGTTTTAGGTTCGATTGGCTCTTTGAACATTCCCAAACGTTTTTCGAATAGAACAGTTGCAATAGCTAGATATAGATGGCATTTCGCAAATGCATTAGTGAGGGTAAACTATAAACGTCATGCACCTTATATTTTATATAACAGTGAATTGTATATCTTTGCATACTAGTGATGTAGATGTAAAATAGTTAAGATATATAAATTATGTAACAACGTTTTCTCGAGTAAATTAATTTATTTTTACTTACATTCTGTTGTATATTTATTGATTTCTTTCTCGATATCGGGTATAACACCGTCGTTACCACGACATCGTTTTAGACGTTGGATGAGATCATCGCAGACATCATTGATTCTATCAGAATAGCATGTAACTTCATGTGGTCTCATCATTTTCTTGTCCATCACACTACGAAATTTTTTCCATTCTTCATCTTTTCTAAAATAAGCATTTACACGCAATAGGTATGAGAATGTTGCTACTATCAGTTTATTGATGATGAAGATGTAGATACTAGCTAGATTCGATCATTCACCTGTAGTATACTAATAAATAAGTTGAGTTATTATGATAGTAGTGTCGAGTTATGAGATCGTGACCGACTTGGTGCAAGTATTAAGTGGATAGTAAGCGAACTAATTTTAAGTAACGATATTGACTCCAATATGTATCACCATACGACAGCATTGAAGTTATCTTTAATCGGTAGTACGGTAATAACTAGATCAGGTTGCTGTGATAGTAATGTGGTAAATGATTACGACGGTTTTGGTGCAAGTCAAGTATTAACTGGATAGCTAGCTAACCAATTTTTAAGTAACGATATTGAGTCCAGTATCATTCAGCATGCGACAGCGTTAATGTTATCTTCGTGCTAGTCAGTTAATATTATTCGATCCATATTTAGACACTGTTCTAATGCAGATTGGATCAATCTTATTCTAAAAATACTCAAATCTTTAGTTTACTGTAGATGGTAAGGTGTAGTTGTCTAGCAGTACAAATAATATTATTTTAGAATAAATATTAGGTAAGTTCTGAAGAAGTTCGAAGATGTAATAGGATATTAGAAATATCCAATCGAATTTAACTTACGAGAATGAGACTCCCAGGGATAAATTCCGTTTCTTTCGATACTCTACTAGTGGTGCAACTGGATTTCTATTAGGATATTTCCCTTCTGCACGTAACAATTTTTCTGCATCTTCTGATGTCGATACTACTATCATTCGATTATTGCCGATAGTCTCCTTATAGATTGGTCCATATTCTTGTCGTCTTTTTTCTGTCATTGCAAAAAAATTTTGAAATCCCCATCCATCATTTTTAGCATATTCTAATAGGGTGCCAATGAATGGTAAGCCCTTAGGTCCTGGGATTTGATCCATGGATTTAACATTAGACATCTGTGAGTGATCTTCTATTGGATTAGCAGAAGTTGTGGAATATCTCATTCCTAAACATAAAGCACTTCGACGGCAGGCTACTGCGGTAACCTGAGAGGGTTTTAAAATTCGATAAGTAGTGCAAGACATCATTGGTATCTAAGTTTATATAAATCTTGGCAGGAATCGCCCAATCGGTGTCAAGAATAAGGTAATACGTCCAATATATATAGATAGAAAGAGAGAGAGGAACAGAGAAATACTTTTAATTTAAGATGGAGAAGGTCAATATGAACTGAACTGAAATGATTTTACGGCCACTGTAAGCTAGAGATGTAGGCAAAGGATGAGATACCAATGGAAGACATGACTGTTGCAGACGTTTCTCCTGTGAGTTCTTCAATCAAGGATGGTTGAATTAGTTGATTGACATTAATGAACTATTCTATGTTAATAACTGGAACAATTTCTCCACAGTCAATAGAGAGATATTAGAGGAGGATTGAATGATACAGTACAGTATAATGATTGAAAAAGGTAGCGGTGCAGCCTCTCCAATTCGATTTTAGTGTTGCTAATGCAAACGTTGACTTGATTATGATCCGGTCTGTATCGAAGATAGTGTATAGAACAGGCGATAGAGTACAGTATAAATACTTTCGAGAGATTCAGGCCGGTACCGTAGAGTATTTTCTCTATCCGCTGTAGTCTATGGCTGTTCTTAGCAAGGACCAGGAAATGATCGAATTAGGTAACTGAAAATGTAGATGCCGACTATTTCGCTGGTTACTTCATGTAGTGATTTCAGCTAATAACAGTAGTTTTATCAAGGCAATACAGTGATAGTATGTAGTGTAGAACTGCATGTCTGAATAAAATATGTGCTCTATAAGGCCATTAGAAATATTCGAAGTTGGTAGCTTGGAACATCGGTATCTTTTATTAATTTGGATAAACAATTTAGATTGGAATGAGCTCAGATGTGGTATTACTAGTTTAATTTACTATTAATAAATAGAAGCTATAGTTTATAATATCAGATCTTTGAAAGGGACTACAATGTTAAAGCATTAATCTGCTTGCTAGTTTATTTTACGTTGTAAAAATCTTAATTTTACTCGTAAAATCTCGTCAGGTACTGGGTATGATTATTGAATACATACGACGTATCATAAAAACAAACATAGTATAATATCTACTTTAAATCATTAAGTGCTATCATCATTTTATCCTTGGCGGCCATGACAAGCCTATTAACAAGAGTATTTTCGGTAGGATTCATGGTTTTTATCTCATATTCCAAAATTAGCTGCGTTGTGTAAATAGAATGAATAATGTCCTTTAATCATCATCAAATCGTTATGTGTGCTATACGCGTATACTATATACGGTATTATCTCTATCCTTGAGGTAATAGGTTAAGTTTAAACAAGCTAACCTTTGATAGCAAAGTATGTATTTCCATCTCAGCTACGCGTTTTCCAAGACACATTCGTGGACCAAAACCAAATGGTAAATATTGAAATCGGCTCTCGCTATTGTATCCTTGGCGATCGCTGCCTCTTAACCATCTTTCCGGCATGTACTGGCTTGGATTGGGAAAAACTGACTCGTCTCTACCCATCACGTAATTTGCGATCAAAACATAAGTCTATTTTATACATAATTATATAAATAGATGTTGTATTAGGAAGCATCAGAAATAAATCGTTCGCAGCAGTCTACATTAAAAGGCTTTTCTTGTTCTATGAAGAAATAGACCTTGGCTGGTACTTTATATCCGCTAAGTACAAGGTCATTGCCAATGATTCGGGGCAGAGCAAAGGCAATTGGCTGAAGTCTATAATAGTTGAAAAATTTGACTTGAATATTTTTATACAAATGTACATGACTGATTTAGTTAAAATGCATCCTATAATAGTTAAAAATTTGACTTGAATATTTTTATACAAATGTACATGACTGATTTAGTTAAAATGCATCCTATGTTACTGTCATTGAATCACAAATTATCATACAACAAGGCGTAAAATTGATATCATAGTTTACCCTATTAATGGTACTCTAACCTCAATGTTTCTTTCACACACGAACGTAAATATGGCATCTTTTCTATCAAATTTGCATCTGGTTCTTTACTATCTTTCATAATACTACGAACCTCGCTTCGTAATTTGTCTTGTACGCGTGGATTTTTACCCAGATTATATAAAGTCCATAGAATAGTTGTTGCTGCCTAAATAATAAGTATACAGATATATATTTTACAGCATCATCATCGTATTGAGATTAAGATTTAAATGCAGCAAATTAATGAATATATTCTGCTATGTAATATAAACATTATATATTAGCCATTTTAGTTGAGAAATAACAGTATTACTGTACAATGTCAGTATCGAATGCACAAATACATGCATATGGATGACTCCTATCTCTCCACTAGTATATGATGCTGAGCTGGACATGTACAATAAACGAATTGCTACAGCGTAAAAATAATGTGTTATTATGTTTATGGTAACAGTTGTAGAGTTTTATGTTATGGATTAATATAAATACTATGCAAGTAATTTTCTAAATTGAATGAATGCTTAAGTAGCTAGTATTAATTTAGTTTCTGCACTATTTGTAAAACCTACACAACCCTTGCCAAATTATCGACAGTAACTTCTTATTTGGACGAGCACTAGCATTGTATCGTTATTCATTTTTATTATACCGTGTCTACTCCGCCGAAAAGTAATTCCATCATGGCTACATTGGCTTCACTTCGACTTAATTTACCCGTAGCAATAACATAAGTAAGAAAATCGACTCTATCGTCTGATCGAGTCATGTTATCATTGCTCGCAATCTTCTTTTCAATCTGTTTTCTTTTCTCTTCAACGATCTCATCAGCGAATTCGGTAGCGATATCGCTCCATTTAATAAGTTCTTTCCAATGCTTAGTAAAAATATACTTGAAAATGAAGGGAGGGACAGTCACTATTTCATTAGTAGCTTCTAAAACTTTGGTAAGAGATTGACAGAACTGTTCAGTTTTAGGTTCGATTGGCTCTTTGAACATTCCCAAACGTTTTTCGAAAAGAACAGTGGCAATAGCTAGATGTAAACGGTAGTTTACGAATAGATTAGTGAGGGTAAGCTATAGATGTCATGTTACTTCTATATCTTTGCGTGCTAGTAACATACGCGTAGACGTAAATTAATTCAGATATTGATTGTGTAAGAACGTTTTATCCTGTAAATCGATTGATTTTACTTACATTCTGTTGTATATTTATTAATTTCTTTCTCGATATCGGGTATAATGCCGTCGTTGCCACGACATCGTTTAAGACGTTGGATGAGATCATTGCTGACAACATTGATTCGATCGGAATAGCATGTTACTTCATGTGGTCTCATCATTTTCTTGTCCATCGCACTACGAAATTTTTTCCATTCTTCATCTTTTCTAAAATTAACATTTGCAAGCAGTAAGTATGAGAATGATGCTATTCTATTAATCAGTTTGTCAATGATGAAGATGTAGATATTAGATTAACTCGTTAATCGGCAGTAGGTGTAACTACAGTATGTTGATTTGTTATGACAATAATATTGTGGTAGAAAATCGTGACCGATTTGGTGCAAGTATTAAGTGGATAGCTAGCTAACCAATTTTAAGTAACAATATTGCGTCCAGTATGTATCATTGGGCGATAGTATTGAAGTTATCTTGCTATAGTTCTGTTAGCATTATGATTATTAATTTATCTATTTCGACACTGTTCTAATGCAGATTGGATCAATCACATTATCAAAATACGTATTGAGTCTTTAGTCTAAATCGTAAGGTGCAGTTGTCGAGCAGTACAGTACAACATTATCATTTAGAATAAATATTTGGTAAGTTCTGAAGAAGTTTGATTGTATCAAACTATGTTTGAAATATCCAATGGAATCTTACTTACGAGTGCGTGACTCCCAATGATAAATTACGTTTCTTTCGATACTCTGCTAGTGGTGCAATTGGATTTCTATTTGGATATTTCCCTTCTGCACGTAATATTATTTCTACATCTTGCGATGTCGACACAACTACAAACCGGTTATTACCGATATTCTCCTTATAGATTGGTCCATATTCTCGTCGTCTTTTTTGTGTCATGGCAAAAAAATTTTTAAATCCCCATCCATCATTTCTAGTATATTCCAATAGGGTGCCAATAAATGGTAAGCCCTTGGGTCCTGGGATTTGATCCATGGATTTGACATTGGGCATCTGTGAGTGAAGATGGACTGGATTGGCAGAAGTTGTGGAATATCTCATTGCTAAATATGAAGCAGTTGGATGGCATACTTGTGTAGTTACTTGAGAGGGCTTGAAAACTCGAAAAGTAGTGCAAGACATGACAGTTATTGGTATCCAAGTTCGTATTGATAATAAATTATATCATGCGCGTAGTCAACAACTGGTGTAAAGAATAAGATAACGCGTTTAATATATACTATATATAAAGAGAGAGAGAGAGAGATAGTTTGAATTCAAGATAGAAAAGACAATACGAGTATTCACTGGTTATGAATAAAAATGATGCTACGACCTCTGTAAGATAGAGATCTAGCCAAGGATGATGCCGGTAGAAGACTTGACAGTTACACAAGTTCCCCCTACGGCTCTCTAATTAAGGTTGGTTGACTGGCGATGATGAGTTCTATAGGACAAAGTATCGGAGATGGTGAATGACAAGATACATCCAAGAAGAGGTGCTACAGTAGGCTATTAGTAAGAAAAAAGACTATATAGTCTTGTATTTTTCCTTTTAATTTTTGATTTTATTGAATAGTGATTGTGGGTAGGCCTGGTGCGAAGTCTTCCCTGATGCCAACATTGGCTTTATGTTTATCATCCGATCGGTATGATAGACACGGTACAGAACAGGCGATGGAGTAATATGTCAACGCATTCAAGAGCTTGAGACATAGAGTTAAACGAAAAACAAACTCTATGGCTGGATATAATGTAAATCATTGCCATAATCGGTGCAATCATGCGAGAGACTACTGTGCTAAAATTAAAAAGAAAGAAAAATTCTTGAATGAAAGAGTCTCTGTCATCTTTATTTACCCGAGAGTGGGAGAGGCACCCCGGCACTGGTACCGGTACCGGTACCGATACCAGTACCAGTACCGAAGGATGAAAATGTGCAGGCCGGTTATTTGTTAGGTCACTTCAAGCGTAACGAACGTCTGTATTGCTTCACTATGATCCAAATGAGCTGACAGGCACACTATACTGCGCTGCAGTGATTTCTAGTAGTCCCTGCTTGTAGACTTGCTGTGTACCAGGGATATGTTTTAAGCTCTCAATCTGATGCTCAAAATTCTATCTTCAGCTCGTGTAGTTGATTCGAGTATGTATCACCCATGCTTTTACTCTACAGTGTGTGCCCAGTAGGCTCCATTTTCGTCTTGATTGCAGAATCGCCCTTTTCCCTCGTACTGTATAGTGCACAGGAGAGACCGTGGATAAGAGATCTCTGTATAAGGGTCTCTAAAAAAAAAGTTCTCTACTCTACACTTGCCTATACTGTGTACTAGATGATGTAGAACGTGAGTGGAGTCCGGTCCGGACCGAACCAGACCGTGATGACACTTCTCTGTCAACCAAGGGAGTATTTGACTACGCATGTCTACACCATACTACAGTCCGATGTACTGTACGTGTATACGGTACATTGTACTGTGCTTGGCTAGACGTGTTGCTGACTAGATAAACGGATGATGGCGATTGAAGGATACTGTCTAAAACAGTACCTCAGCTTCATACGGTACTATAGTGGAGTTCTTACCTTTCATCGTCGTCCTACTCCATCAACTCCACTCCAGCAAGTGAATGGTGAAGAAAGAGGCAGAAAGGAAAAAAGTGAAAGGAAATTGATTGCGTTTGGATCATTTAGGTGGAAAATGAAAGGTAAGACTGATGATAGCGCTTAGCTAGGCGTGATTGCTGTAGTGTAGGGAAAATACTCAACTTAGTGGTAATTGTCCATGGATATGGCATACTTTGTCGTTGACTTATGATGATGATTGATGTTGAATATTGCAGAAAAAGAGCCTTTAAACCCGATTGCCATTTTTACCAATAATGGAATCATCGATTACTGGTGAGTTTTGAAATGAGTAGGCTGTAAATAATAATATGATGATCAATTTATAGTTCCAAAGTGAGTCTATGATAATGGATGAATGATCCTTTTAGCCATTAAATCACGCTTAACCAATGAAATACGACATACAGCAATACACGGATAATTGCATTGCAGTAAGTCAACTTGTGATACCAACCTCTCTGGTGGTATTTATTATTACTCGATGCTGCATGGGTAAGCAAATCGACTAGTTCTTCTCCAATGATAGCATAGTCATCGCCAGTATAATGGACACTTTTACTACATGATGGACTGCATTACTGCATTTTGCCCTTACCATGATATCTTTTACTCAAATTTCCATCAATGCAATTGGTGTCTATGCGAACCTATCTGGAGGTATTCATTGTTACTCGATGCTGCATGGATAAGCAAATCGACTAGTTCTTCTCCAATCATAGCATAGTCATCGCCAGTATAATGGATACTTTTGCTAGATGATTGATTAAATTACTGTATTTTGCCCTTACTATGATATCTTTTACTCAAATTTCCATAAGTGCAATAGGTGTCCATGCGAACCTATCGGATAATATTCATTGTTACTCCATGCTGCATGGAAAAGCAAATCGAATAGTTCTTCTCCAATGATAGCATAGTCATCGCCAGTATAATGGACACTTTTACTACATGATGGACTGCATTACTGCATTTTGCCCTTACCATGATATCTTTTACTCAAATTTCCATAAATACGATTGGTGTCTATGTGAACCGATCTGGTGGTATTCATTGTTACTCGATGCTGCATGGATAAGCAAATCGACTAGTTCTTCTCCAATGATAGCATAGTCATCGCCAGTATAATGGATACTTTTACTAGATGATTGACTGAATTACTGCATTTTGCCCTTACCATGATATCTTTTACTCAAATTTCCATAAATGCAATTGGTGTCTATGCGAACCCAGATTCAACACGCCACATGTCGTTCGTTGTTCAGCAGTTCATAATTGTAAATGAAATCTTGTATTGGATGGGCTATGGCTGTTACCAATCATTATAATTATAATGAATTCAAAATTAGCTTCAATCTTGATTGCTTATCCTATCAGCCTTGGAGCCTTTCCTTTTTAATTGTGCAGTATCTTATGTTGCATGATCTATCGTCAAGAAGTAATTAAAATGCAGTAGGCAATCTCCATCCAATATCTTGCAATGACGGTACATGTAGATTAAAACACGAGATTGTATAGACGCGTACATTATACAGTACCTTACGGAATCGATTATGATTATTTATTATTTTGGTGTTTATGGTCAAGATAACATGAGGTATAATTCAAGTTCATGCTTATGTTGCACTGTACTTCCTTAATAGAAGGATAGTAGATTGCTTGAGCAGGGAATGTGCTCCAGATGTAGACTGTATCCAATTAGGAATTAATAATTAACATATAATGAAATCATTTCTACCTATGGTAAACAACAGTCATTGCCGTTCATGACTGCTAGTGAAGGACGATCTTCTATAGGATCGTAATACATTTCCGACGTCAAATCGACATCCAATCCATCAAAAATTCAGATATCTTGTACTACATTATTGTACCTAGGCATAGTGGATCAATGTACGGCTATTATCTCTTTTCTCTTTAGTAGTCGCTGTTATTACTGTACACTATAAAGAAATTAATTATCTTGATATGGACTGCAGGAAGTCTTAAGAGTATTGAAGGAAGCGATTTGAACGTGCAGTTATGATACTTTCACGCTGATTCAAAAATGCTACTGGAATTAATCGTTTCATTTCTTTCTATCTTTCAGTCGGACTTCCGTTAGCTGTATAGGTGGAACTGCAGCTGGAATCTTAGGCCTGACAGGATTTCGCGGTTTCTTATTCTACATGGTTGCTTCCTTATTTCTTTCAGTAGGTCCAACATAGTGAAACGGTGCTTTACGTAACTACCTAATTTGGTTACTTGTAATGCCTGTTCTGTACATAAATTGCTATAACGTCTGTTTAAAATGTTAGAGATTTCAATTGCAATTTTCGAAAGTGATGATTAAATCTATTGCTATACTGCACTCTGCTAAGTAAACGAATAAGTATTCACAGCAGATCTGACAGAAACACATGGTCTATTGGATATATTTCTGTTTACACGTCTAGTTTCATCTACAGTATTTCCTGTCTTTCATTAGTATTCCCTATCTTGTCAATTAATAATAAGTAGAATTAATTGAATAATATCTGCATCTTCACGCTAAATTACAATATAGATACTATGAGTACAAATAACAGTCAATACCCATGCTCTTGCCCTAAAGCTTGATTCTTTCGGATAAGATTAAATACTTTTACTGAGACTCTGTTTTAGTTCCATTGAGAATTAATTTAAGCATTGTACATATGATGACTAAAAATTGATTTTTGCTCTATTTTCGACGATAATACCATTACAATGTAGAATAGCTACGGAACGGATTGTTGTTGAGTTATTTATTAAATAGTTTTGTGCGTGTTCACAAAGTTCAATTAGAATATAGCAAGGTCTTTACACACTAATGTATACACATGTTGAACGCTTGATTTGTTGTACTTTTTACTTACAAGCAGGTGGATTAGTAAAGATAGCAAATAGTTATACCAGTATCTTGCACGATTTCTTCTAGGTATTAATTTATTTTAAAGCCGGAAAAGACTGGAATAAGTACTTTCAATCATCCTCGGAAGTTTGGACTAATGGCATCTTTAGCGGATTATTTGTATCCATTATCATATTGATAAACTTGCTTAATTCAATTTTATCAGTAGCTACGATTGCTGTGTCATTCCTTATTTGTTTGATGATAGCCATTCATTGTTACTACTACCATCTTTGTATAATTTTGTAATTTGAAACATAATATTTTCTTTTACAGTGATAGCGACTTTCTAATAATTACTATTTGCAATTCGGTAACTCATTTGTTTAGCTTAGTTGAAGTATGAATGTAAAAGAGCTAATATAATTGAATTTACTTTTAATCTATCACTCTGAACTGCTTTTAATATCGAGCCCTTCGGCGTATATCGATTCACACCATGACAAATCCTGTTTTCCTTAACACATTGATCAAAATGGTTAGACCTATGTCTTATTTTGGACGTATCCTTTCTATCTTAAAACCTAATGATACCTAAATAGACTTACTTTAGATGTAGTTAGATAAATAAAATTTTTACTGTGATAATTTGGATAAATTAGGCGATCTAGCGTTTTCATAGATTTAACGTTCAATTAGATTCAGTCTTGGTAGCATCGTGTTAGATAAGAGGAGACATTGTCCTAGTTAATTCACTAGCTCATTACGTAAAATTATCCAGCTTAGAGAAATTTTTTACAATTTTTTCTAGTATTAATTCTTTTCTAGGGTATAAAATTTCTAAACTTTTTATCAGATTCATTTATGGAATGGTACATGTCTACTGACGATCTTGGTTGGATTTAGGATAGTTTTTACAGTATTACTTAAAATCACATCATTAAAATCTAATTCGATGTAGCTGCCCTTACTGTATTGCGCATTGTAATAGTGGTCATAGGCATCATGTGGTAAACCTGTATAGTATGCATATACGAGTATCCTGAATAGTAGAGATAATCATGTGCAACAACGGTGATTTTAATATCCTTTAAGTTTATTCAAATCTCTGACTGGATGGTAGAGTTCGCTATTAAAAGCAGACTATAAGAAGTATATTCACTTTGATCGATTGATGATTCCTTTGTAATATATAACTATAACTTTAAATTTCTTCAGAGTTTTAATCTTACCTTTTCATTTGAAATAAATTATACAATATAAATTGTAAAACAAATCTAACAGAGCGTTTATACAAATTTCATGAAGAATTTACAAAATCGCAGTACAATATATTTCCTCGCAATTTGATAGTGTGAATTATTTCATCAATTACACAATAAAATTTTCCACAATACAGTAGCAAATAGTCTAATCTTAGACAAGATTTTAGTTTTCGCTATCAATAAATACAAGGATTTGCTAATACCATTTAAAGTGATTTAGCTACTGTTATATCGTTGCCATGTGACAAAAGCCGTCACTAATACACCAACAGCAATTAATCCGAGTGTATACTTGTTCTTCCAATCGGCTTGTTGAATATATTGGGTTATAGCGTCCTATTCGTAACGATAAAAATCGAAATGAGTATAGCAATTAAGCGTTGAAAGTTATTACCGTCAATCCAGAGGAACGGAAGAATTCGATTTAATGGCAAAAAAACGTACTAAATTTAATAATTTGTCTTAAAAGGTGATACATCACAGCAATTTTTAAAAACTGATACAATCGCAATGAGCATCATTGTAAGTCATAATCCATTGCTAGCCTTCATGAAAGAATATTATACCGCATCACGGCAAGAACAATACTATCCAAGTTAAAGTAAAACGAGAAATTGAATCCATTAAGTGTTCATAGCTACTGTACATAAATGTGCTGTAATGATATTTTAACATTGATATGTTGACGCACACCAACAGTCCGTCAGGACTGTTGTAATGAAAGACGCGATGGTTTTATTTTAAAGGGATTGAAGGGAATGGATCATTACACAATAAAAAGTTATTCTATTTACGTACCCAACCGCCAGATTCCGCAATCCAAAATGAACATATTTCGTAGATAAAACGCGCTATCCAACTAATAATCATCTCAACAATAGGGGATTCCGATAATACACGTATAGTTAAGCGATATCCAAAGAAGAAGAGGGTAATAATTCGTCCCCAGTTGAACTGCCCATCTTGAAATATTCTCATTGCTACGCGTCTAAATGTACTATAAGCTGTTGATGATGTAACATGTAGTTTATGAAGTAAACCATTTAGATGCGGATCAGAGTCTAATTCGTCTCCAATCTGTCGAATAGTCCTAGCTACTTGTATTGTTGGTGACGTCGGTTCAATTTGAAGTTCATTATGTTCCCTTGTTAATTGCGATATGCATCCTTGATCCTGACCATCTTTAGCTGATCTATCAGCAATGAAATCGAGAAATAATTTTTTGGATTCTGCGGCGATTTCCTTAAGATTTTCTTCTCGTCTTGGACATGACTGAGTAGTGGTGGTAGTTGTTGTAGTAGGTGTTGATGTAACAGATTTTACATGAGCCATAGCTATTAAGCATGAAGAAGAAAAAATTGTGGATATTGAACGAGTAATCAGTACATACGTGAAATCGGCCATACATTTAAATTTATTTGAAAACGTATCAATTTACTATTTGAAAAAAAAATGTCGAGTACTGTACTTGAAGGTTGTATGTACGCGTACATTAGTGATTCGGCGTATATTGCCGGCGCCAAGCAAAATCTACAGTCATTTATTTTTTTTTTTAGCCTACGATGAATCATACCGAGTGATCGATTGTTGTATTGGTGACATTTTTTTTCTAGTTTCTGACATTCAATTACTTAGGGCGTACAATTTTTGTACGTAATGGCGCAACTTGTAGTACTGTTGATGAACAATTACTAAACATTGATAACCTGGTGTAGCCTTCATTTTTTTTACAATTAAGGAAACAAAATAGGGGATTTAAATAATGCGGCAAAATGATCAGAAGTAGAAATTACCCATTTTACTAGAGCAGAGTTAATATGGCATTAGTGTTGATCAATGAATCAATTTCGTCCCACTTAGTCCTTTCTTAAAGTGTTGGGTTTAGGTATTCTGACTGGCAGTGTCGAATTTTAGAACGATAGGATCGATGGAGATGGCTATATAAAGTTACAAAGTTTACTTACCTCCTGAGAAAAGTTTTTGTATGGATGACGTAATGGTGTTAAAGAAAGACACTACATCATCGCCGCTTTATGCCACTTAATATATAGACTATAAATAGGCTGGCAAACAGTGGCTACGTAGTCACAATTTGTGGTTTAACATGATTGAATTGAATATGGTTAAAGGCTTATTAATTGATGACAACATGAGTACTATATTAACCAAACTACTTCTATATCTATTTACAAAGATAGAATGCATTCCAACACTAATAAGGTGATGCGCAGCTCATTACAGCTTGATACAGTGTTGATGAGCTAAGATGAAAATCGATCGGTATCGTATGATAGTGCTCTCTTATTAGAAAGGGTTTCATCTAGCTACTTACAGTATCATGACTGTGTTTTCATCAATCAGGTTAATTATGTTAGCAGAACGATACAAGACGACACTTTGAAATTTCCATGCGTTTCTAGTGTACAGTGATCGATACGCGTATTTACTATGTACGTGTAAATGTGTAACAGGAAAGAGTGAAAACATGTCGATCCGAAAGGCTCACGCTGTACAGTACTAGACATCAATTATGATGCAAATTTTGAAGGAAATACTGATGCTAACGCTAGCTGCAGTATTGGTAAATCCTTGCTTGCTAAAAAGAATAGAGGTAACGGTTTGAATTGGACCCTTTCATATCACTAAAAATAAAGTATTTTCTCACTTTGAATCAGCTAACAAAACCTTTTTTCTCTGTCAAGATAAACTGATCGCTATTTTTAGGCTGCAACAAAATAAACATGATCACTATCGATTACTACGCTATGGTGCAACTGCTACTACAGTACAATGAATTTCTGACTTTTCCGTTGAAAAATTAAAATCGATTGTCCGATATTTCAATCGGACCTACATCCATCCAAGCAATCTCCTGTACATACCTTTCCGTTGAGGTTGATGAAAAGTATTTTTTTTGCTTCTACGAATGCAGTACAAGTCTGAACTTGTGTCAACTTTTTGAATACGTTGCAGTCTTGGCTACAACAGCAAAGAGAAAAATAGCTTCAAAGTCCGACACCCAAATATGATCCTAAGTTGAATAGATGGATGTTGCTGTAGAATGGCTTGTATTCCAAGGGATAATTTTCCTGACAATGATGGAGAATTGAGCAAGATGGATGGAGAATGGAGTTGATGTAGAAAAGATGGACGACGATGACTAGCGTAAAGGCGTTTGGCGGGTTGGGTTCTATTTTTATTTCAAGACTACTCTGATACGCGTTGTGAGTCAACTTTCAGACCTGTCGCCTGTCGGTGCGGTCCAGTACGGTACGATACGGTCCAGTACGGTACGGTGTGGTACAGTACGGTACGGTACAGTACTGTACTTGCGAAAGAAGTTCACGCTGCCATTGTCCAATGACTGTGCAGTACTGCACACAGTGTACAGTACAGTACCAGCCAGCAAACAGAGTCTAGATACTGTACGGTATTTGATCTTGCGTACAGTACTGTACTGTACAGTACGCTCTAGAATTGACAGAATGATATCAGCAAAAACTAGATTAACAGCTTTAGTATGAGGAAAAAGAATGTCCAAAAATCTGGACACATTTTTCATACATAGCCGCATAAAATGTGTCCAGACTTTCCGGGCGTCCAAAAATCTAGACACACTTTTCATACAAAGCCAAATAAAATGTGTCCCGACTTTCCGGGCGTAAGAGTGTCCAAAAATCTGGACACATTTTTCATATACTGTATAGCCGAATAAAATGTGTCCTGACTTTCCGGGCGTAAGAGTGTCCAAAAATCTGGACACATTTTTCATACATAGCCGCATAAAATGTGTTCAGACTTTCCGGGCGTCCAAGAATCAGGATACATTTATCATACAAAGCCAAATAAAATATGTCCAGACATTCTGTACCAGATATAGATATAATACCAGTTAATAAAAAACCATGTCCAGAACAAGTGTTTGGAACATTCGACATTGTAATATAGAATGCAGTATAATTGGACTGACAAAAAACGATGTTCGAGATACAACAGTGCTTCAGTATGCAAACAATTCTTCCATTTTATTCATTTTGTTATGATTATAAATCGCCATTTTAATTATTGTCATGCAGGTTTCAAGTTGAATAGATCATTGGAGGCAGCAATTTCCACTGTATACGATGGTATAAAGGGCAGTTATCCTTTCCTAAGATGGAAACATTATTTGGGTCATCAATTATCTAACGTCGATGTTTGTCCATGACCTCCTTCCTTCCGATACTGTTTTATAGTGTAGAATAATAAATATGTATAAAATAGGATTAATTTATATGTTAAATACATATTAAATATATATTCAATAGGATTAATTTATTTTAAATAATAAATATATTCAATAGGAGTAATCTATACTAAATAATAAATAAATATATTTAATAGGATTAATTTATATTAATATTAGCGCTAATTTTGTGCTAAAATATCGACAGTGATCGATGAAAACATGATTTCAGCTAAGCTTCAGCTGCTATGTCCTTGTTTTCTTGTTTAAAAATGATTTCAATGATACTGAGTCGATATTCTCACAACCAGGATAGGAGATCCTTTGCAACTTACCAGAATCATGTCGCTTAAATAGGGTTCTTTGAAGTACAGTACTATACACGACAGTAGCGACGTTAGAATGAAACTGACTGTCATAGTACCCAATACCAAGGAGAGATATGGAAAGAAAAGGGTGACAATTATTCTGCACGTAATCTCTCCCATGGACATTATGCAGAGTACTGTATATCGAAAAGCTCAAATGCTGCACAATCATCCAGCAGCTGCTCCCTGCAGTTCCAAATCCGTAGTGTTGTCCTGGAATTCATGCAATAATCAACACTAAAATTCAATGTATTGATTGAACTAGCTCTGCAAAAGCCTTAATGTAACCTGCATGCAACATCCAACTCCAATCATTAAAACCGCGTGACTTTGACAAGGATGTGGATGAGGACATCATTGAACTATTTCCAAGGAATCAAGCGAATCATTCCATTCAATACGCGGCGGCATAGCAAGCTGAAATGGCATGAAAATCCGCTCAAACGATGCCTTATAACTTCGCCATTAGCGCTTACTGCTGAGTATATGTTTCAACAGTATTTGCATATTAAAGCACAGTATAGCGATTGCTTGCTACTATTTCAAGTTGGTGGATTTTACGAGTTATATAATCAAGATGCACATGCTGCAGCTGGAAAGACTGAATTATTCTTAAGCCACCATAAAAAAATGGGTAACAATACTTATGTTGATCTAGCTGGATTTCCTATCTACGCACTTGATGCATGGTTAGCGAAGTTGACTGGTCATGGCTTCCGTGTTGCTGTATGCAATCAAACTGATTCTAAAATTGACACTGGCCGCAACTCTAAATTAGTTCATCGACAGGTAACACAAGTGGTCACACCTGGCACCTTCATAAATCCTATGCAGGAAAATGCATCCTACTTGATGGCAGTTTGTCAAGGACCGGGTCATCAATTAGGTATCAGCTGGGTGGATATATCAACAGGTGATTTTCAACTGACAACCGTCAATGTAGGAAATCTTGGAGAGGAATTGGCCAGAATTAATCCAGTTGAGGTAAGAGGTTTAAAAAATAAAAATTAATTAAGTGCGTAATACTGGAATAGACCCTGGTCATCACTTGTGCTAGGTGGATTACGCTGTCTGTAACATCACAATGACACTTCTGCATTTTGCAAGTTTGATACATAGAAATCATATTGGTAGAGCAATCGATAGCATATTGGTAATGAGGATGCAAGTAGTAAATACATAAAGTAGGTTTTAACAGTGCTTAATTGATTCCATTAGATAATTTGTTATCAAGACATGCAAAATCTTTTAAACAAGTATTTCAACCAAAACGATTCAATGCAAGCTATCCCCTCCTTTGCCGGTAAATATGATCAGTTGTCGTTGCTCCCTGGATTTAGGCTAACACCATTGAAAGATAATGCCTTAGAAGACGATATATGGGCAACGATGCGTGACAATGGATTGAAGAATACACAAATTTCTAGCATAGAAGAGAGCACAATCAAGATGCTACTGAAATATTTAACTGATACGAGAGGCAGACACATCATTAAAACCCTTACCCCTAAGCACTACTCAATCGATGATCACATGTCTATCGATCCGGCTAGTCGAAAATCACTTGAACTGTTACAGCCACTCCATAACGATGCTTCAAGCGGTAGAGCGCGTACATTACTTCATATCATTGACAATACCGTTACTTCTGCTGGTAGAAGATATCTCAAAGCAGACTTGTCCTCACCTTTAACAGATATTACAAAAATTAATAAAAGGCTTGATGAAGTGACTTACTTTTACCATCATCTAACAATTACAAAATCTATTTGCGATATTTTAAAAACGTGTGGAGATATGGAGCGACTGGTGCAAGCATTTTCTACTAATATGGCAAATGTAGGGCATGTTATTAAATTGAGTCAAGTCCTACCTAATACCCAAATGTTACATCAGGTATTAGATGAAAATTTAACGAATGATCACAGTTTACGTGAACTCATCAATCAACTGCCACCAAGAAGTATCGACCGCCAGAGTTTAATAAAGTATTTACAAGGAATAGTCACTACTGACGATGATGAAACCAATTTTCCTGCAATTGGTGTGGATGATAAATGCGATCAAATTCGTTCAGAAATTAACGCACTACATCAACAAGTTGTAAGACTTAAAGATAATTTCATAAATTTGATGCCAAGTGGTAAATTAGAAATATACAAGGATCTTGGTTATGCATACAGTTTACCAAAAGCTGAGAGTAAAAATCTGCAGTCTACTTTTAATGATAGTAATGTAATGATGGTGAAGACAAAAGCCTCTCGAATATTATTTACTGATGAAAAATTGCAGTTGATTAACATTGAATTACGAAGAAACACTGCTAAACTTAACCAACGTAAGAATGAATTTTTACTCCATTTATTTAATAAAATAACATTGTCTATAGATTGGTTGAAAAGAATTGCTCAGGTTGTAGCGAGATTAGATGTAGCTTGCAGCTTAGCAATAGCTGCTAAAGATGGTAAATTCATTAGACCAACTTTCGACGATGAAGAAAATCAGTTATTTCAAGTTGTAGCCGGAAGGCACCCTGTCATTGAATCGACCACCTATGATTCGAGTTCTTATATACCAAATGACTGCAATTTGCGCCCTTCTGATCGCATTTGGTTACTTACTGGGCCTAACATGGCTGGTAAAAGTACTTACTTACGTCAAAATGCTATTATATCAATTTTGGCTCAAATTGGATCTTACGTTCCGGCCGATAAAGCTCATCTCAGTATTGTAGATCGACTATTTACGCGCATAGGAAGCTCTGATAGTATAATAGAAGGCAGATCAACGTTCATGACAGAAATGCTTGAAACTGCTTATTTTACTTCTCATGCTACCGAAAGGTCTCTCGTTATTCTGGACGAAATTGGTAAGAATTTGTTTTAAGTAAATGTTTGAGTTAATATACAAGGAGGAAAAAAGAAAATGATCTAATCTGCTATTTTATTTGAATATATTCTTCGGCTAGGTCGAGGTACTGCTATGTATGATGGTATGGCTATCGCCTGGGCTGTTATCGAATATCTACATGACATTGTTAAATGTCGGTGTTTAACAGCCACTCATTATCATCAGTTGAGTCGAATGGTCAATGACAACCTGTCATGCTCATCGTCATATCAAATGCTTACAGCTAGTAAGGGTGTCATTGATCAGAATTCGTTAACTCTTTTGCATAAAGTAGTACCAGGTCACTGTCAAAATTCGCTCGGGATTGAAATAGCGGATATGGCAGGTATCCCATCACCGATAATACTACGAGCTAAGGAATTGAGAGAGTCAAGAGCGAAAAGTTTGGACGTAGCGGAAGTATATGATAGTGTTGATAAAACTATGATAAATAATGAAAGAAAGGACCAAAATCAAGAGATAAAAATTGACGTAAGATCCATTGGAAGCGAATTAGTCCGTATTGGTAATGATTTATCCAATTCAGAAGCCTATCAAGCCGATTTTCTATCCTTAGCTAATACAATGACACCCGAAAAAGCAAGCATATTTTTACAAGACCTAAAGGATTTATTATCAAATGCATAATTATTTCATTTATATTCCGTTGCAGCATGTAACTAATCACCTTAAACTAACCATTGACTATCCACACTTAGAATACCTTAAATATTAAACTTATTACTCTAACAGATATAAAAGCAAAATTTTGCTGTATTCAGTTATACACTACCTCGATATGTAATGGACATCGTTAAAAGACGAATTTAAAAATGAAGACTATATTAAAATATACCCTAAATTATGTATATATACTAGATAGAAAATTTCTATATAACGTACACATCATTTTACTATAATAGAGACAATTATTATGGTAATCTACTGGTCATCCTCGATATGTTTTGACAATGTTGACAGTATCAATTTAGATTTCCTCTAGTCTATGTTTATGTAGCGCCCTATTTTGATCCATTATAACTATCTACATAAAGACCTAATTGCCGCACACGTATTATACGTATATCGATGATGTTTTAATGTAAATATTGAAAAGAAATTGTGCACTGATTCCTAAATTGTATACTCAAAATTGCATATTAGAATAAAAACAAAACAATAACATTACTGAAACTATTACTCTGCAACTTCAGCTTCATCTTTTTCCAATGGCTTTGGCTGATCTTCAATCTGAGTTTCATCAGCTTCATTATCAGTGTTGTTATTATTGTTATTATTATTTGTAGCTTTTAATTGATGCAAGCCAACAATATTTTCAGCAACTATTTTTTTGGCTTGCATTAATGCTGCCTTACTAGCTAGATGATATAAACGAAGGCGCAATTTAGACGTTTCAATGTCTGAAATTTCAACATTAGTTAAAACAAATATTTGATCGAAGATAATACTAGAACTTGAACGTTTAGCTCTAGTTTGAAAGCGCCTCGTTTTAGTTCCAACCAGTGCACCATGAACACTAACATAGCCTTTTAAAAGCTTCTCATCGTCAATTACAGCATCTTCTATCTTCACTACAAGTTGAGTAAGGGTTTCCTCATATGAAATTTTAAACTCAACATGAACTAAATTTTCTTCACTGGATAATTTATGTGTATAACTATTTAAGGCATAAGATCCGGTACGAGAAGCACCTGGAATATATGTGCTTAAACTTGCAGTTTCTACCCTACTAGGTGGTGGTGTGTGAGAAGAACTAAGATTACTTTGATCGATTGATCGATTATCGCCAGGTCCAGTGATTAACTTGCTATTTTCATTAGCCTTATCATCTTCATTATCGGACGGATGATCACTAGTATCATAATCATCACTATTTGGTGACTTATCCTTAGTAGCATCTAGCTTGCTAGAACGTTTCTTACGAACTTTTACACGAGGGCAAAATTTGGAAAATAACTTGACGATTAATTTCCATCTTTTATGTAGTATGCAATTTAAGAATAGTGTAGCTATTATCAATGATACCACTATCACCAGGCATAGTAGTGCGTTATTAGGAACTGTTATAGAAATGAAAGCAGACATATTAGCTCATTAAAGCAACATGAAAATAATAGCTAATCAACTCGTTATTTTGTACTTAAAGATTTAACAAGATAAAATAGCTAGGGCAATATAATGTTAACTTTACTTGATAAAAGTTTTCTTCAATTTCGTACAATATCAAATTATTATTATTACTTACTAATTTGTCCTTTTACCCTTTGGGGCATAAGGTTAATCGATTTAATTTTAAATCAATGATTAATAATTTCAAGGTCCAGTAATGGTTATAAATTATTATCCAAATAGGTAGTTTTTTACAGATTGTAGTAAATCGACATCTTTGAAATATGCTTCAATCACGGAAGCATTGACTTTTAATGATAGACATATGGTGACAACGAAAGATATTGAAAATAATTAGATTAAGATAGCCATGACTAAACGTATGTTTCTGCTTGTTACTTTAGCAACGATAACATTACTTTAGCTGTTATAGCCAACAAATATAGAAATCCTATTCTCACTTGAGAAGCTAGTTTAGTAGCTTAGTCAGCATTTTATAATTAGCATTCTAACACATCATATATAACAGCTCGACCATGGTAGTCAACTCGTAGTATATAACTAATTTAATTCTATATTTAATTCGATCTGGATGCCGATTATGCAATAAAATTTCAAATAAAAACAGATTCTATCTATGACGATAGTATCATACCAAAAATATCTAGCCTAAAACACATACAAATCTTTTTGATGACTAAATTGGGATTATTAATTATCTAGGATCGAATTTAAAATTATATCGAACACTATTCTACACTCCAAGACCCACAAAAAGCTCTAATATGCTGTTACAAAAGGGTTGGATTGCTATCTGTGCGTGATAATAATTAGCCAGTCATTATTCTGAATTGCTTAAAATTAAATGTTAATTACTGCTATTTTAATCTAATCTGAACACTATAAGTAGTGGTACTATCGCTATTATTTTCTATAGCTTTTCTTTTTCATTCATAATCATATAATTAACTTTTCTTGCCACTTGGTTCCATTTTCTGAGGGTGTTTTGTGCATTAACTGCAGTTTAGAATAGTCAAAATATTTTTTGGCCAGGCTTCAACGAAGTATAGTGAGAACTGAGTCTAAATTACTTAGATCTGCAACGGAAACACACAGCGCAATATATTAATTATGTAATTGTAATTAATGATTAAGTACGCAAGAACGGCTAGTATAGTGAGATGTGGGAATATTTTAAGGCTAAATCGGCTTTTATACATAAATTTTCTTTCATAAAGTAGAAAAATTTATAGAATATTCATACTATGGTAATACACGTAGATATACTTAGTTGTGTTATGATTAAATTTCATTGCCAAAGGCTAACTATTTGCTGCATCCTATAAGCACGCAACCTTAAGATTTTATTACAAGCGATAGTTTGGTAACTCTTCTGCTAATACAGTACCATAATATCTCGATGCATAAACTTAGAAGAGTATTATATATAATGTGGAAATAGATAGAGAGCTTAGATAACAAGTATTACGGATTTAGATATGAATAAAACAGTTTCGAATTCGGTATATCTGTTTTGCCTTGTAATCAGTCTTGTTAGTTAAATCAAAATGTATCCCAGTCTACGCGTATATGCAATAATATGCAATAGATTACAAGATGTAAAATTTGGTTAACTCACTTAATCCGAGATGTCTATTCTAACAAGAATAAGGTAAAAGTGACGACTGACATACGACGCACTATTCCAAATATATTGATACAGCTCTATCTCAAGATATTGCGCAGATTAATTGCCACTATTTAAAAAATTTGCATGCTAACATATATCTCAGAGGTTGCTAGTAAAGGGATGCTAGTAAGAGGCACATAGTAAAGTTGCAATTTCATTGATACTTATATTAAAATCTATTCATCAATACATGTTCATACCAATCTCGCGCTTTCCTCCACTATCATTTGCGTAGTATCCATACGAAATTTGACAATATCATAGAGATTTGATATACAATTTTAATTTTATTACAAAGTTAAACCACGCACGTCAAGTTATTCAAGTTCATGACTGTGCACTAATGTTCCAATAAGGAATATAAAATTTTTAAAGTATTTTTATATTGAAGATCATTAATCGATACAAACAAAATTTTAATGACCAAAATTCTCTCGCTTTACTATAAAATTAAAAATTTGAAAAGTAAATTCATACGGCAAGTTTTAGCCACAAGATTGTCTCCATACTGGAGAAGTTGGCATAAAAACAATCTTTACATCATAATGTTTAGACAAAAAAGATATAAAGTAGAGAGAAGGACGTAGTATTTAATATGTATTGATCTTTAAATAATATCCGTATTGCTGATACTATAATTACTGATTTTCAATATATGACAGAAATTAACATTAAGTTACTGGGCGATTATAGACCAAAATCAAAAATGTTTGATAATAAATATATCATGGTTAATGAACAAGTCATTTCATATAAATTCAAAAAAAGGAACAGATACGCTTCTGCAATTTGATTGAATTTTTTAGAGAACTTTCATATAACGCGACCGAAAAAGTCGTATTTGCATTAGCAGATAGATATAAGATAGACATTTACTAGCAATGACAAAACCGAACCGAATCATCTTGTGAGGTTAATAGATCAAGAATCTTCATAACTTTAGAAAATTAAGATTTATTGAACAAAACCTCGTTTACGAAGGTACAACGTAATCGATTAGCTGAGGATCTCTAACGAGAAAGAACTATCTTACTATACCAAACTACCCGCTTATATACTTTTTCGCGTTTACAGTCTTAGCACCTTACTTATTACACACTTCAGTGTTGGTATCTTAATGCAGGATAGTTTACACCTTTCATGTGAAGCTCTAGTTTGAGCACTGTAGGGCTCCTCTTCAAAAGGACTAGTGCAAACTCCCGTCGCTTTACTGACGGTTTACGATAATGTGCTCATTTAACAGAGGTTCAGTAACTATCAGATCGCTGACTAACGAACATTATCCTCTTAGAAATACTTTTTGTAATATGATATATAGCAATCAAAAATAACCGGAGAGAGTATCTATCACGTGTTGAACACAATATCTACGGTAGACATTACTAAATATATCATCAACTTAGAATATAATATTACACTGTCTTACACATCTTTAGGTACAGTATCAAATATTGGAGTTAACTGTACTGTTTATATCTATCCTTTACGAGTTAAGCCTTTCACATAATAAATCTATTCTTTTAGTATTAATTAATCGATCATTTAGGTACGTCGAATAAAACTCAACGCCAAAATTGAACCGAACACAAGAGCTATTGCTATCAAAGAATTCCTTCGGAATGGTGATATTTGGCTCTGGACGAACGGAATTTGCATTATGTTCTCGTAGACGGTATCCTGTTATTAATCCAAAAATTCAAAGTTAGGTGATATTAACAGTATTGTTAACACTTCTACCCAAATTAGGTATTATTGTCATCATTCAAAGAATTTATCACTATGGCAAGAGTAATGGCAGTATTGTAGCTACTGATATCAGGGATAATGTGCAGATAGTCTGTTATTACCCAGGTTCCATCCCAGAATTTATCCATTACATAGTTTATGGCAATGTGAATGATTGTTTTTGTAACTTCTCTTAAAAGATGCTTGAAGTCAAAATTATCCCATCGACGACAAACTAGTTGATACCCGAAATAGAATAGTACAACTAGGCGTCCAAACGAATTATTTCGGTTAGAATGAAGCACATGATCAACAATCCATTGGTATCTTTGGGTAATTTCTTGAATACTTAGATGCTATATTTAAAAATAGAAAGAAAAATGATGTCAACATGATACTAACATCTGCAAAATTTTCTAAGCTTTGATAATGCAATATTAATCCAAGTCGTAGATCAGTTAATCTCATTTTGCACATAGTTACATAGAAGATATTTGCTGATTTAATTAACGTAATTTTGATATTATAATAATAATAATACAGCATAGTATCAGTTTATTAGATTTGAAAGCTACAATTTTAAAGATAACAGACGATAATTCAAAAGGTATGTTTTAATTAATACTACTAGTCATTTATCATATGAATATGTGCTTTAGTAAAGTAAACACGGACTGAATAAATTTGGGTTGAGTGCAATAATAATGCAATTGCTGTCTTCAGTTCTATCGAAATCATATCCTTTGGGCTAATTTCTCATTCAGAAGTAACTTAAACTGCCTAATTTTTTATTAAGTCTTGGTAGTATATTTTCGTGCCCTTCACTCTATTCTTACGAATTAGAAAAGAACGGCAATGTAAACAACATTCTTAATTAAATGAAACATTCTCTGCAATATCACTTCGTAGATTAGTTTGTTGCAATAAAGAATCGATTCGTAGCTAAACCCTTGAGTGCTTGAAGTACTGTACATTTAAAGTCTGGTAAAGACTTTCATTTACTCGTCCATTTATTGCAATCAAAGAATCGATTTACAGCTAATTTAGTATTTAAAGCACTTTATCATTATGTTTTCTGTCCAACAATCCTTCTAGGTAAAAACGCTAAACGCCTCAGCTCTTTTAAGTTGCCTGCAGGAACAAAAATGATGGGAATGGCATCTTTAATTAACGCACTACTGGATATTACAGGGTGATTTCCTCAGAGTTGATTAATGGCGGGACTAATTAACTTACTGGGGAATCAAACTGTCTCTGCGGCACCTTTCAATGCAAACGGAGTACCATCAGTGCTCCATATAATCCTATTGAAGGGCCAAAAATAATCAATATGATCAACGTTGGACATACATGTTGATGGAGCATGATTTGTTTTTACGTTGCCTGTTGAATTAAAGACGCGAGTGATCATTTACTGACGGATGTCTTGAATGCGATAGTAAACAGTATGATTTCTTCAAAGTTGCCATCTTTTTTTATCTTGCAAATGGGAACTACTATCTGAATGGCAGGGATTTCAAATTGTACAGTAGTCACGATTGCCTGAACGAACTTTATGGAATGCAATTTGATAAATAGTAACATGTACGTTGGCTCCAAATCATCTCGATACCATCATGTCAATACAGAGGATATTTAAGGTTTAAATCGTCATGCCATGATTATGATATTGATTGCAGGGGAAGTAGACACAACCGTGAACAGTAGGACTGGCTAACTTGACTAAACAACTCGTGTCAGCTGGAGTAAAATAAACAATTGACTTGTCACTGAGCGTGCATGCCCAACGTGTAATAATTTCACTTTTAAGAAACGACTTTGGCAAGATTGTCCAACCATACTGTAGTCTAGACTGTACAGTATTGCTGAAAACGAAACTTTACGCCGAACGAATAATAATTTAGCGTTACTCTTCAAATTATCGACTATAAAATTTTTTTCGAAATTACTTTAGCTAAAATCTGGCGAAGGCTGGTTTAAGAGGGGGAAGTGGAGGAAATTCGGATGCCTCAATCTAATTCTTTATAGTGGATATTTGACCAACACACCCTACCGTATAGAGTCCTTAAATGGAGTGAAAACGCAACCCGAAATGAATGCAATCGCTTTCCAAAGACTGCATCACTACAGAAATTCTTCAGGCGAATCCCGCCCTGGAGTCGGGTTGACTTTTAACGACACTGCTGTATGATTAAAGAAGGAAATGATCGATAATCAAGTGTTGAACCGAACCTTTCTCAGATCTAATAGCACACTTACCTTCATGACCAGGATGATGGTGTAATCAGTACTGTACAGTACAGTAGTAGCATAGGTTTATGGATCAAGCATTTTCCACTTGACACATTTCTTAGCAACCTCTCTCTCGGCTGTCTATTTCATGACTACTGATTGCCCAATGCTATTGTATAATTGAAGAAGGAAATGATGGATATACAGTATATTCAAGCCTTGATGGGTAGGATGACCTTTTCGGCAGTGGACATTTCATCACATCTTGTCTGATGTCGTCTAGGGTAGCAATACTAAAAGGTAGATGGATCAAGTATTTTCCAGTTATCCATCCTTCTCAAAGGGATAGCAATTAGCTTAGGCAATTACTTTTTACTTCTATTCATGAATGGATTATTCTGCCCAGTCCATTCCCCTTGATGGGCAGGATGACATTTTGAACAGTAAACAAGTCATGACCACTTGTAGCATGTCGTCTAGTGTAGCAATACTACAAAGTGGATGGATCAAGCATTTTCCACTTGTTCATCCATTTCAAGGGGATAACGATTAGCGAAGGCAATTACTTTTCACTTGTATTAATTTGTCTATTCTAAGCTTAATTACCAATGTTTGATCGATATAATCGTGAGTGACACTTCGAAGGTCTTCTATATTATCTCCAAAGTTAATGAGTAATTGTGCCACATCAGCAGGTCCACGGCCTAAATCGGTCTCGTCTCCGTTGACTTCAATGTAATTCTCTCCTTGAAACTGCGCTACATCTCTTGCCCGTTGTTGGTTGTCATTTAAGAGAAATCTTGCGCTTAGATAGTTGGTAAAAATGCTGCCGAAGCGATCGCGAAGTCGATGGTCACCTTCATTTCGCGCCATCCTTAGTTTGTGCAGTAGTATGCAAAATGAAGATTTATCTAGGCTGCAGGCTGCTTTTATACCAATACTCTACATGGTCCAGCCAGCCAGTAACAGTACTACTCAGTATACAAGCAGTGGTACAGTACGTCCGCTAGACCGTGTCACCCGTGTTGACAGTCAACGCTGGTCATTCATTGGCTTTCTGATTCATTGCCAACGACGACAAGCAGTACGATACTACTCAGTACACAATCAGTGGTACAGTACGTCCTCTAGACGGTGTCACCTGTGTTGACGTTCAACCCAGGTAATTCATTGCCAATGACGACATGCAGTACGGTACTACTGTACTGTACGTCCGCTAGACCGTGTCACCTGTGTTGACGGTCAACGCTGGTAATTCATTGTCTTTCTGATTCATTGCCAACGACGACAAGCAGTGGTACAGTACGTCCGCTAGACCGTGTCACCCGTGTTGACGGTCAACGCTGGTAATTCATTGCCAACGACGACATGCAGCACGGTACTACTCTGTACACAAGCAGTAGTACTGTACAATGGCGATTTTTACAAGAATAACGGTACACTATAAATCGTGAAAAAACGAATTCAAATCATTTACTTCACAAAAATAAATGATACAGGCATGCTTATGAGAGCTTCTTCTTCCCACACATAACAATTTTGATGGATTTTGTTCTCAAAATGTCGCAAAACATTAGTGTTGATTTCTCTGAAACGAAAAGGATTGCGCTGGCTGTGGACCGTGTTTCTAGAACATTCCACCAACCTCAGAACCTGTTCAGGCAGCAGCTTCATACATGCCTCAGTGAATGTGAAAATCAATGGCGCAAGAGAGTACAATATCCATTTCTCTATTTACAAAAGTATTTCGTCCTGGATGGATTACATCATCTTTTTCTTCCCATGGCTATTCTTGCTCTACACTTGTACTGTACCGTTCATGGAGTACTATAGTACAACTCGGACGAATAACCATCCATTTCTCGTCTCTCTTTCTTTTACCAGGACACCAACCTGTCAGTTAAAACGAAAGGAAAAAAATGCAATCTGGGGGCATCAAATGACACCTCTACAGTACAAACAATCATGGTACTGTAGTACAGTACTAGGATACCGTAAAGTAGGTACTGTAGGATTCACCACGGCCAAAAACACCATCGTCGGTTGTCTCCTAGACACGACTATAAAATAACCCATTTCGACCCTTCGCCACTATGGATTACTATAGCAATCCAGTCATTTCGATTACAAACGAACGCCGTTTCTTAATCATTTCGCCCAATCAACCTTATCAAGATGCAACGCCATAGCGAGTAGCCATGGCCAAAGCTTTGCTCCTATCAAGCTTTTAATATCTTGACTTCGTCTTGAGTTGCTATTTAGGGTACGACATGGTCTATCATCAGGTCTATTATGCACACTGTACGGTATAATCGAGCACCAAACTGTCATCTGTCATAGCGGTCAAGATTGGATTGGATTCTGATGTTGCCAATGAATGAAGGATCTAAAGCCAATTGGATGCAAGGTTGTTAATAGCATTGCAAATTTGCAATAGCCAAGCTTGCATGGTATTGGCAGGAACGTCATGGGTAAAAAACAGAATAGTAATGGACAAAAATCGCAAAGACTAGCTCAACAACAACGAAAAAGAGATGAACGAGCTGCCAGGCGTGAAATACGCCGTCAGAAAGAACAAACGCAGTCGTCGAGTGAAGAAAACAGCTTAAAGTTACAACTGAGTCGGATACAACTGAAAATACGCCAAATCACCGGTGATGGAAACTGCTTATTTCGAGCTTTGGCTGATCAATTAGAAGGCCATGAATCCAATCATATCAACTATCGTCAACAAGTGGTGCAATATATGATCCAAAATCGCAACGATTTTGAACCATTTATGATCGATAATGTCTCCTTTGATAAACATATCCAATTGCTTGGTCAAGAAGGGACCTTTGCTGGCAATGATGCATTGGTTGCTTTTGCTAGAATTCATCGCCTTACCATTGTCATTCATCAACTTAATAAACCATGCTGGCAAATTGAAGGAATAGATGGGCCTACAAAGACTGGTAGTCGTGAACTCCATATTTCCTACCATGATTTCGAGCATTACTCGTCTGTTCGAAAAATTAAGGACAACCATCCTCATGCTGCAGCGGATGTGAAGTTAATTCAACTCAAATCTGATAGTGATAAAATTGCTTGCAATGAATCCACGAAAAAGAAACAGAAAGGGATACAAGATGCAACCGAAGGAAAATGTCATAATAATACTGAACCTAGAAGCCAAGATGCCAGTCATCCTGATTCTATCCCCCATTCTCATCCAACACCAGCTCAAGATACAACATCAACGACATCCATCGGTGCCAGTCCTACTCACTCTGAGACGTGCATAGACAAAAATGAAATAACGACAACAGTGACTACTAGCGCCTTAAATAAGAATGCTGATGCTACAAATTCTATGGGTAATACTTTCATCCATCAACCAAATGAAATTGAATTAGAAGTGATGCATTTATCCAATTGTACAGATATTAACTTGGTTAGGGAAGCCTTACGAGAACATGAATATAATATTAGTAATACTGTTGCTTATATTGTTCAAATTGAGGAATTAACCAGTCAAGATGGCCAAAGCACACAAAAAACTGCAGGGCATCATCTTCACCATACTGTTGCAGAGAATGAAGATAAAGTCGCCCTGGATAATCATTCGAATGGAAAGCTACAACAATCATCTTCCAAAGGGAGTAAAGGCAATATCAAAGGAAGACCATCTAGTCATCAGCAACCTAATAAATACATATCCAATCGTCGGAGGAAAGAATTGGCTAAAAAAGACCGACAGAAACGAAGAGACGAAAGAAAAAAAAATAACAATGAGACAATACAATCTACTCAACAAAATCAAACTCCAGATTTACCTAATACCTTGCAACTTTTGCATATCTAACGGATATGATCGTAGCTTAGGTTAATGGAGATAAAATATTCATTTATTGTGCAGATAAGGCAGGACAAATTTGTAGGTTACTATTTTATTCCATTAATGATGATATGCGTTTATAAGCAAAGAGTACCACCTTTTCATTATTCTGTTCAGATTAGTATTTCTTGTATATACGAGTATAGGTAAGCCTGAATTGAACGCCAACACTCTTTGAATTTAGGCGTCACTACATCTGTAGATTGTTGATATTTGTGTCCATAGATATTTCTAAATTGGATACTTTCCACATTTATGAATATTGTTAAAGCTTTTTACTTGTTAAATGATGCATTTAGTAGTTCATATTTCAAAGTCCAATATCAAGATAATCGTTACTACTGCAATTTCTTTTGTTGATTTTACTATTCTAGGGTACATCGGGCTCGTTAACCTTGTACAGTACTGTATGTATGGTACTATAACAGAAATTATTGTACTGTACTATGAAGCCTAGCTATTAGCTTACTAATATTCCACTATGTTATACGCTGTAATTAAATTTATATGATTATCATGTACTTGAAAATGAATGACCTAATCCGGTTAAAATGCCATTATCAATTTCTCTCTTAATGATAGCATTTGCCGAATTGAATTATATTGAATAAAATCAGTATTTTTCTGTAACAAATATTGGTATATATATGAGTTTGTGAATTGGCTAAGCTAATCAATATGCTTTATGAAGCATATTTGAATTGAATGCCCAGTAATTCATTTTTGTATTTCACTTGTTTCTTAATAACCCCAAGAGTACAGATGCAAATTTATTTTCTTATGATGGTAAATTGAAAAGATACTATAAATAGATTCTTTATTGATTCCTAGACAGTTTATCTAGTGTAAAACTATTTGGCTAGATTTGAAATCAATACTGCTAAGTTAACATAATATTTTAAAAAACTAAAATTAGGGTTGGTATAGTTACAATGTTATACAGTTTTTGAAAATACAATTATTTTTTTTCTATGCACACTCAAGGAGCTTCTAATTCTTGATTGTGTACTTACAACTAGTATAGTAATACTGCATACTAGTATAGTGTAAAAATAAGTTTACTGCATCAACGAGTATCTTAAATTAGCCAAACCTCTTGCATCGATGTACGTACAGATAGGCTTACGTTGTCATGACGAAAGTGCATCAATGACATGGCAGATTAAGCGGTAAATTATTTAGCTGTCTTACAATTAATTATTATCACAGTATACAGATTCCAAAACTATCATGACTCAAGGCACATCGACAAGTGCCATTAACTAGACGAACCTCTAACAGCAATAACTACGCTAAGGCTTATGTTATCAGTCACGATAAAAATCCATCGGTGACATGGCTTGGCGGGTTAAGGAATAAAATATTTCAACTATCTTACAATTGGTTATTATGGTACCCAAATTTAAAAAACTATCGTTACTTCAGATACATTAGCAAGTATCTTAAACTAGTTGAACCTCTTGCGTTGATATAATACGAACGCTTACTGTAGACCTACTGTATATTATTATTCACGATGAAAGTGTAGCAATGACATGATCGGTTAAAGCAATAGATTATTGTATAATTATTTAGCTATATTGCAATTCATTACTTATTCGTTATACGAATTCAAAAACTACCCTTATTTTATTAGATATATCAATAAGTAAGTTATTAAACTAACCCAACCTTTTGCATCGCTGTAATACGTACGCATAGGCCTATGTTGCCACGATAAAAGTGCACCAATGACATGGTAGGTTAAGCAATAGGTTATTTAATCGCCTTGCATTAAACTAATTAATTATTACGTTAATACAAATTTAAAAACTATCATTACTTTAGACATTATTAGTAGCCGTTGAATGACGTAAAACACAAACTCAGTAGAGTGCACCAACATCGACTAATTAGCACTACCACCCTATGACGAATGCTAGCGTGATGTAACAGCTTTCAATTTTTCGTCGACCTCACCAATACTGAAAGTAAGTACTGAAAAGGACAAATGAACATCCAGCTCGATCGATACAAGACTACCAAAGGCAATAATCCATGTTTGTCGAGAACACCAAAAAGTTTCATTTGCATGGATAAAAGCTGTTTATTTTGAATCGTCACTGATCCCAAGTTCACTTTCATGCTATTATAATAGTTAGAGTATTATATTAATTAACCACAGTAGTATTCTATTGCAATCGATTACAAAAAAAGGAAAGTAAACAAAGTAACATCGACTTGAACAGTAGAAACCTATCCGAGACAACATTGAAAAATCAACCAAGGATAGGAGTTGATTCGCTTTAATTAGCGTTGTTCATTCTGATTCCTACTTTCTGGTAGCGGTGCGAAACTTTAACGCCATTAAAATAGCAATAGCATTCATTAACTAATATTCCATTGAGGTTTATAGAGCATTCATTAACTAACATTCCATTGAGGTTTATAGAGCATTCATTAACTAACATTCCATTGAGGTTTACCGCGGAACAAGGAAAGACCATTATATCCATTTTACACATATCTCTTTAAAAGATAATAATAATAGAGCCTACGCAAGGTTACAATGGCGCATTGTGAATCAATCAAGGGCAATGATGTATTCCGTCCATCATTATCCATTACTGAGATTAATTATCATTCTAACCAATAATAACAATTTGTACTACGCGATCTAAACAATAATAAACAATTTTCAACGTCTTCAACTATTCCAACGATCAAAACATTACCCTACCAGATAGATGGAACGTCCAAGCTACGGCTATCAAGGTGTTTAGGTATCTAGCGTCTGCACTGGATAACATATCTAGTATCCATTTTGCAAAGATTAATTTATTACTTTGTACCTTCCTACTAACCCCATTTCAATACTTTACCTACTTTTACATTTACTAGAATCGTATTTTCATTACGATTGAAATCAGTTGGTACGACATAGAAGCCATAAGAATATCAACCTGTTTAGGTATCTATCACATCTACGTTGGATAAAATATAGCAGTATCCATTTTGGATAGATTAATTTCTTGCTTAGAATCTTCACCCTAACCCCATTTCACTACTTGAACTACTCTGATGCTTACTACAATCGTATTTTCATGGCTGCTGATATCAATTAGTCCGGAATAGAAACCATAAGAAAGTTGGTAGTGCCGGTATACGATAAAAAAAAATAATAACAACAACAACAACAACAACAACAATAAGAAGGATATTTCTCCGGTAGGCACGAACTCGCCATTCATTCTAGCTAACCGCAGCAATAGTATAGAACATTAAGCCATGATCCTGACGTCATGGTCTAAATTACGTCAGGAACGAGAACTTTTTTTCCTCATTTTTCTATTATTATGATTACTGACAGTGGATAATTGGAATTAACGGTAATTTGATCCACTCTTTAGCTGGTATTTCGTTAATGAAGATTGCAAGTTGAATGACAGATTGACCCTTTAAATCGTGTTAATCATCTTTCTAGAGTAGAGTATTATCTACTTGACAAGGATAGTTACAAGAGTCGATGCTATGAGGTAGGCAGATGGTCTTGTAGTTCTATTGGTTTAAGCAAGTTATAACCCATTCCGCATTTTGTAGGCTTGTGTTATTATTGCAAAATTGTGATCAATACTCTGATTAAGTATAATCAAAACATAGATAGAGATTAACTGAGTCGATGAATAATTACACCTAGCCTACGAATCAGATTGCATTGGATAACTGAAAAATGTCACTTTGATCGCCAATACTTAGCGCATGGATATTTAGTCTATTTTTTGCGCTATGATTAATCCGTGGATTAAATATAGCCAGAAATAATTGATTTATTGTTATTCTATCTTAATTGGATAATACTATTGGAATACTATTACACATAGTATGAGTCATTTTTAGACCGTTGCAGATTGTTTATTAATGGGCCTACGCGTATCTGAGCTAAAGTATAGAAAAATAATTCGCAATGACTTAGGAGTAGCGAAAAGTAATATAAATCCATTCGATGCTTGTGCCATACGGAAGCTATTGTACTGTATTCAAGAGTTAAACAAGCAAAATGTCATTAGAACTTGCGTAGTCTGCTTCTATTGGCAAACTGAAATTTCAATCAATAATCTACCCATGCCAAAAAAAAGTCTTATTATTAATATATTCATTTTCAGACTGGCTTTGAAGCATAGTATAGGTTAAGCATTTTATTGACCGACTTGGAAATTGGTAATTCTTGTCGTTTCTTTCAACTTGGGACGCGTGCAAATTTCCTTCTGGATATCAAGACAGAAAATGGAAGAAATTCGTATATCCAATAAGTCGACAACGTTAATTAGCCAAATTATCATGCAAGATACATTACAATTAATATGGCCTAGAAATAAGCTAAGGCCTTGCCATGTCGTCTTAACTCAGAATCAAATGTGTATTAAAGTATCCGATAGTGGCCCTCCAGCATCACTACTAGGTGATGATGGCGTAATACAACTAAAAGATGTTATTGGCTGTAAAGTATCAAGAGGTACATCGACGAAACGCCGTGATCGTGGTGGCTATTTGACCTTATTTTGGTATCCAATGCGCAAGAAAAAGATTGGTTCCGCTTGTAAGAGAATTTCTATTCCAGTCTATTTACGTGTTGCCCAATCGAAGGAAGTAGAAGACAACATCAAGATTGCAGATCAATGGCATGCAGCCATTATATGCGCTTTGCGTGGTATCAAGTATCAACCAGGTACTCCAATTGATTGTATCAGAGCATTTATCCATAGCCAGATCTATTCGATTGAGGATAGTCTTGCATCCATCAGAGTGTAGAGATTGCCTTTCCATCACAACATAGCTGCTATTCAATCACCTTTTCTACACGTGTTTATTCGTCGTCTTTGCTTTAAAACTAATACCTCGATCGTTATAGAAAAATCCTGAGGAAATTCTACTCCGCCCATAATGTCTTCACTCCTACCTTTTCGCCAGGTTTTGATGAAAGGAATACACTAACGACCACTCAGTTAGTAGTACCATATTTTACTTTTAAAAGGGCCAATTTGCTATCTTGCTATAAGCTTTACTTAGAACAAATCACCCATACAGCAATATGATAACCGTATGCTTCACTAGTTGCACCGACACATCGTATTAATTCCATTCAATAACTATCTATTCTTCCGTCAGAAACGCTATTAAATAGCCAGAGATTGCTACCATTAAATATTGGAGTAAAAATGTTTCCCATTATAAATTATTGGGAAATTTGTTATTGATGAGGTCACACTTCAATTTCGCCATGAAAAGCTCTCCTCTAAGATGTTTTAATAATTTGAACAGATTTGCTATTCTAGCGGAGGCTTTACTGATGGTAACAGTAGAATTCTATATTTTCGCAATATCGGCTATTTCTATAGATAGACTTTAAATCCGATTAGCTTTTCGATATTGAAGACTATCCTCTAGTTTTGTTTTCTTCCAGTACTTATGAAAAAATATTAGTTTAGTCACGTTATACGAGTATGTCAGGTTGTACTCAAATTGTATGACAGTTTTAAGCGATAATTTAATTACTTCAAACAAAATTGCTCCAAACAATGGAAAGTAAAAAATGATTCATCACTTCCTACGGTAGAGCCACTAAATATTGAATTTAAATATTAACGTTTACGGCTAAATGGATCGTTAGCGATGAAAAAGAATCTAAAGATCATCGCTAATTGCTAAAGCGTATAGTAAATCGGAAGATCCGACGTTTGCAAATAGGATAAAATATTTAGAATTCTGCATAATGTTGTTATGATAGAACAAGCCAGTTTTCTCTGCTTATTATGCCATTGCAGCTGTAATCGAAGTTCAATCCTGGAAGAACATCTTTACGCTTCTATGTTAAGATGATACAATATTCATGAATTATCATGGCATCATTTTCTCGATCCTTACCACAATTAAATGAGCCTTAGCTGTCTAACATCCAGCCAATAGCTTACATTCCTATTAAGAGACATTGGTGCGATATCGTAGGGCATACAGTGTATGGAAAGAAATTTCCCTATAGTGCAGTTTTACGTGTTTAATATCACACTACCAACACTTGATAATCAGAGAATATCCTAATTCTATAGCAGCCACGATTCTTCTCAACTTCATCATTATTTGATGAAATACTGGGTTAGTATTCCTTAACTAATTTCAATCCTTAACAATATTGCTGCGTTAAGTATACAATGTTATATATGTGCCTCATGTAAAAATTCTTCTAACCTTTATCTAACCATAATTGACGACTTTATTAACCCTAACCCACGTTGCTAACATTTAATCCTTAAAATAATCTTTGAGCTTGTATCATTTTAGCATCGCTGTCCCGATCTTTATTAAAATAAAACATTTTATGAAAACCTGAGAATCGAATTGCCACTTTGATCCTGATCGTGAAACTATCTCACAAATTATCTTTCAGTAATTAAAATGATCATCGAGACTATAATATTTACATAGTTAAAATAAAATAATCTTTATTATCATACGATCGATTTATCCACTTAATAGATTGTAATATTAGAATACAGTAAATATGACGATCGATATGATATACGTATATAAATCTTAAAACATCAATACCGATAAAATAAAAATGAAATGGACTCATAAATTTTTTTATTTCTTAACAATATCCAGATCTAGGATCAAAATCTTGCCCAGCACCACGAAAATTGTTGGTTTTTATTAACCCTTGTAGTGGATCTGGTAAAGCTAGTAAAATTTTCAACGGCAAATCAAAAGATATTTTAAATGAAGCGGATATATTATGCGAAGTTGTAACTACAGGTACAACGATGTAATTGCTTTAATGTTGAGTAGCTTTAGTTTAAAGGTCATTTTCAAAATCTACTTATATTAATAACTAAGTGAAGCTTTCATGTAGTAATTGATTGACTGCGGACAGATTAAACTTAATTTTCTTTCATTTATAGAACGAGTCGGGCATGCAAAAGACTATATCATTAATGCTAATCTTTCCAAATGGGATGGTATATTAGTTGTATCCGGAGACGGATTGATTTATGAAGTAAGTTTGTAACTAGTAATAGCGATATTAATTTATTGCATAGGCTTGCCAATAAATATAAATGTAAGATGAACATGATGGCTTATCGCGTGAACATTGTAAATAAGACTCATGACTGGTTCAATCTCTCTGATTAGGTTATAAATGGACTAAATGAGCGGCAGGATTGGGATACCGTAAGACATATGCCTATTGGTATTTTACCTGCAGGATCAGGGAATGCACTCTATGCGTCCATTATGAAATTTTCAGGGTAATGATTGATCATTAGATTGTGTCTAAGAGATAGTTGGAGCTAAGGGATGCTATGTAAAGATTTATGAAGTTTCTCATTTATTAATAATCCTAAACAGATCAAGCAATCTTGATTCTCTAAATTAGTTCTATACTAGCTAGGTTGAAGCATGCACATAGTTTCGTTCTGTGTCTAAAAATGGCATAGCCCAAGTACTGCTTTAGTTGGTTTTATTCTTTACTTCGAAGGGCTATCAAAATTATTAGAATATATTTAGAGTCCATTTGCATTTATTATGGATTGAAATAAACGTATCAATATTTATCTTATTAATTTTATACTAGTAGAATAGGACTATCGTCATTAATTAAGAAATATTAACTTGTAGTCAAAGAATTTCCACCTGTATCTCATTCCTTGCTTCATTATCAAGGATGAATCCTATCGCATTTTTAAGTCGAATTAATTTTCATAACTTGGCCTGTGTACATATATGTTGATTAAGTAGTTTCTTCATTATTTTATTCTAGAGAGCCAAATGATATCGTCAGTGCCACCTTTATCATTGCAAAATATTCAACTCGTCCGTTGGATTTGATGCATTTACAGTCGAAAAAAAACAATTTTCTAGCCTTTCTATCTATAGGATGGGGAATGATTGCTGATATTGACATCAAGTCAGAAAAGTTTCATTTTCTTGGTTCTAATCGCTTTACTGTAGAAGCAGTTTCCATGATTGCTAAACGAAAGGTCTATCGAGGCAAAATATCTTACTTACCTTGTGACAAGGAGCCTGAAGAAACTCGAGAATCTCAATGGACGAATAATGGCAATGTCAGTGAACGTTCTGCTGTTATGGATGAAACATTTAACGTAAGTTGATTGGAAGTCAGATTGATTTTTTATATCTGTAAGATTTAGGTTGCAGTAGTATTCAAGTTTTTGAACGTAATATGGCTAAATGAACAGTTCTAATACTAATTCCTATGGAATGAAAAGTCAGTGTTGAAACTCCTAATTATTTATTAGCTAGATAAACTCTCCGTAATTCATGCAACGTATAACATAATAAAAATAAACAAATAAAGTCCATTCACTTTGCAAGCTAAATTGGATAGCATCTATAATAAACATATTGCATGTTTAATAAACAAATACTGCATCGTTTAGGCTCATGTTATCTTGGCTTTGTTAGTCCATATATTATACTGTAATTTATTGAATATTATCCGCAGCCATTTACAATAATAATTAATTCATAACATGAAGCAATGTCAATCGATGCAAAAGCGTAAACACCCTACATTCTCACCTCGCATTTTTAGTTTCACAACGATGATGATATGAATGTTACACAATTGGATGCCAACCATCAACAATCTGCTATTCTGACGTAAGTTGATGCAACGATCATATTATTTTACTTGATATAACTTTTAAGAGCCAATAATATCTATGAAGGTACAATGGATTAAGAAAGTACGGAGATTAAGCTTGATTTATAAATAAATAAGGAAATAAATTATACCTTATTATTTTGCAGAGTTGGCGATGATTCAAATCCTATACCATCACTTGATAAACCTCTACCGAATCAATGGAAAGTAATTGATCAGGATTTCATTACAGTTGTCATCGGTAATTTGCCTTATTTATCGACGGATTTCCTATTTGCACCGCCATCAAGACTAGATGATGGCAAGGCATATATTGTGGCAGTCAGTGATAAAGTTAATCGTAAAGGATTAACTAAAATACTCTTATCAACCAAGAATGGACAATACATTGAATCGCCTGATGTTCAGTTAATACCATGCAAAGCATTTCGTCTTGTACCAGAAACTGAAGGTGGATATTTAACCGTAGATGGTGAAGTAGTGGATTATGGCCCAATTCAGGGTACCGTTGAAAAAGGTGGACTGCAAGTATTTTGTTTATAAAAAAGGAAGAAACAATTTCCTGACTTTGTTCTACTAGGCATTTATTTAATTAAACTACAATTAAAATTACATAGATACATCAATTTATTAGCTGGTGTGGTGATAGATTTTATTGGCCTAACTGCAATGATAAAAAGGTTGATGACTTTGGCTCATCGCTTATAGTTCTGAACTAAGCTAAAATAATTTTTACAGCCTTCATATTATTTATGGTAGATGATGTATCGCAACAGATCACCTTAAAATTTCATAAAAGATTATCTATCCAGTATAATTAAAAGTTATTGGAGGATACTTTTACTTTTAGCAGCCAAAATAGCCACACTTGTATCGTATGTTCTCAGAAATATTAGGCTATAGATTTTGACGCTCTTTAAAATATTCCTTGGTTATAGACTGGGCAACAGAAATAGACTATAATAATTCGATGTGTTGTACTTTATAGTCTTTCTGGATGTAATCAAAAGAAAGTGCTAGTTTAATAGCCATTAAATTAAAGTTAATACTTATTTACTATATTCTAAATGACCATCGTGATTATTTCAAACAGAATAATTTCTACCACAATACAGTAAATCTAATTATGGTTAGTATAATGCCAATATCTAAGATCAGGCCTGATATGGTATCATTTTAGATAGCATTTTAGGTTGTGTACAAGACTTTTATGATAAATCTATGTTAGATAATTATTATAAGTGATTAAAAGAATTGTTTATTCGCATAATATTATTAAAACAGTATTAATTTCACGTAAATTAATACGCTTAATGGCTTTTTGTTATGGCCATATCTTTCTTGATTTTTCTTATAAAGTAAACATGATCAAGATCACGGTAAGATTTGTAATTTTTTGTTAAATAATTTACTTAACTGTTTGAGCTACTATAGATTATAAATTTCAACTAGTAAGTCATTATTTTTGCATCATTTTGATTCCATAAATGGAAAGACTGAATATGTCTATTTCATGATTGCTAGAATATATATATATATATATACAGTACAGCATATATGCTCGTAGATAATTTAATTACAATTGTAGATAGTAGATGTGGTGAAATAGTATTGATCGCCCCATACCTGCTCTATAGATAATTTATGGTGCAAAATTGCATAGTTCGGATAAAGAAATGGAATCCAAGAAGGACTAATACAAAGATGTATCTACCATTTCTAAATAAAAATCGAATTAACCTAAAGGCTATTGCCGTACTTAACATTATATGGCTCTTTTAGATAGTTTATTGCAAACTTGCAGCAATATTGTTGGTTATTGTTTGGGTTATTAGTCTCTATCAACGCATTTTCTATTATCTGCTATTTAACATCAATGAAACGCCATCATACCCAAAATTTCCATTTGCTTTATTTAAGTAACTGCAAATTTATTGTAACGACGTATTTTGAGAGATTTCTATAGGCTTAGATATTTAAAAAATAATTTCCTTGGACATAATAGAATATGTACCCTAACAGCACCTGAAATGATTCATGACTCATACCATTTTCTTCAGTAGTACAAATAATTTCGTGTTAAATTGACATTTAGTTACTATCTACCTTAATATTTCTAGTTGGCAGTTTTTATAAACATGGTAAGACTCACGTGAGTTGATAGACAATCTATAAACTTTATTATCAATAATGAAAAGATCAAATACTTTATGTTAAGATACTATGAGGATAGAACATGGCTGATTGCAATGAATTAAACTAAAGTTCGGAATGATATAAAATACGATAAAGCCATTTCATTAAATTACAAATAGTTCACAACCAAAATCAATGGTTTCATAGTTTAACACCATAAAATAAAAAAAATAATATGGCTACAAATACTTGAATGATCAACAGTCTTAAATCTATATCGCTCTTTATTCTCTATCTTATGTGCGAGTAAATATATTTCTAACTCTTTACTATTTTTTAACTTCACATTTTAAAGTTTGACTAGAGCATAGAACTGTACAAATATGATAGTCTTACAATGCAACATTGTACATATTTATCACTGGAAGGAAATAAAAATTAAGTATTGGTACCTATAGACTTTGATACAAAGTTACATAGTATCTATCCTTACGCAATAAGGCACTGCGGTAACGTATACAGTAATAATTAAACAAGAATACTGTTTAAAAGGCAGCGATAGTTCAATATGAGGCTAAAATATAATCGTTAAATATTAGTCAAATACAACAGATATAATGTACAACAAAGCAATTTAATTTTGCTACTTTGGTATAGCTATTTTACAGTTGATGTATTAATCTAAAGAATATAGAGATATAATTTTTTAATTGTCACTAGTTGCTATTTATAAGAAATAAAAAGAGATCAGATAGAGTGTTGTAGTATATACTTCATAAATTGTAAAAGGTACTACATGTCAATTATTTCGAAATCGTTATCACTATCGAAATGCCTTTCTTCTCTTCTGATTTCTGTAAATCCTGCAGCTAATAAAAATAACTTCATTAGCCATATTACGCACTTCGGTCATATTAATGTTTTGAATAAAGCAATTACATACCAACATCGGATGTGTCATCGTATGGACTATTTGGCAGTACCAGTTCTGGCCAATGTGGAGGTCGTTGTTCCACTACCTCAAACAACGGAGGCTGTGCACTATTTAACTACACACAGCAGTGCAAAAAGGGATAACACCAATATTTATTCGTATTGATGTAAATGTAAAATTGAAAGATATTTCTTGACAATACATACATCAGTAAAATCGCGACAAAGTTCGTTAAATTCCTCCTCGGTAGCACTGTAAAATCCCTATAAAAAATCTGTCCGAGTTAATAACGAAGAAAATAATACAGATGTGCAATAGTTATCAGTTACTAATATGAATCAGCACTAACGAGAGCAACGGATGGATCCATGTACGAAAAATGCAGTCGGTTAGTGCCTTTCTGATGATATGTCTACATTTCAAAAATTTAATAAATATACATATATTACAATTATATACAATATATAATATAAAGAAATTAGATGATAACGTTAGCATTTGTGATCAGAAAGGTAAGATTATCGTATACGACTACGTCATTTATACAATCTGTATTATGTTACAAATCTTGATTAATACCTTATCCGAAAAAGGACAGTTGGGCTTTACTTTAACAGTTTCTTGCACAGTATGCGGATCCAAGTACAGCAAATAATCCCCTAGAATTTGCATTGAATATCTTATTTTGAATCCTTAGATTTCTTAATTTATTTTTAAAGGATTTTAGTTACCTTGTATACCAATAAAATAGTGTGCACTGTTAGGCTTTCCTCCTATTATTCCTAATGTATTTTTTATCCTAAAGCATTTCTAGTAAATTACGTAAAGAATATTTTAAGCCTGCTAATAGAAATTGGTAAAGCATAGCTGCCACGTATAACGATTTAAGTTAAACGGTTTTACATTTAATTTATCTTTGTAAATAGGGTTAAGGTCCGTTAAACCTAAACGTAGTGGAATAAAAAGTAGTAAAGGCTTCCAAGCATTTGATTGCTCATTAGATGACCCTTGAGCATCACTATTAGCAGCGTTTCCTTGCGACGTTCTGGTGATATGATTGTGGCAAATTTTTTCTATAAAAACACAATTAGGTGAGTAAAATTATACACAATTTCGTTTCAAAATAGTGAAAGTAAAAAATTCAAGTTAAACCTATATTGCATTCTAATTGTAAAACCTACTTATATCGTCAATAACAACAATGTTGTCCATAGCGACATAAACACCCATTTGACTCCATTCATCAAACATGATGAGTTTCCTAAGACAAGACATACATAAAATTACGATAAACATAGCATATCATAATTGACTTAAAGACAGATGGTTGAGAACTTCTTTAAATAAGCATACTTGAGTACTTGTGCGGCTGTATTCGGCCCGAACCATTGACTGATTTTTTTCCCTTCCGATACTCCCATTTGTGCTGCAAGAAAAAAATACTAGTTAATAATTCAACGATAGATTATCAGAAAAACGTTTCAACACACTTCCAAATATTTAGGTTAAAAATATCCAATACATTATTGTGACTAAGAAAATTTTATAGCCATAGAAAAGCTTGTAAAAACTACGATACTTTGTATTATGTAGAGGCTAAGCAGAAAGAAATTGATAACGCCACAATTATCCATAAGGATAAATACATTATGTAAATCTGTTGGTATCATTACTACTGTACAAGAGATAGATCAAATGCGAGAGTGTTAATACATCTTTTAAGCATTTAGTAATTACTATGCGGTCAAATACCGATTTGATGGATTGAATAGAGACTGTCTTTGGAGTCTAAGAATAACTTTAAAATCTAAATACGTTGAAGTCAGACAAATCCGGCAAGGTTAGTTGTTCAAATATTTCAAACAAAAATATTTAAAAATTGTAATCTTATACCAATATAGTTGATTTAGGAGTATGTTACCTTCCAATAATTCGCAAGTTGCTCTTTATTTTTAAACCAACGCCAATCTATTAGAATTGAAATGATAATTTGTAGCGTGTTAATAGAAATTGCAAGATTACAGTATCAATAGTGAAAAAAGAAATAAGTAATTTCTACGTATAAGAGATTTTATCTAAAAATGCGAAGACAAACGAATGAGCCATCTTCATTTACCTCTGCCTAAATGTCTCATAACTAATGCCTGGCCTAATATCATTTGACCACAACGCAGCATGCAACCCCAGCCTTTATCGGATGTTGGGCCGATTCCACCTATGAGATGCATTAGCAATTAGAAAATCATTCAAAGTTAGCGTCACTTGAACTAACTGACGAAAAATTGCACCAGTGCATGATTACGTTTAGTGCCGAAAAAATATTTAATGAAATGGAATTTTTATATACACTTATTCTTTCTTAATATAATATGTAGTTTAGTCGTCAATTATACTCACGATCATCACTAGTAGACACAATTTTGCAATGGATGTATTGTATTTTATATATTATCATTGCTAAATATCGTTCAGTTATTAGTTACTACAAAAATACAATGACTAGACTACTAAATTCTACAGTACCATAGAACTTGGTAATCCATGACAATAACTCATGCATTGTATATAGAGGTTAACGATTACCGAAGCATGATTGATCACTATCAGTGCAATATTATAAACAGAAAGGTAAGATAAAATTATTGGATCATAGCATGGAAATTACTGACATAAAATTACCAAACAATTGTCGAATAAATTTAAAGAAATGTAGGCTATTTTTTGTTCCTTTTATATTAAATTACGTTCAGGGAGTCACAATGATGGGTTGCTCTATAATGTATTGTTCATCATGGACAGAAAGATTATACATGAATAGCTATCCTATGATTCCTATCAACGACAGCAAGACTTGAATATTGCTAGTGAAATGTTAAGTGCTACAAGGCCTACCAATTGGCGGATAATTTTTCCTATAGGTGAACCAAAATTTCGAATTGATATCAGCGATCAATTTATCAAATTCTGTAAAATGCAAAGATATAAAATGATCAAATTAATCGAATGATGACAAGTAAGATTAGGAAATTTGCATAATGAACACCACCATTAGTAAAGGCGTTAGATATTAAGGGCACAGAACATTAATATCCGTACATCGTTGTAAATAACGTCCAGAATAGCATATCTGTGATCATTTTTTACACTCATACCCTATGGCGTATGAACGATAAATTTCATTTGAATTCCTTCCTTCCAAAGGATTGAAATACTGAGAAATTAACCTATCTTATTATAACGCTGACTGACACATTCATAATTAAATGGATGACCTACTTTTATATTATAAAACTTATAAGAGTAGTACACACCGACGAAATTTTAAGTTTTAATTCCCGTCCTGTCTATTTAACCAAACTTTAGGCTTTCTCCGGCCAGCTAATAGCGCCTATTCAAAATGTTACCGTATTAATCTCTGTCGATGCTAATACAGATAGAATGACAGGGAAGGGAGCTCTGATTATAGTTGATTTATAGTTTTATAATAACTGGTTTAAGATTGAATAATAATCTTTAATTGCTACATGAGTTTAAGATACGCTCTGAGTTAGAGTTATTCGACAATGGCTGTATCAATTAAAGTTGTTTTTAATTCATTTTTAAAAAATTCTCCTACAATTAATTGCAAGTGAATGCTTGATAAGGTGATTGAGAGGCAACGAATATGAAGGTCATAAAAGTTCGCAATCGAAAAAGGCTGATATCTCGTAGGTATGATTAATTAAACCTGGCTTCTAAATAAATTGTAAGGAAGGAAGCGCTCAGTTATGTTCTTGCCGTAGAAATTTTACTAAAAGATTTTTAACTTTAACCGTCCAAGGATAGAAATTATGAAACCTGCATTAAAATAAAAGGATGGCACTCGCCCAAATCAAGAAGTTCGTTTTTTAAGAAAAATATTATTACCGTATATCATTTACGAGTATATCCCTGAGAATTATCTAATGAGGCCATCTATTGGCTGCAGCGATGATCATCGTGACGATGAGATGTTTATGCAGGTACGCGTATACGCGTATTTCAAATATTGTATTTATAGACTAATAGAGGAAAAAGGACAATCTATGAGCAAGTTTTAAATAAAATCGCTGATACTGAGATGGAAAGCAATAACAATTAGCATCTGTCCATCGTGACTATCACAACATTCGAAAGTCTAGGTAATTTTACGGGTACTCATGTGATGTAGTATAAACTAGTTATAGAGGAATCAGAGCTACTTTGGTACGAAGAAACGGCAAACTACAGTGTTAGTACCACTCCTGCTACTAACCGCCATTAATGCTGTACGTAAATTGTCTAGACTGCGTACTGTATGAGGACACAGTCATGGGAAAAAATTTTTACGCAAACTACAAGAAAATACACTGTGGTCAGTTTTTTTGTTGATAAGACTAAGAGGTAGGAAAATGATTCAAATTCAGATAGGTTTGCAAGTCTTGTGAATACAGCAAGAGTTGGTGGCTACTGTAGTGATGTCGGCGATATTTCTGTTTACAGCTTAAAATATTCATAAAAAAATTAGTACGATGACCCATAACCCTATATGTGTGTGTATCTTGTTTGCATATACTGTACTGTAATATTAAAACATCAGCAGAATGATGGCCATTTTTCTTTCGTTTTTCTATGGCTGGCCTCTAGAAAGGTTAAATTCAATCGGACATGCGAGTACTGCAAAGTTATATATTGGGGAAAGACCGTAGTTTACCCAACAGATTAAGCTGAGTGAATTATAAATTATTTTACGGATGAGATTGTAACTAGGCTATGAAAACCACCTAAATATGTCATTGTAGATGAATCAATAAGTATTTAAAGTTGATCAAATTTGTGTCCAATCGGTATCAATGCAGAAAACCGCTTTCAAATGCATTGTAGTTCATTGATCAACGTATCTACCACAGTACATTATCGGTTGAACTACTTCTTACTGTCAATTAAGAGGTATTTTCCTTTCTGGTATTTGATTATTAAATTAGCTTACCTTCTAGTGGATTGTAACAGCAGCCCAATAACCAAACTGGTTCTCGGCCATAACGGATGGATCTTTCTTCGATAAAATCCACTTCATAAGTAGCGCAAGCAACGTCCATCATCATCATTCTGTCACCACTAATGTCAACCCAATAATAAAGTAGAAATCGCTTTGAATAAAAGAGTATACTCTACACTGAAGCAGTTAATTTCTTCAAGAAGATAATGGCAATGATCTCTTATTCCCCACTTTCCAATCTATGGGCTAGTATAAGAACAGTTTGAAGGTCAATGGAGATCTTCTTTTCTTGTTGTCGAAAAGAGCAAGAAAATACTCGCGACGAGAAAGGCAGAAAGAAGCTGTACGCATTGAACGCCTTCGTTACTGTCTTGAATTGAAGCAAAGGATGGCAAAATTAGATGTAGATTAAATTGATATTGTCTATGTGATCTCTATTTTCTCCTCTTAATTTTCTTTTCTATCGTCTAATGGCGTCAACAACGTTGTCAATGCTACTTCAACAGTCTAAACATGAAGTTGGTCAAGATTCATCAGATACTTAATTGCTTAATGCTTAATGTACATTCAGTATACTGGTTTAGAGGGTGTTTTAACTCTCGAATGAGGTCAAGGGAACTAAAGCGGATCGGTTGGGATTGAATGGCTGCTGTTTACAAAAGTCTGACTCATACAGTACAGTACTAAATACCATAGAGGTAGGCAAAAAGTGTTTTACCTCCATAATATACATACAATGTGCAGTACTGTACGGGTAAAAATTTTTTTGACTTTGACTGTACTGTTTCTATCTCCTGTTGTACCCTACAGTACAGTACGGTACAGTACTGTACTGTACTTTACAGTGCAATATACTGTAAGACAGTTCTACTGGAGTGCCAGTGGTATGCTATGAGGTGGTTGAACGGTAAATAAAAAAAAAATAAAATGAAAAACGGAATAGAATATATCACTATAAAATAAAACGAAATAAAGGCAAATAAAGTATTTGACGTGTGATATTACGTAGATATTACGCTTTAGTACTGAAAAACAAGATTCTCATCTATGGACCACTATACTAGATCCTACCATCAGATGTACGCGTATAACTGTACTGTACTACTGTAGCACAATGAATCAATTTTCACTGCACTGTATACAGTGTAACAGCATAGTAGAAATTTGTCAACGATTTTTAATGAATAAAATAATTGTATTGTCGGCTGTACTGTATCCTTGGCCACTGCGAAGAAAATTAGGATGGTCATTCTTCCAAGTTAGGATCTGATCCCAAAACTATGCTACTGTACTTGATTATTAAATGTTTATGAGCAGGGACTAAAGTAAATATATACGCGTATACTGCATACAGTACAGTAAGTGTCAAGAGACTTTATCATAAAGTACAATGGTTGTGGCTGTGCGTGGCCACTAAAGCAGGGTCCAATAAGTCAATTGCACTGTCAAAATGGATCAATTTCATTTCTTGGAGATAAACTTTATAATTTAAAATCATAGTAGGTCCAATTGTATACGTTGTTCGATCTGTTCATTTCAAGAAGCGCAGCCGTTTAAGTGCCATCATGGTCTTGGCGAGCATACAGCAACGGGTTCCCTTCAAAGTTATCAGTGCACAGTGAAGAGGTCGAGCTCTGAAGTCGAAACTCTTACTGCTAAAGTGATTCAAAATAGCATCCTTACCAAGTGGACTATGGTTGCAATGGATATCAATGATTGATTTGTAGAACAGAAGATAAATTGATTCAAATGAAACCAAGCGGTGTCCATATCTATCCTAAATTATTACTAATAGAGCAGAAATACCAATTGCAAATGAATTTAGCATTAATACTAATAAAGGAGAAATGATATTGGACTCGTAATATCATCAAGAATAATCTTACTGTAATATAAATGGATAACTCAACAACAGATTCGTTAAAAACGCGTACAATTGGGGCTAATCAGTGTCGCAAGGATAAATCATTCGTTCATTGCCAATAGAACCAAATTTGTCGTAAACAAGGGGAATTGAGTTTATTAAGGTTTTACGCGAATGCTCATGCCGGGATACGAGCAACCAATCATGTTAAACTACACAAGCATAGAATTCTACTGTAGCACTTCAAGTTAATTCCGATACTAACTGTAAATAAGAATTTCACTTCGATGTTAAACCCGTTGCACTACACCCGTATAGTTAGATGAAGAAGCGAGAAAGAATTATTAATAATATTAGATTAGTAGTGCAATCAAAGAGGATACTACTTTAAAATAAATGGATAATTCAAAAACCGAATCGTTAGAATGCGTTCAATTACGGTCGATAAGTCAAACAAGGGCAATAGCAGTAAATAACTCATTACTAAACAACCTTAGCTATGTAATCAAATTTGTCGTTAATAAGAATGGAGTTTATCAAGTTTTACACGAATGCCATTGAATCTAATCTATTAATATATTCGTCTAGTCTATCGACGTAGAGTTTAGAATGGACAATATTTTCTCCTATATTGAATTTATAATGACGTACTCAAGTCACTGAAATGCGGTATGATCGTAGGTAAATAATTCCATAAATAATCGTATCTTTTACTCGAAGTTATTACGTTCTTTATCTACTTCACACTTGCTAAGAACTCTAATTTAACCAACAGAATCTATTAAAGGAATAGTACGGTAGTTAGGGTAATAAGATATCAGGAAATGGATTACAAGAATGAAGTTTAAAACTGACGAGGTGACTATGATTGTACAATATAACCGGTGGAATCTTTCAAAATTCAATGTTGTACCGTAGTTACTATACGAAAAAATTGAATAGAATAAAGATGCATGGGTGAATGGATAGTTTTATTGGTTATTATTATTATCCAAATCAAAGAATTCTACCTATCCAATATGCAAGTCTGCAGTTGGTGTAAAAAGATACAAAGATATTAAATAGATGAAAGATATTTAGAGCTGACAAGGCAGCTTGACTTGATAGTTTAAATAGTCCAATCAAAGAATCCATTAATAAAATAGTCATTAGCGTAGTAAGTGTAGGAAGATACAAAATAAGTAGAAGGAAAAAGACTTCAACGTTCACAAGGCAATTTTTATTAGAATTAGCTACTGCAGAAATATATTGATGAAACTTAATAGATGTAGGAAGATGCGAGAAAACTTTTAGGATTGACAAGGCAGTTTTTATACGTTAGATTTAACGACTGGATGCAATACAAATAGTAGATACACTCTATCTAGTGGGAACTCTCGGACCACAAAGCACGCTGATGAACATGAGTAGACGCACGGTAAGGAAGTAAACAGATACCACCTACATCCATACGAGTTTATATATTATCATGGCATGCCCTTTACTTTTAGGTCAATAACTTCTATGCATAAATTATGCACTACTATCATAGTGAGGTATATTGACAAACATGTTTACAGCATTTTTATGCCTTAATTCCTATAACTGCTATACAATAAGACCTTATTGCTAACGCTAATCCTAACCCTAACCCTGACCTTCATTTACATACAATGAAACTACATGAGGTAAAGACTAAGTGAAACCAGATAAATTTATCGAAGAAATTAGTAACCGATCTAATTGACCTAAAAATAGAACATGTCTCATATATGCGTATCTAGAATGCAATGCATATATACCAATAGGGGAAATAATTTCGATTTAAAAAGAACCTGTTATATAGCCAATTTACAGCAGTAGTATACGATGTTGTTGCAGAAAAATATACTTACGCATGAGTCAAAGTACAGGAATATTTATAAATGGCTGCCTACTCATATATCGCTAACAATATCACTGTGCGACATAATAATGATCTATAATATTTCGATATTATAGAATCCTTCGGAAATATCAATTAAAAAAAATAATATTATAATTGATCGAGATAGTTAAAATAGTTCCTTAATTAATATCAAATTAATCGGCTGGTCTATTGATTGAACATGCTCCAAGTCGTGGACTAAATAGAATCAAATATTTCTGCCATATGATATCCAGGCATTAATATGGAAAATTGGATGACAGCTGCATTCGCATAACATAGCATATGGTCATTATCGAATCAAGTCAGTGCAACCTTCTGCCATCCGGTAAATGTTATACAAAGTCAATAACGGATATGACCGTGAATACGCACTAGAATAAAGAGATAAACTTACTTTTATGATATCTTAATTCATTCCATCTCAGTCGGCGTCGTGTGGACTTTCAGAGTTTAAAGCTCTTGCGCCATTCCCCGTGCTGTCCTATCTGCTGACTTCTACACGTTGTCTTAAAGGCGAGATAAATTTTCAAATACCATTTTTGAAAGGAGCGACTTTAAGAGAAAAAAACTCTAAATCCAAGACATGAATTCTTTCAAGTCACTAGCCGTTTTGGTATTATGCTGTTCATTAACTGGTAAGTCTTGGAAAGATGACAATGTTAGAACTTGTAAATTGGCAATAGATAATCCGTTCACTTTAAGTTCTACTAGTTATGATATCGACTTTTTAACTTGTTCATAGTTTATCATGATCTGATACTGATTATTAAATACTTCCTAAACTCAATTTTCTAATCCCTCCTTTCGACATGGAACTGTGCAATTGAATTTTTTTGCAATTGTGGTAGTAAATATGCTATAATAATAATTAGCAATAATGAAGAATACCAGGCTGTCATCCGCAGTACTTGGTATTTCATTTTTTATGGAAATTACTTTTCGGATAACATAAAGATTAACTATCAAAGATGGGAAAAACTCTATACTTACAACCAATTCACTTCGGTTCACTTAAAGTAACTATAAAATCATTTCTAAATTCATTGACACTTGGCTATAATGTCAAATTACCGGTAGTCATTTCTTCCTAAAACATACCAATTAGTGTTAATAGGTTACAGTCTTAAAAGCACAAGGTTTATTCATTGCATATGTATTTGAAAAGAGTATTGCACAGAATAGGTCTATTTCATCTTAAGGAAACTCTTTCTACCTGTTGCTAGCTCATTATACCATTTCGCAATAGAATAATTCCTCATGTACGAGAATATTTGTCTCATCTGCCCAATATATTTCTTACAACTAGTGTATTTTTCCCAGTCAACTTTGTGCGTGTAAAATTTAAAGGATAGCTTAGTTTAGATTTGAAATCTCAATAGTTATTGTATTAAACTATTTTTGAAATTTCATTCCTATCCTGATTGAAGTAATGGTTACAGCATTAAAAAAATTTATTCCTGGCCTGGTTTCAACTCCAAAATAGCGATGTGCTATCATACCTTGTAAAGTTAATCAGGGATTATTTTACTTTTACTCATATCCTGTACCGTTATTCACTAGGATTGATACTTTCATGAACATGCCGTGTTGTACCGTACACTATACCCACTGAATAAATATTCCATAGGTTAAAACCACGCCAACGGATTCGATATTTTTTTACATATTTTGCAATTCTATTGCCTTAGTGTAGGAGCATCTGTTTTAAATGAAATATTTTCCTATTAAATTGAATCAAGTCTCATTTCAAAATTACTTTACGTATTTATATGTTTTACTATTACTATCATTTATCTATTTATTTCTTGGATAAAAAATAACGAAAATTTCGACTTCCTTCATTGAAATTTGCTACTAATCACTAACGATTTAATGAAACACCGAAAAATGCTAAGCAATATCATTGTACAAACTATATAATGATTATAGTTCAAGTAGTGAAATAATCCGTCAACATATCCGAGTATCCATAGAGAAACAAAACCAAAAAATGATCTAACATCCAGTCAAATAAAAGACATTTACAAGAATTATTCATTTGACTACATGTACAATATTAAACACTAATAAGCAGGAAACCTCATGCGCAATTCAAACAAATCTTTGGCTAATATAGAATTGTATGACTTATTCTTATTTAATCGACATATGGTAAACTTGAAGTCAGCTGGTCAAAAACATGATAGTAATCTCATTCAATCCCAATCTTCATATCGTATAATATAAGATACTGTTGAAGGCACTATGGAAATAACAGCCATTGAATGAGATAGTATAAATTGGTATACTGTAGGTGTAAGTAAGCCTCATGGCCGCATGCAGTACGGCAATACTTTATGGCATCTGGTGATTCTTTTTGCTATTGACATTGGGAAGAATCGATACACTGTAATATATCTTGCGCTATAACTCTACGGATATACGCGTAGCAATCCATATTCTGCACTGATGGCAGGCATTACTCATGACACAAGTAGTTTTATAATTTATGTAATTAGTAAATGGAATATCAATCAATTTTAACTCTAGTTAAGTCTTCCGTAATGAAGGATTTTCCAAGATTAGACCGGCTAACAACGTAAAACATCTCAGTCTATCAAACCTTGGGGGAGAATGTTGCTTCACAAAAGAGAGGAGTACAAAATGAGATCGATTAATCTGATAGACATGAATAAACAAGGCAAAATTGATATTCATTTATTTCTTGCTTCGTTTGAAGGGAATTTTATGCCATTACTTTCATCCAACAGAACAGCTTGACAGCTGAAGATAGCTTAACAGTTTTTGTACCGTCAATTCCCTGAGATTACAAAAAATATCACGAATAGTAATATCTATTTTGGTGTAAGAAAACGCAGCAATATTGTTTCTTGCCCCTATACTACGCTTAGTATCTATTTAGTCTTAGTCAAGATTTGGTTCTATTCTGCGCATGAAGTTTCTTGAACACTTCTGTTCAATACTCATACTTTAACCTAAATCGAATTTTTATTTAAAAATAATTGAAAGTCTTTTCGAATTCACTTCAAAGTTAAAAAATTATGTCACAGTTTAACATTGATCGATTTTGCTGCTTGTACAAAAGAAGACCATATTATGTATTGATAGACGATGTCAAAGTGGTTCAGGTTCAGGTTCATGTATAGATCAAAACGGTTTGAACCGAACCGAACCTTTCTCAGGTCTAATTGATAACATACTTTTATATGCATAACCTTTTAAATACTACGTAAAACGATAGAATAAATGCAATAGGTCTAATGTGCATTTATCATTATTTGAAAAAAATTTTATAGTCTGTTTTGCTGCGGATACAGTTCCAGCTACGACAGTAAAGGCAACTCCAGCAGCAACAAAAGCAACAGTAAAAGCAACAGTAAAAGCAACAACAGCAACAGCAGCAACAGCAACTGTGGATAGACTTACGATCCCGACTGGATTTTGGAATATCACCAACTCTAAAGATCAATCTTGCATGCTTTTCCAAATGGGAATTAGAGTTAATGTCTTTTACAAAGTACCTGGAAGTGATGCTATCCATGTAAGTTGTTTGATTGTTGGCTAGGCTAGTTTAATTTCTTAGACTAATCAAACGGCTTGAAAGTATAAAGAATATTTTTTAATGCCAAATAGCCTTTTTGAACGTATTTCCCACATTATTAGTCATAGTATGTGTAATTATTGAATTTTGGGTTTTAATTCTTATCTGAATCTATAGGTATTTTCATCCAATGTTCCAACCAATGCTAGTGCTGAAGGCACCTGCCAATTTAACATGACTTCATCTTTCTCCGTAATGTGGCATGACAATGGTAATGACTTCGCGCTCCATTTTCACTTTTATCTATTGAAAGCTGTACCACCCAAGTTGGTTGATTGGTGGAGAACTCGTTCTGTTAAATTAAATTACAAACTTGGTGGTATTCCTGATGCTATGCGTAAGTTAGCTCTTGATAATTTGTTAGGAGGTAGTAGAATTAATCGCAATATACCCTTATATGAAAGCAATATAAACTAATGAAGTTATTTTTAATTTGGAATAGCTATGGGCGATCAAGTAGGGGAGGTCAACAGCACCTACTTAGAGGAAGTTAAAGCACTGAGCCATCAATCTCTAATCTGTGGTACTGGCTATAAACTGAATTTTATGGATAACAAGGGAAATGTCGATATTGTTAATGTCCGTGCTCAACCATTTGATGTGGTTGACAATAAATTCAGCTTTAAACGTAAGATTGATTATCTAGAAAATAATCATCGCCTATTTTACCCATTAAACAATATCTTTTGGGCTTCCATGCCTATTTTTTCAAGCTTTCTTATCGCATTTTTATTGATTCTATTTCTGTTCATTAGTCTGGTATTGTGTCCATGATAGCCCATTTGCTCCTAAAAAGGATAACACCGTCCCTATTCTGGTCGGTAGTTTAATCACAGCAAGTTTCTTGATTACTTTGTTGGCTTATGTTTTCTCTCGCCATCGTGTCCGAGCTGGCTATCAATCTATGTAAATGGTCGCTGCCTATTTATGATCCAGATAAATGTTTGGTAAGTAGATTCATTGTATACATTTATTACCACAGCTTGAACATCATGATTTTCTATCATCTAATGATATAGAACAAGCTAATACATTTTAAGGTGAATGAATTGCCATATAATCTTTGACAATTTTAACATTTTATTCTGGTGTAGAAGTTAATAAATTCTGAATAACAATATTGAAAAAGCTCCTACATGGGATTACAACATTTTGAATCAAATCAAATATAAAAGCTGCATATTTGGCTAAATGAGAACTATATTTGGAATCAACGACCACTTCAGTCAAGAAGATCAGATATATTCAGATAGAATTAGTTATAATCTAAAATCGATTGACATTTTATTGTATTTGTAATTGCAATAGGAATAATATTCTAGTCAATTAAATGGTGTTAAGTGGTAGAGATGACGGTTCATGATCATAATATAACAGTATATCAATGAATATAGGAATAAGGATAGATAGATTTTGTCAATTGGACAACCTTAATCATTTATAGATAATAATTTATTTATGATATCCTACTTCGTAATTAATTGATTAACCAACAGCTTTTCAATCAATAGATAAAGAAGTAGAGATCAATGCTTAATATTGAAATTGCTCAACAATTGCATTAAATGAAAATCAATATAGATCATTTCTTATTATTGAATAATATGGTTTATGCTTTGTTACAATATAATGTATAACGCTGAAAGACTAAATTAAATTCTTATTATATCTTTGCTATCCTTGTTATTCATATTGGCATTTGTAGACAGTTTATAATGTTTGTTCATTTCTATCTATCATTACTATTAGTGCATGGATAAGATATCATCGTATGAATAATGATTATCCTACAGTTGTTTTAATCGGTGTATAATTTAGCCATTAAGATACTGATAATTTATTTTATCCTCTATTTATCCCTTTGACGCTTTATATATTTGAAAAGAAGATAGAAACAATAAAATACATACCATACTCCCTTATTACCGGTATATGATCTGAATTGAGTCTCTATGTATATCCATATCCACCTATGATAAAATTAGTCGTTGAATTCTTTATCCAGACAACATTTGATTTACAGTATCTAATATCACTGCAATCTTATACTACAGGAAGAATTGGAGAGAAACTGTTGTTATTACTATAAGACCTCAAAATATATTGCTAAATACACAATACTTTCGAATAATTACTATTCCATCTGAAATTGATTAGCCTGGTTTATCTACTTGTAGATAGTCCAACATATTAAAATCATCTTAAACTTACGTTAAACGACCTATTTCTCATTCTATTATCTACGGTGTCGAATGATTGTATTTAAATGTGATATAAAAAGATTAGCTTGAATTATCTTTCTACAGGTGATTAATATAGCATACGTGTAGAACATAGCTATATGTAGTCATGTGAAAACGAAATCTGTCCCTGTACTTTCCAATTTTATGATATAAGGATATAGTAAATTTGGATCTGTACAAATTCAAAGACTTATTACTATATGAAATATAGAAGCAGAACAATCATTAAAGATTTGAAAGGTTGCAAGGGATTCAGAGTTCGATGCTTTATAATTAATGTAATTTTCCGACAGATTGTTAAGATGTCATGTGGTGTTAACGGTTGCATTTTTCTTGTCGGTAAATTAAGTCTAGAAAGAAAGCAGTTGTGTACAACTAGCTGTATGATGTAATACCATATGTGTTTCATAATTTTTTTTGTATCCTAGAATACTAGATACTATTTTAAAGTAAGTATTGTCTAAAAAGCAATTCATTTCGAGTAAAGTAGCAATACCAGGATTAACCACCCGTTTTGCTATGCTAACTTAATGATACTTATAGTAAATGGTCGATATGGTAGCAATCCTATAGCAACATAGGAATCACAACACCATTGCCAGTACTGGTTGACATCAGTTAATAAGCTTACTACTAGACCAATCTAACATATCTAGTTCCTAACTTCGCAAAGCAGGTTGTTAATGTTTGGGACGTTAAACTGTATAATATTTAATAGTTAATACGGAAAAATTTCACGACCGTGTGAGTTTTAACTTTATCAAGTCTCAAAATGATCGTTTTCATTTTCTAATCTTGTACTTGTAGCACACGTTCGAGCTTAGCTTATCATATCATAGCATTAAATTTTACAAATAAAGACTACTAAGTTGGTAATTATCTTCTAATCGTTAGCTAACAGTGAAAAAAATGACGATCAATGCTATTTTGTGATCTACAGTATTTACAATAGAAATTACAATTTTGCTACATACAATTGCAAATACTCTTGCCGTATTCGATCAATTCCTATCTAGATAGTAGATTTTGATATTTACACAACCTATTATAAACTAATCTATAAATAATTTCAAAATATCAAATACTAATACTTAATCCATTAATCAAAGAATTTCAATCTTTTGTTTTATTACTTTGCTTTAATAGATAAAATTTAGAATTTAATATCATAATAGCTGGTATTAATCTGAAGAACTCGCAAAGTTATATCGACTATTCATAAAAATCTTTTCTATTACTGAAAATTAGAATAAATCAATATAGAACGACTAAAGATGAAAATAAAATTATAAAATATGCTCTATAATTTAAAGAATTGTTATATCTATTTTAACTACAGTTATCAAGTTAAAATGAATAAATAATATATTTGCAAATGCAAATATTACGTAGAAATTCGTAATAAACTAAAAATTAAAGTATGAAAATTAATTAGATATGATCGCAATATTTAATCTAAATCAAAATATACGTATAGTAAACAACAATATGCTTCTATTATGTATATAATTAATTATATTTCCCACTATATGTTATGATAGCATCGTGAGTTGGTAGATTTATGCTGAAATTAGTAGAACACCTGAATATACAAAATCATCCATATTGGCTATTATTATCAAAGATACCGTAGAGAAATGGGATCAATAATTACTACCGAAATGAAATCTAGAAAAGTACTGGTAATTTCTTGATTCTTAAAAGACTTTATAGTAACATTGTAGTACATACATTAAAGTAAGTAATCGTATTATATAGATAGTGATAGAATTAAAACCGCTTCCAATATTATTTTATAATAAAACAAATTTTTATTACTATAGAATCAACTTTATATGAGAAATTTTAAATCATCAAAATTTATAAGAGACAATCCATATTCTGATTTATTATACTTCTACTAACCCAATTTAACCATTAGAGTAAAATTCATTGATATTAGACAGCAATATGCTACCATATGTAATGCCTTTTCTCGACCAGCAAATAGTCAAGCAACTTCATGACTAATAAATCATATGTCTACTATAAGGGCATACTTCTGACGTCATCTTGATCATCACTGGTTGAAATGTTCACCATCGGAAACAAAATTATTAATTAAATTATTTCTATAATAGAAGCATAGAACTTGAGAAAGGCTATGACTTAATATGACATTAAATTAGGAATTTTTCAAAAATATCATCGTTACTATAAATACTTCCTCTGTATATCTGGAGGGAATTTTTAGCTTATATTCTAATTTTCTAGATTAGATTAATTAAGATGACAAAATGACTGATAAACAACTAATTCCCTTGAGACCGCTAGTTAAAAGTTAAGGTATTAAATCTAATATTTGAAAGAATAGATGAGTATTATTATTAAATTGGGAAGCTTTAATTTCACATATTCAACTAATATTACCAATTGAAGGTGATATTCTATCAGCTTCCGCATTAACAGTACGTGTATTGCTAAGCTATGTTTCAAATTAATAGGATAAACTATATCAGGACTGTATGGTTGGACGAAGTATTTATCTTAATCTTTGCTGCGATTGATCTCCAAAAATTCAGTCTTAGCCAATATGTTATCAACATTCAAAATATTTTCTTGCCAAGTTTTGATAGCAGGTATGATTATAGAAGCCATTTGTTTAACCTCAGCTCTATCTTCATTTTAAAAAAGAGACTAGTTATCTTGCCAATGTAACAGAACACGAAAACATTATATGTTACAAAATCTATCATAAAATTTTTCCCATAACATCACCCTTTCCTACAAATATTTTTAAACAAATTCTATATTGCTTTGCATAAAAATTAGTACCCTCTCTAGAAAGGTAGATCTTGCATATTCTACCAATAAAAATATTAGATGGAATTGTCATCCAGGATTTACGTTGCCATTTATTTACTTTTGGATTAGAAATACTGTAATATTATCTATTAGCTTAGTTACCAAAGTATTATCATAGATGAACAATAATCTGGCCAGTTTACGAATAATAATATCATATTGCAAAAATCAAGAATTTCATGCTCGTAAGGGGAGAGCGAAATATAGATTTTAATTTTAGTTTCGATCGCACTGGTTCGAATGCATGAAAGGAGGTAACTGATCTATTGATTATTTTGATATAGTGTTAATTACTAGGATATATTCATGTACGGCATCCAGCGTTACCACTGTTCAAACGGCAGAAGGTATCCAAAATAGTGGTCCTAAAGTTGGCTATTGGAGTCTTCATAACGAACAAGGAACAGCATGTTTACTAGCCATTATGGCCATTCAACTGAATTTAACCAATTCTGATCTTCCCTATTTGCCCAGAAATACAATGGTAGAATATAATAACATGCATGAGCACAAACGGATCAATCTGTATTTTAAATTAATTAGCAATTACTAAAACCAATGAAGATTTTCTTTAAATCAAAGTTGCCATAATATACGAATAATTAGATACATTTATTATATTACATGTATGTTTGTTATCGATTTCCTTCAACAAAATCGCTAGCTAGAACAGGATAATGTGCTACATGAGTAGTGTATTGCATTTTATCATTTTAGTATTTGTATGTACAAGTTTATATTCGTATATAATGTAGAATTCTCAAGATAGCAGGTAACTGCCATAATGTAATCAATTAGATATATTATAATCTTCAAGGCTAACTATACTATTACTTACATCATGCTAATGGTTATCATCTAATTCTGGGGAATTAAAGCTTAATCTTAGTCATAAACTAAGGAGTAGTCCAGTATAAACTATATTTACTGTAATCAAGGTGAGGTAAAAGTCCTGTTTAATAACTGTGCACTATAATCGATCCAATGATAAGGTTACACTGCAATATCGAAAACATCAATATGCTCTCACTATTTCTATATTCAAGATTAATATTGTTATAGAAAACGATCGCTCTATATCGATAACTACAGTATTGTGACATAGATACTTATAATTTCTTCCATAGACAAATTACAGACTCGTCAATGCGCCTCGTACAGCTAGTGCTAGTGGTTACTGTCAGGAAAATGGAACGTCTTTTCTCCAGTTACAATGGAAGGATGATTATTATCAATATAGTTGCGATTTCCAGTTTAAAATGACTCATAAACCAGCAGGTAAACCAGTATCTGAATGGAAAATGGACCAGTTAGATGTTATAATATCTCCGAAAAATAAAACAGTAGCAGGTAAAAATGATACTATTATTATGCAGCTATACGATTACTGATTAACGTCTGGTTTAATGTTCGAATATAACATTAAAAAGATAATTTACAGAGTTCGTAATTTGGCTAATTTTATTAATTGAACTATGCAATAAATATCCTTATATATTACTAACTTATTATCACTGGCGATACATAGCCACATATTATCGAAATAGATAGTCTAAAGTAATAAAATATTATTAGTTTCAAATTACTATCTTTTAGCAGTTAGCAGGCGCACGATTTAGTAGATAGCTTTTTATAGTTAGCATATCTATTTCAATATTGGATCAGTGCGGTATGATACTTAATAGTCCTTTCATATTCAAACATGAACACATTTGCATACTTGAGTCTTATGCGATAGGCTGAAGATTGAGCTAGTTCTTTGGGCGGTAGAATGATTGAAACTTAATAATTTGCTGATGTAATGTAAAATTTCAAACGATATTAGAAAGATTGTGATAAGAAATTATTTCTACTCTATCCTCATATATAGTAAACTCAAATCAAAGCGTTGACCTCTACGTTAAGCCTCAGACATTGATTTTAGCAATGACTGGTTTTAGCCATCAAACATTTGTCTGTCATCAGGGTTATGATTTTCAATTCCAGCCTCAAGATGGTTCCATACGTATAAATAATATAAAATTACAGCCATTCGATGTAACTAACGGCCAATTTAGTTATAAAGGTAAGCGTAACAATAATAGCAACTATAGTTTAATCTGGTAGTTTCCCTTACAGTCATGAGAAACTAACTATTAATTTCATGCATTTTACTAACATATCTATTTTATTATAGTATTCTACTGTCCATCCAAAGATAAGCATCAAGACAGACGATTCCATCAAAGTATAGCTCCATTAATTGTTGGAGGTGTTCTAGCCATCATTACTGTTATAGTTTTAATCGTTTATGTTATTGTACTACTTGTTGCTAGATACCGTGATAAGGATCACTATCAAACAGTTACGGATTTGCAACACTAATTATAGAAGTCAGTAGCTTGATTAATTTTGCAAGCAAACTAAAATATTGTATCTTGGTCTCGAAACTAGGCTGAGTGATAGGTAATAAATTTCTCCTGTGGCGGTTAACATAAAAGAATCCTGTAAAATATGATCAATAGGTCATGCATTATACCTTGTGCCATTACTTTTAACCCCACATTGATGAATTCAATTCTAGTGCATTGATATTGCAGCTTGTTGACTTAATAATTATTGTTGGAAACTACTAGACGTTTGTTGCAACCGGATTCTCTACTTTTAAATTGTACTTAGGTCTTCCATCGATAAATTAAGTGATGGTAAAATAGTGTTGTTTAGATCTGAAAATCTCTGTATGAAATTTTAATTGATATCATCAATAAAATAGTTTGGTTTGTTACTAAACTACTTTTTAAAAGAGTAGTTTGTACTAATGTTTGTCTATTCTTCTTCTCTACCGTAACAAAAGCTTAGAAAAGACGATAAATGAGATTAACTATTTCCAAAGTATTGGGGAATTGTTCTATTAAAACACTTACTTACATCAAGTAAATTACGGATAGAATGAAAAAGTTCGATAGGATAAAATTTGAATCCTTTCTTTAATTAGTGAGAGCTAGGTGTCGCTACGTGATACATAAACTAAACATAGATCGCTATTAATAATGTTTAGGTACATCGAACTACATACTAGCAAATGAATAATCATTAAACTGTTCTACACTATTTTAGGCTCTATGCACAATAAAATGCACTATTCTGTTTAACCAGTCGAAAGTAAGTCCTAAATCATGTCAAAAATAAATAAGAAGGAACGACTATTTGAAAGATTCGTATTTATCATACCCGTTTACATCTTAGCTTGGTTTATACCCTTTATACGGTTATATTTAGTATAATACAAATAGTAACAAGCAAATGATGCTTGAATGTAACATAACCAATCCATTCATGGTATTGGACCATTTTTGGACCGAACTTCATTTAGCCAAATCGTTTAACCACTACCAACACTAGTAAATTCGCCAATAGCAATAACAGCTCGACCTTAGTTTAAGGATAAGATCGCCGAACAATGTTAATTACATACTACCATTATAAAGCCAAAGAATGGTTGCTAACATATTATGTATATTACGTGCATAAATTGCGGATTACTGACTGCTAATTTCTTGGGATATGACGTGTATAGCAAATCTTTCAGCTTTGATCTTAGTGTAAACAACTTACTGCCATATGGCATAATAAAATTGGATTTCCTAAATTAAAAACTTTTGTATGAACATTACAGGACTTTATGTAATATCATCGAATACGTTTAAGCGGGGTTATTGCTTAATATCAAGATGAGTATTAGACATTCTACTATTGCTACGAGTCGTTTTCAATTCGATGGTTTTGCGCACTCCTGGCGTAATTGTTTAATTGTATCCATTGATAGTGGATTCGGTATCTCAAATATTGCCTGATAAATAATTCCAGTAAGATCATTAGTATTTTATACTAGAAATACTGAGATGGTAGGCTGTAACAGCCACTATTAAGTAGATGTTAATAATATCCAAAAATATATGTAGTCAGAAGACACTTTTGCTTAGAGTTATATCATTGTCCTTCGCGATGCAGCCTACATACCGCTATGAATTGATGACAGTTAAGAAATTCGGGTAATTCTGCTATCGACTATTAAAAAGGAATTCAAAATAACATTATGATGTACTTCCTAGCTAGAAATAAATACATTTAATGACAAAACATGTGCTATTAGTAGCTTAAAAAACTACCTTGAAAATTTCTAATATCGAAGCCAGGTCATCCTTTGATCTCAGCCGCTCATCTAGTTTGATCATAATAGTTAACGCAGCGCGAAATATTATTTTTGATCCCTCATAAAAGAATGCATCCCATAAACGAAGAACTGTCTAAAGGTATAAGCCCAGGATTAACGATTATATTGATTAGTGCTAATTATTGTAGGTGTTCGTATATATTAACTAGAAGACCTACGAATTTGATCGTACTGTATAGATGATTTAGTTATGATTTCAAATCTTACTTCAGAAGGCAAAACATCAGCAAACAAACAGATGAACCATTTCGTAGCAAATAAAGGTACATCAACGCCATGAGATTTCAAATGTGCATGTAAATCAGGTAATTTTTTACTTAATAAGAAAGAAAGATTTTTTAATTAATATGGAAGCTTGTTTGCTCACGGTTAGTTAAGATAAATAGATAAAATTCTTTTAATATCAATTGTAGATTAATTATTTTAGAAATAAAACAAAACTATAAAATACCTCAGTAATTTATCGAAAACGGCTTGATCAACAATTAAATCATTCAATCCTTTCGAGTAATAATCTAAATAGATATTGATTTTATTTGTTACGGAACCGACTAGCAGCAACCTTCCAACAATATTAAGCAGATGAAGTAATTTACAAGATGAATAAGCAGCGTTTTATTACTTGGCAATAGATTCATTGTTAAAGCTACAAGTAGCCAAAACGTAGATTCTTCATCTTTTATAACCAATAGTAGCATAGCAGCAATGTAGTTTAAACCCTTATTACAATTATAAGTAGGATGGTCATTATAGCTACAATGGATCATAAAAGTGGCTACAAAGCTTTACATAACACTGGTGAAATCGAGTTCCATTAAAAACTTACCTGGCAGTAGCCAACACCTTTGTTGTAGTGTCCGTAAACGATTAAGACATCGTATAATTGTTCGCATTTACTGTCATCCGAATCTCGTCGAAAATGAATATTGTCAGGATAGGTGCGGAAAAGATCTACGAATACAACAAAAAGTGGGTGATTGAGTTATAAAAACAACCTATAATAAAAACAATTTACTTTTCTATGTAGTAACTGTTGCCAAACCATAATCGCAAGATTTATAAATCAATGAAACTAACCTTTTTCAACGCTTGATATAACATCTGCATTATCAGCTTTGCTTAATAAATTTCGATATACGCCTTTATTTTGTTTCATTAATTTATCGGCACCACTAGCAAACATCCATACCTAACAGGATAAATGCAGATGTCATGTTAATAAACTGTACGAGGAAAAGTTTTATTAGCCAATATTCCAAGTCATATTCAGAATGTCATTTATAAATAATTTATAAAATACAATAGTGACCATTTGTAAGATCTCTCACTGTAAGGATTACAGCTTACTTGTTTCCGTACACCATCTGGAACACCTTTCCTGATATATCTTTTAACTATAAAGGAAAAAGAATCGAGTCAGAATATATAAAAGTTGACTTATATGCTCCGCATAGATTTTTGTATATTACTGTCATTCACATAAATGTTTATAGGCTATGAACAAAATTTGTGACCAGTGACTAATTATTGTTAAATAACTAACGAATAAAAATAGTAACGACAATATTTATGTCTACTAATTTTCGGTATACTTGTTGCAGATCGTTTAGGCTGACGTTGATTTGATGAGGGCCAAAGTTTTTGCCATCTTGTAGCTCGCCGAGCCAGTACTACCAAATAATCCGACATGATAGAGTTATAAAGTTCAAAATTAAATGATGCACTGCGCTCAAATCCATTCCCATCGATCCTAATAAGAAAATAATAGCATAGAATGTCAATAAATGGATAATTGTTACTAAATAGTCGTACGACAATTACCTTGGCTTTTGGTATTCATCGTTGTTATTATGCGATCGTTCCATTTCTAGTTTTCGTTGATTTTGCTTATTTCGGATATTATCGGCTAAATCTTGATATGAAGTCGCCATACTTTACATTTATGACTATTTTATAAGAGTTTTAACGTTACGTTAATACCCATCTTCTAGAAATAGAAGCTTAATTCGAATATTCTTAATCACATTTGTCAGGCAGATATACGAACGTATTGAAATGGTAAGTAAGAAACATTTTTTCATGTATTGGTATTAATAAAAACGCTATGGATAAGAATAATTATCATTGCTAGGGTGATCTATTTGATCATAAATCTATTGTGTTTAGATACACTAGCAAATATATAAGGCGTAATTTACCGTAGTCTTTTAGAACTAGAATTGATTGAATTTCTTCAACCGAATTTTTATTTCTTGGTTTAATCTACACTTAATGATCGTACTGTATAATAACAAGAACGTAGCAAAGCATGCACTGAAATAGCACGTAGTTTTCCTTCTTTGCTATATTTTACTGGTTTGTAAATTATAGCTTTGTACGAATACACTAGATATGCGAGAGTGTATTATTGTTACTTGTTACGGGTTATTAAGAAAAATCTTAAGATAATTAAAATGATTAAGTATCGATACCAGAATAAGTTATTCTTTATTTATAGAAGCACCAAGAAAAGAGGTCTACTAGAATAATAGGTCTATACAGTACTTTATCCACTCGTAGCTTATAATAATTGGCTTCCTGCAAGTTGATCAATATAGTTTATCAACTCGATAGTAATACGATGGGTCAATCGCTGAAAAAGCTCGATAATAATACATAAAATCATACGTTATCAACTGTTTCATGTTGACGTCGTTGATTTACACACTCATATAATTATAATTGTCACATGTTGACAACGACGGAACAGGAGTGCCCAGTGGACATGCATACCTCAAAACTTAATTTAACACAGATTCTGAAATCATTTCACTTTAGGTAAATTTGTAGTCTGTGTGCTTATACGATCTCGGAAATAGCATAAATTGAAGTAATAATTGCTAGTATGTGCATACAATGTCCTCAAATAACGATCACTAGTAGGATACGAGCGCAGAATTTATACAAGAAGCGATTGTGCTGAATATAGTTCCGTTGTTCCACAGTGGAGTATAAGTTTAATAATGAAGCTAGTGGGGTAGATATGATTAGTCTTCCTAGATTATTTTAAGTTAGCATCAACATCATATATTTATTTAACCAATTTTGAATTAAGTTGTTCCTGTTGTACAGCATTCTGCTTACTTGAGGGCTTACGGATCAGACTTTAGTTTTCGATTAATAAATTAATGCAGGTACAACGCCAGAATTCTGATGTGATTTTACTATTGAAGGAAATCCTCACGCATTCATTGTCATCGAGAATAACAAATGTATATATAGAATGTGTATCCAAGACGTCTATATCAGTACCGTTTATGAAGAATGAGATGAGCCGAACAAATTAGCATAGAACTACTTCCAGATCATCCAATTTCGTTGTTTTTCTTGATTTCCAGTGCTGTATTTAGCGATTTTATACTGTACACTTTGTATAGTCTACTGTAGCAATCTCTCTAATACGGTACGGAATACACCTGGTATTAATTATATTAGCATTTAAATACAAATGGATAGTTATTAATAGTTTGCTACCCAGATGAATATTGCAATTGGTCGACCTTTGAGTTACCTTTATGCTCTTAAGCAGCGGCAAATGGCAGAGAATAAACCAGTCGAAATTCAGAAATGGAGAAATGGTGGCCATGGTAGCATGTAGGACAATGGTCTCCGCTACAGTACGGTTCAAGTACTGTAGGTGCAGTACAATGTACACTATGTGGGTTTTGCGTACTGTAGCAGAGTTGGCAGCTAAAATTAAAATTGGTAAGGTAATTTCTATGGTAAAAGGCTTATGTTTGCGCTACAATGCAGTCGACCATTATGCACGCTAATACTGCAATCGATTTCGCGTTACAAACATGACGTTGGCTGAAATGAACTAACGCAAGACACAATTTCGTACTCATACTAATGTTAGCAAAAGTTTATAGGTAAGTTGCACTGTATAGTGTAGAAGCATCTTTACTTTCCAATGGATTGACTTGAGAAATCATAAGCAGCCATTGCGCAAACGCAATAAAAACCTGATTACCACGGTAACGGTCTAAAAATACGAACTGACTATTAGAATGACCAAAGGCAATTACGACGACTGCTGGAAGCGACGATATAGCCAAGAAGCAGCGAAAACCTCCGTTCTGTATTTCTAATTTTTATAATTGTACATTTGTACAGTATTGTCAGTTATAAATTTCATAACGTACTTTAATAGGCAATACTCTTAGTGGATAGTGTTGGCGTAGTATTTTTTAGCTTCTTAAGTAGTTGCTCAGATCGTAATCACGCATTCTAGTTGGTAGCATAAGATACGAACGAGATCTACATTAGTTGATCAAGCGCTAGATTTAATAATAATAATAATAGTAGGCTAGTGTTTTAATTTTGATAATATAATTGCGATACGACTATATTATAAGTATACCAAGTTATCTGCAAATTTAATCAGTTATACTTGTACTTATCCTGCAGTTATATAGGATAGTGAAACGTGCACATCAATTAATATATGGACGTGCAATACACTAATTATATAATTAGTGGAGAAAAATAATTGTAATAAGATACAGTATTAATTATAGATCATACCAATTTGTAAATAACTTTGCTCAAAATTGTATACAACAGATTGTCAACGATGATTAACCAGTTATTTTAATGTACAGTATATATCCATAACATTCATGGTTTTAAAGCAGTGTTGTAATTTGGCCTCGTCGACATTCTGAAGCCCTTAATTCAAACCTTATCAAACGATTCCTGATTCATATTGTGCTGATATCACATAATATCATAGCAATTAAGTATGAACCCAGAATTTTCTCGGATGCAAGACTATCCTATAGCTACGGCCGGTACCTATCAATCATCTTGGACGGAACCATTCGCAGATAGCGCTGCTACAAATGAAAATCGAGGGATTACTGCATTAGAAATAGCTCAAAAAAATTCCAAAAATAAGGCTATAAATTATTCCAATGATCATTATTTTAGAAGATATAGTTTCAGGTAAAAAGATTACAAGTTAAGAAATCATTATAGATTATCTTCGTCGCCGTTGTAGGCAACAAATTCGCTTTTAATTTATCCTATCAATTTTATACTTGCAATGCGAATGCAATACTCTTAACAGTAGTTTTTAAAGGCATGCTTGTATCATCTAGACTTCAAACGAGTGTTTCGATCAGCTTGATAATTAATGACGCATTTTGTAATAAGTTAATTGAATTGATAGTCATTAGGCTCTATATTAGAACTACAAATCAACTTTATGGGTTTTTATTGCACAGTAATTTTCAGTGAATCGTGTTATTGGCATTTTTCACAGTACTGTCGAAATACTCGCTGTCAGAGTTATTGAGAAGTGTTGGTGGTCTTATCGAGATCGTCAGGTTTTCAAATTATTGAAAGATGCTCTATGTAAAGCGGTAAATGTTGACACTAAATAACTGTAGTATACTAGATACTGAAATAGTTTTATACTTAATTTCTTTTCGATTGAAAGCATACTCACGCAAGGATTATATTCCTTATAACACAGGAAACATCAATCAGCTTCGATGTTATACGAAAAATATGTCCAACAGAGTCAGAATTGTTAAAAGATAAAGCATTGTCTGCAAAAATTCGATTTAGGTAATTTAAAATTATGCGAGATCGTGCGACTATTTTTGAAAGATGCTTCTGTAGCTTGGTTTATAGTAAGATTAACATTTCCGTAAATTTACAATTACATTAGATTTGGTGGTCAAGAGTTTCCTCCAAGTATTTTGTTTAAGATTTATATTGACAGAAGAAATCTTGGAGTAAAGTACTATAATGGCAGAACAATTATAAAGCCTGCATCCCAGGTATGATTTAATATATATGAAATTGATGCTATATTCCATCCTGGTAATTGCGTCATGCCTTATGCAGTAAGATCATATAGTTGATATAATAATTTTATATTCAAATCATAGGCAGCTGCTGATGCATGCAAAATGATGGGCTACAGAAAATTCTATGATCAAATGATCGCTGATGCTTGGGATAGAGAATGTCATGAAATCACTGATGAAATTGATGTTGTTACGCTACAGGATTATCTTAAGGTATTTAATATGTGTTATTCTATCAAATAAAGCTGGCTTGATCCAAAGGTTTATTAAAGATATTTTTTAACGCATACAAAGTCAACAATTACAATTATCATAGCTCTCATAAACACATATTAGTACTAGTAAATATCGAAATTAACAACAAACATTATCTCTAGCTTCAAAGTAACTTGGATGAGAAAGAAGCAGCGAAAGGAGGCAAAGAAAATTTGTGGCGACGATTGTCACTAGAAAGTAATTTTAATTATAAATCTTTACATATATAAAAGCATTTTTAAGAATAATTATATTAGTAGGCATGCATAATTTAATGTTCGTGACTGTGAGGTATACAATTTTTAAATAAGCGCTTTTCTAATCAAACCATTTTAGATGTTCCACGCCATCATATTATGCATGATGTTCTATCCTATATGGCTACTGGAGTAATAACTAGAAAGCTTGTAGATCAAGCCCCTCAGATGGTAGATTACTATGTTCCAAATTCTGGATTGCCTTTGGGTCCACCAATATTGGCACAAACCCCATTGTAATATGATATTTAAGATAACATTAACATCATTAAACAATCCTGTAGTACATTTACTAATATTTTAATAACAGCCAGGAACCGATTGTGTAAATTATATACTGTAGTATTGTCATAACGCATCAAGCAGCTAATTCTTACGTTGATTTCTTTCATTTGAATAGATCTGCTACAACATCTAATGATAGAGCAGGTTTACCAACAAACCAAGAAACTTCCCAAAGCAAACGCCGATCAAGAAGAGCTCAAAAACGTGTAGCATCTATGAGAAAAAATTACCTTAATCAAGATTTCGAAAGCAATGAGGTGAAAAAATATTTCAAATTCAGTAATTGGAATATTTATAACTGAGATTTTCATTTTCTGTAGCCGAATAATGATAATAAGCGGCAAAGTAATCAGGTTATAGGTTATAGAGGCACGCAACAAGACAGAAAGTCAACCTCACGTACAAATATTGATGATATCATATTTGAAGGAAATGAATGGGAAGAACAAGCAGGAGAATTATACGAATGGTCCAGGGGATTATCCTATGATGACGACATAAATTAATTAAACTTGGCCGAATCTAAACTTGAATCCGTATTTTAATATCCACAGTAAATGCATAAGCAATATCAATATACGCATTGTTTGCAGCGTTGAAAATATTTTACTAATGGTATCGAAAAGAATGAATTTTGTATTGGAGACTGAAAGAGTTATTAATATCTATTGGCACGACCTCATGGACTTGAACGCGTACTGTACATTTTATTTCCATTTATTGATATAGAGAGAAAACTTTATTCTAAAGAAATCCAACGATGTATGTTCGTTACCGGTAATCATAAACTCTCACTTTGCAGATTTTCGCTAGTATTTTATATATTTGATTAAGTATGTTAAACGCGTAGGCTATTATTATTATCATTGTTATTATTGGTTATTTTCAAGTTTCGAAGAAATTACCTTGAGTCAATTACAACAATATTGACTTGCATTCTAACCGTTGACAATCAGGATTACTACAGATTATTTGTACTATAAACACTTTCAAGCAAATACAATTTTATTTCTTCAATATCGAATAAAAATTTTCTTGATCATGATTCTATACCTTTTATGAAAGATGAATACTAGATACCTTTGTATACAAGATAACAGTATGAAAAATTGCTCAATATGCTTTAATACGAGTATTATATAATGATAATCTGCCTACTGAATGGATTGCAGCAATATTCGTCAATTCTATACCGTACCAGGGACTTTTTTTAAGAGAAAATTCTTGAAAAGTCCCCGATCGTACGCGTTGTATTTCCACTCTTAGTCGTTAACGTTAGCACGAGGAACTTTGATACACTCCTCCTAGTAAGCTTACTGAAAGTCTCTTTTATTTAGGATTTACTGCATTTCAATAGTATAGCCGTAAAAGCGTATTATACCCTAATCTTAGTAATTCATTACCTTATGTTATGCTAACACGTTAGGTGCAGTACAACAAGTTACTATATTCTTACATACATAACAGTACGGATACTACGATTAATTTACGGAATAGATAATATATATCGTAACTACTGTAACAACAGAACTGTATAGCATAAATCCTCTTCATACTCTAGTATACCAGCGTATCATGATTTCTTAATCTATTGCATTCTACCTTACCATTCTTAACCTCCTATTTAGTTATAGTCTTCGTGCAAAGTATTGCATCTAGACTATCGTGTCGGATTGGTAAGTCCAATAAGCTAATAATGGATCACATATTAAATACGAGTTTATGCTTGTTAATCCTTTATCTTAGATTATTATAGAATAGTAAGAATGGACATCGTTCTTCAATAGCATCTTATTTAAGAAATGACTTTATGCATCAAGTTAATAGTCTAGATTAATAGAAAATCCAACAGATCAAACGGAGCAAATAGTTCGTATACCTGGCGTATTGTGGCCGTATTCGTATTTTCTCAATAATCATTCAAATGGAGATTTTTTGTTATACTGTACTGTACGCCAAGTCTACTACCACCACGGTATACCAGAATAGATATGACTTAAGTCACTTGAATGGTTGGTACAGTATTTGAAGTTCGTTAAACTTACTTGACCTTCATTTTTGCTTTTACTTGTTTCATTGTTCCAATTTCCGATTCGAGAATAAAATTGATTACTCCTAGCAACTATAAACTTTATTATAATGAAATCAAGTGCGATAGTACATTTGTGGCCTTAATAAGCACGACTATCTTCACTTCCACGTAGCAGCATTTGTGCCCTAATATAATGCGCAACATTGGATAATATTTTAAAATTTGAATACATTTCGACATCACATTATTCTAGCGGTACCTTAATAATCCTGCTATCCTATTCTTGTTTAAAATAAAACTACTTTCCCTTTGCAACCATCATCAGTCGTCAATTTTATTTTATTACGAGTTTCAGTGGTTGATAACCCGTAATTCTGAATGTTGCCATTTCATATTAGTATTGCAAAGTGTTTCAAATACCCTAACCCCCAAGTGTACCACATACATGTCATACTAGATTAACATCCATAGATGATTATACGTCTTCGTGTATCATAGACCATAGTACAAAGTCTTCTGTCTGAACCTTGTGATGTTGATTATCCTTTCACAATCCTCATACCCTGTCTCTACTTGCTTCATTAATAATTTATTCATTAAAATAAAGCTATTTTCCTTCTCAACAATCATCTGTCGTCAATTCTGTTCCAAGTTTGAGCAGATGCTAACTGACAATTCTGAATATGCCAACTTTTATATTCGTATTGCAAACGCCCAACCTCAAAGCGCTTTTGGCCATCTTTGGCCTTAGACTGGTAGGTTTACACCCATTGCAGCGAGTCTCATTGCTTGAGCATATGGAGGACTGTCTGGATCATTTCGTAGTGCGTACTGGTACCTTAGTAGTAAAGGATCCGATCCGGACCAGCGTACCATACTTAGCGGACTACAGTATATAGTACTGTACAGTACTGTACTGTACTGTACGAGTCAGTACAATACCGTACAACAATGTTATCATACTGTAATACAATGATGCAGTGGGCTGACACGGGAGCGTGTCCGCTCAGTCAATAGTCGTTGCACATTGGTTCGTTGTTCATGGTAGAGTGAGTCTATCTGCGATTGAGGTTCCACAGCTGTTTTCACCATTGACTAGGCAGCCATTACTGAGACTTTGAACTTTCCTCGTTCATGTTCTATAATCCAGAGTAATCCTCTTCAATCGATGTCAAAATGTCTTCCAAGATTGGTATAAATATAGCCAACAGGATCTTTTGGCTACGACAAAGTTCTTGCAAGTATAACAACAGGTAATATGTCGAGCTTTGAAAAAATTTCAATTCATTTTGAATCTCTTTCAGCACTTTTCTCCCCACCACAGCAGATTGGAACATGCCTTTGTGCTTTGGTAGTGATTTTCAGTCATAGATAGACGACAGTGTCTATGCTATCCACCGAGGTAGCTATTCGTTAGAATGATGGTAGCAAAATTGAGTTAGATGGCGTAAAATGTTCCAGTTATCCTTATAAACATTTTATCATTGACCGTGGTTGGCTGTTGTGAGCTCCAACCGACAGGAATGCAATACTTCTAGTAGCGTACTTATCAACAGTGCAAATATTTTCCTATCCTAAAGGGTCATTGAATCGAATCTTTGAGCAATGGATAGATAGTAGTATCAATACTGATCCAGGAGTAGCAGTAAGGATGAGTTAAGCGCAGTAAAACCTCTTAGTGTCTTCGTTTTTCTTATATTCTTTCTATGACCATTGGCTTGGGCCAGCTTCAACCTTCCAAGTTAGAACATGGAGTTTGATGCAGCTGTGGATAGATGGCGTCTGTAGGACATGCTGTACTCGCCAAGCAGTAGCAGTGTAGTGAAATTTGGCCAAATTTTTGAGTCATTGTAACTCACCTTCTGATTCCGTAACCGTTAGCGAGCACAAGCTCGAACTTCGATCCTGATGCTAATTTGTCCATTAAATGAGTTCATTGCCTATGTAAACTTGAGCAGTTGAATAGCACTGTTGACCCAAAGTGCTCCCTAGAGCAATTAGGAGCAGTAGGAATGATTTTCTATCCAAACAATCTTGAACGGTAGATAGAGAATATATGCTTGGATCTAAATCTGAATTAGCTTGTTATTATCCCGTAGACTGTGTATAAAGCCTTCATACCCTGCTTCATCCTAACCCAGAATTGCTCTGTAAAATAGTTGATACACAATTTCTACGCTTCTTGTAAACTTTCAATGCAAATTACCATCACTTTACATCGTTCGATGAGTAGCATGCTTAGACCTAAGTACTTTACCTTCCTAACGTTAATATCGGTATTATAATTAATCAAACTTTATTTTCATTAAAGGCAATGCAAAGACTCTTCCCTTACGTAATACTATAGGATAACCATAGACCACTCGAAGAAGCCGTAGTTTCCCCTAGCTTCTTCTAGTGGCCCATGGATTAACGCATAACGAATTAATCCAACAGGATTAATAAGAAATAAATATTATTGATTAACCACGTTGTAATTGGATTGCTTATATTTTGCTATCGCATTATAGGAGACCGATCGTTACATTGAGAAATCTTTTCGAAAGATATCAATCAACAGGTATTATTCCACACTATTGTTAGTAAATATTGGTGGTGAAATTGATATCAAGATAAGGATAGAACTAGTTGTAGACTCATGGCAGTAGATTAAAGCCTCCTGTAACATTGTCCTGACGTGCGACTTTTTGGGCAATCGAGTTTGCATTAGTATTTGAAATAATCATGTTTTACAATAATCTTAATTATAAATTCTATTGATACCCATTTTGCAATGAGTCATTTAGCAAAAAATAAGTAGATTTTAACGGCATCTGTGCTTGCAATTACATCTTATATGTTGTTATTTTCATGACTACCAACTAATATTGTAGTAAGCGTTCGATAGTAGTACTCGTATAATTAAGAAATAAATCTATCAACTACCATTGCTGCTTGCATTACTTAGCTTATTTTTACCTTTTGCTGTATTCAATATAGATATCGTTATAATTATTATGTTTCCAATGTGCTGTTTTAACTTTAACCATTAGATAACACTTGATACACAGTAGTTGCTGCTAAATTATATACTCGTAATCCAGCATGATTAGGCTTTTTTATTTTATCATTCACCAAAACCATCTTTTTATCCCAATAGAAGTCAAAAGAAAGAAGATTTCCAAAGTCTTAATAGCGAATCGCGGTGAAATTGCTTGTAGGGTGATTAAAACTGCCAAATCGATGGGCATTAAGACTGTAGCCGTATATAGTAGTGCAGACCAGGGGTCGATGCACGTTGAAATGGTAACTCGTTGTTTATAATTTATTTTACTTATCCTCTATTGGTAAATGATACCGTGTCTTCCCGATTCGACAGTAATATATGGCGACTATTTGTAATTGAATGAAGTTTTGAATCGGATAATTTACATCTTTATAGGCCGATGAAGCATACTATATTGGTGAAGCACCATCACGGGATAGCTATTTGCGGGGCGATAAAATTCTTGATATTGCAAATTATTGTGGAGCTCAAGTAAACGCTTAATCTTTTGTAGTTTATTCCTTGTTACGTATGCTATTTTGCAACGAACGTGTAATTTACAGTTCGTAATATTCCTATCCAAAAGGCTATTCATCCCGGATATGGTTTCCTATCTGAAAACGCGGACTTTGCTGAACTTTGTGAATCCCAAGGGATAGTATTCATCGGTCCGCCAGCAAGCGCAATTCGAGATATGGGTCTTAAGAGGTTTTCAATAGAAAAATTTATTCCTCTGATGAACCTAGCTTAAAACTTATTACATATTATTCTATCTCTTAAAGCACTTCCAAGCAAATTATGGCGGATGCTGGTGTCCCAATTATAGAAGGATATCATGGTGAAGATCAAGCGGATGCAAAACTAAAGGATGAGGCTAGTCGTATCGGGTATCCTGTCATGCTAAAAGCCGTCTGTGGAGGTGGTGGAAAAGTTAGTGAAGACGTTCTATTTCTTTGCAAATGTTGTTTTTATGCAACCTTGTAAATCATTATTGCTATGAATGGATGTTAATATAGCTACATTCTTACATATTTATAGGGTATGAGAATAGTCATGAACGAAGGCGAATTTGATCAAGCTTTGGAATCTGCAAGGCGTGAGTCGCTAAAGTCTTTTAATGACGATAAGATGATTGTTGAAAAATATATTGAAGAGCCACGGTGAGCTAAGATAGAAGAGAAATAGTAAAGTAAACGGTGTTACAATTGTCTTAATTAAAACGAATTTATTATGCAATTAATAGACATGTCGAGGTGCAAGTGTTTGCCGATCAACATGGGAACGCAGTCTACTTGAGTGAAAGGGATTGCAGTGTTCAACGAAGACACCAAAAAATTATTGAAGAAGCACCAGCCGTTAGTATTTACAGTTAATACTTCCTATTTCACGACTGTTTATTACTTATTCAGTGCATACGTAACATGACTTATCTCAAATTACCTATTATACAGCCGGGATTGTCAGAAAGTATTAGGCATGAAATTGGAGCAGCTGCAGTGAGAGCGGCAAAGGCTGTAAATTATGTCGGTGCAGGTAAAGGTCAAGATTTCAATGTTATATTTAGGCTTAAAAAGTATTTGAAACAATTTGACATTGCGTGTAAAAATTCTAGGTACGGTAGAATTCATCATGGATAAACATAAGAAATTTTTTTTTATGGAAATGAACACCAGGTTGCAGGTAAAATTAATTTTTTGCTTACGTAGACAATAAATACCAGTGCGTTATAGTGGATAGAATAGTAAAATGGATTTCCATTGATCTGGATACTTTTTAGTACAACGTTTTCTAATTTGATATTATGTAGGTTGAACATCCCGTTACAGAATTGGTTACGAACACTGATCTAGTAGAATGGCAGCTGCAGGTAATACCTAAGTTAACCTAATGTTAACTATTCGAAATCTAATGTTGCCTAAATAGTTATTCAATTGCCCTTCATATCTGACGCTTCGATGATAAACATTAGGTAGCTTCCGGTAAAGAACTTCCCTTACTCCAAGGAGACATTGAGCCATATGGACATGCAGCCGAAGCAAGAATTTATGCAGAAGATCCTAATAAGTAAGATTTTTATCAGATTTGTATTGAGAAGTTGAACGTCGTTTTAAGTTACCGTGTCTAAAAGACTGGGTTATGCCGTAATAGTTATTCTATCGTTACTTTAGCAATTTTCTCCCAGGAGCTGGACCATTAAGGCATCTCAAGTTTCCTCTTAACTCAGATTCTGTAAGGATTGACACAGGTGTCACTCAAGGTAAATAAATATATCAAATGCACTCACATAAGCATGTACTGTAGTAAGCTAGTATCATTACCTAGGGAGTATACAGTATACTATAAATGGCGGTGATACCATACTGGCACCACACTTTCTGATAGCAACGCTGATTATTTTTTTACAGGTGATAATGTTTCAGTGCACTATGACCCTATGATTGCCAAGTTGATTGTTTGGGGAGAAGATCGTGAATCGGCTTTACGAAAACTAGTCTATTCTCTTAATGAGTGTCATGTATGTGTGCAAGCTGGTTAAGGAATGAATAGCTTAAGAATAGCATACCATTAAAATAATAAGTATCGATAAGAGAATAATCGGCATTTCTATACGCGTAATTAACCTAGGTGGTTGGATTAAATACGAATCTAAGATTCCTAACTGATTTGGCTAGCCATCCCGAATTTATTGCTGGAAATGTTCATACTGGCTTTATTCAAGTAATTATAATTATGCAAAATATCGAATAAAGTATCGATCTGAAATGGTTATCTATGCTGTAATTTAGGAGCATGAAAATTCGCTCTTTGAGTCTACCAAGTCGGTACTTTCGTGCGATCAGTCGGCTTTGGCTTGTTTGAGTTTATTATTATTCGAACAGAAAGACGGCTTATTAAGGGATATGTTCATTTCACGTACGTAGTTTACTCACGTTATATCACAATGTATTTATCAGAAATGGAAATTAACATGCTATGTACTATTCCATCTTTATTGTAGAAGACCTATATTCTCCTTGGAATTCAACGTCTGGACTCAGATTCAATACCCTTTATTCAAAATCGGTTACGTTAATGGATGGTGAAAGCGGTATAAATATGTTTACAGTTTTACTAGGTACTGTATCGTGCTTCAATATTGGCTAATTATGCTCTAAAATTTCATATTCAGAAATGAACTTTTTAGTTACCTATAACCGTGATGGCAGCTATTCTATTAAGGTAATGTAGCTTTTAGTAAATACGAAAATAACTCTTACTCTAAATTGGTTTATGCATATTGAACTTAGTAAAACCGTTTCTTAGCTTTCTGACACGTTAGAAATGGAAGTAGCCGGCAAGATATTTGATGCCGAAGACGACGATACTATTTTCATAAATGCGGTCGTCAATGGAGTGAAGCATACTGCTAGCGTAGTGCGCTATAACGACTGCCTTCACATTTTTACTGCTGTATGTAATTTACGAATGAATGGTTATGCAGCAGGCTTTAATCTCTTAAATTCAGCATTATATTTCACCTTTTCAGGATGACTCGTTTAAAGTTCAAGTTCCCCTACCTAAATTTGTGACAATGCAACAAGATAGTGCAATTACTGGTGCTGGGACTGTTGCACCTATGACCGGCGCCATCATTAAGGTTATTATAATTTATTTTATTTTGTCATGAGTAAAAATATTAAAACTGATCTTTCTGTTACAATTGCCAGGTCTTGGTAGAAAATGGCCAGAAGGTCGAGGCAGGCGACGTCTTAATGCTCATTGAGGCCATGAAAATGGAAGTAAGTGTAATATGAACTATTTGGTTATTAAAGAATAGCACACTACTATCTCTCATAGAAATTTATAAAGTTAGAAGTAATTTGGTGTTCTTTCTTCTGTTACCTAATAACAAGTAACTCATTGCTTTATCGCTACATTCCTAAAATTTTCTAAATTTTTTGACGTATAGCACAAAATAGTGTCGCCTAGATCGGCAACCGTAAAGACAGTGTTGTTCCAGGAGGGTGATTCAGTGGAGAAAGATCAATCACTGATTATTTTCGAAGAATCTGAAGACAATGAATAAAAGTAGGCTTTAAAATCTAGACTGGCAAGCAGTTACAATTTTGTGCCAAATGATACGGTACTAGAGACAAATTTGAATGATATTATTTAATCGATCGTTTTTTTACAGATTTGATCCATACCTGCAGATACGAAAAAGGCACTCTATTTTAACTACTGCAGCTTACGGTAATTTCTTTGAATAGTTTATTTTCGCATATATTCTCAAAATTGGTTTAAGTGTTAATTGAAAATTGTATGAATGGTCGTATATCATCTGAACTAAAACATAACTATGAAGGTGTTGCGATATACAAGTGATATACATGTATTCTTTGTATTGTGATGCCTTCTCTTATACAATCTTCTCTGACTATGAAATCCAGGAGACCAAATCATTTTTAAATCTGTTATGAAGCCATTTATTACTTTGTAGTACTGTATATTATTATTTAACATTCTTTATATCACGGTAGATCCATGCTTAAAGCTAAGATTGGCATAATTAAAAGATTGTTAATTGTTGACAGATCCGTAGTCGATTCTTATTTCTTTGTACTCCAATAGGCAATAGCTATTTCGAGATTGAGCTATGACTACTAATTTTAACACCACTCCATCTAGAATTTAAAATTATGATTGGCAGTATTCAGTATAAGCGAGTTGAGAAAAAAGATAATCATTTTTGTCAGACAATTTTCTACTTACTTCGTACGTATGCAATGATTAATAAGAGGTTCGACATTATCCTTATTTTTGGGCATATAGGTTTGCAAGGTGTCTACATGAAATTAGATGATCATAAATTATTGGATAATGCTATACCACTGTATGGGATAATAGTGTATTCAAGTAAAACTCGTACAGTTGACGAAAATAGTCATGATAATCGTAACTACTATAGAATGTTAGCTATCGGTTCGTGATCGTTTCTTACCGATATGAATCCGTTGAAGCTCCGTCTGACTTACTAATCCAGTATAGTACCATAAATGAAATTGCCTTTCCGCTTTCCTATGTCATAAAAAATTTAACCGTGATAAGTAGCGTTTTTACAACCAATAATTTACCTACTATTATTAGCAGATCTAGATAGCAAGTAGATTTATATAAATTCTAATTTATGTTTCTATTACCAATCGTTTAACAAATCTCTTTTACAAGAAAAGATAACAGCAAAGCTGAGTTCGATATTTACAACCCATATGGGATATTTTGGTGTTTTGAGCTTACTGCCAACCTAGAATTTTTCATGATACAATTAGAGTTATGTTGGGGAAAGCTAAAATCAGTCTGTATTACTGCAAATACTGATTGCATGTCATAGGCAAGTAAATTATACAACGTGAGTATCTGCAATTCTTTAGAAGTTTCATAACTGGTAATATCAAAAGCCGTTCAGGTTTTCAATCACTCTATTAGACATAAATATTTATACCGTATAGTTGCCTTCAGCGACATGTTCCATCAGCGTGAGTAGGCCTACTACTCCACGTTTGTCAATGCCAAAAAGGGGTTGTTGCTATTCGTACGAATCAAAAATGACTTTTACGCACTTAACAAGCAATGAGCTTAAATCTATTTCCATAACTTAGTGATTTACACAATGAAGATAATAATACTATATTGATTATAATATTACTTATCAATTAATTATTAAGGGTATACAAACCAGAGGCTTTCGTAACTTGTAATCGTAATCCAAAATGCCATTAAAAACATAAGAGACAGCTTTGCCCACTAGTAGCAAGTTGATTAATTCTTGCGAGCATCTTTCATTCTCAGTCAGTAAGATCTTCTCTGGATCATCCATATCATTTCGTATGCTATCATAACAAAATAGATCGATTAAACTATACTACTACAGCTTTTTTTTTGTTTACCAGCATGACTAAAATGATTAGTTTTTCAGTTTGAATTATATTTACTTTTCAATCCCTCTGGATAGGATAGCAGAATAAAGAAAAAATGCGACACCATATCCAAATTCATGTTGAAACTGATAAAAACAGATTCGTAGTAGTAAAATTATAGGGGTTATTAAAAGGACAAGTAGATAGTCTTGATCAAAGTCTGTAAACAGCCTTACAATAGGTAATTTCTTCTTGATAAAGTCTCGAAGATCATTAAATGCATTAAATTGATACAGAATTCCCTAATTAATGGAATGAACTGAATTAGTTTGCAATAGCAGTTAAAAGCATTGTGTATACGCGTATAGTAAAAAAATTACTACACAGTACAAGATGCAATAAATATCAAGGAGAGTAATACTTTACAAATTGTTAAATTTGCGACCTAGTTAATTATAATTAACAGTGTATTATTTCTGGATGTGGATAGAATCTAAAAGTGGCAATAGTTATTTGCTGTAATTTATTGTAGTAGGTAGTCCGCGGTGACTAAGTAATGAATCAGCAGCTTGATTCGTTGTCAACTGGCTTCAGTACCTAAGCATGATAACTGGGATATTTCATAACTATATTGCTATGCCGCTATACGCATATAAAAGAGACACTTCACTAGGCTCCAATGACTATTGTATTACGGTATTATGAGAAGCTGTATCGGCAGTGTACAAATCTTTTAGCTAGCTAAATATAGCTTACGATCTTTAGCTAAAAACTGACAAATTCGAGAACTGAATAACTTACATCTTCGGTCATGTCATTCAGCCTAACTTGAGATGCTCCTATGGGTTTTGAACGATCATCATCTGGCGGTAATAAAACGATTGCAGTTTTACTTTCTTCACCGGCAATCCACAGTATATCAGCCAAAGCTAGCGCTAATGCATTTTGTCGTTCCCTTTCATTGACTGCTTTCAATCTGTTAGGCCATGGTAGGCATTTAAAACATTAAATTCGAAATACATGATGATGCTACAGTATAAATGAAAAGCCCAATCAGAAGAAAATTGGGCTTCATTCTCTACCGTTTATAGTTGTTTTCATCGTCTTCATCAAATATTAAATGTCTTAGTACGAATGCTTGTACGACAGCAATAACACCGCATGGTCCATTCTGTTATTAAATAAAATTAGTAAATATGATAATTATTTCAGTTTCTTAATTGGATAGCTGACATAATAGACAACCTGTATCAGTAGTATACCTTATGAATTTTAAGCCCAAAAGGTAATCCATAATTATGTATATGAAAGATAAAACTTTCTCGACACCAGTCAATTTCTTTCGGTACCATTAACTGACCGAAAAGGATCTTTCTTAGAGCCTGATGAATAATATTAAGATAAAATTTGGCATATAATATCTTTTAGCAGTGTAAATCCATGCAAAAGTTGCGGATAATATAGTTTAACCAAATTACAATATAGTATAGTATTTGCTTGCATAATAATATGTAGACTAATTCATGCTCTATCAATATGTAGGTGTATTCACGGAAGTTAGCGATATTTTTTTTTATATAAATCGTCTCTAATCATCATAAATTTACAATTTATTACATCGCAGGTCGTCGCATGTGATCGAAGGAGAAGAAATCAAGTTTCAATGCTAAATATAAAGCAGGTTATGCTCTATAATTAATTTATCGAATAACGTAATATAGCGTATACGTGGAACTGAAAGATGAATTAAAACTTTAAATTGAGCGCTTCAATTGAAATTTATAAGTGAGTTACTGTTAAAATGATTAATTTTTAGTATGAAATCTATAAAGACAGTTTAATTTAACAATAATCGGGGATGAATATTATATTATAAATTAATCATCATTCAATAATGAGACAGTACGAGTAGGTACTACATCAATTTAATGGAGCTACGTCGATAATTAATATGGGATAACAATGAATACATAAAGTAATTTTATATAAATGAGCTAAGATGTAGTCCTTCTAAATTTAATCATACCAGTGAATCCGTTAGACTAATAGTTTTATATTTTTGATAAGATGCAGAAAATCGGGCGGAAGCTTCAATTCGAGCTAAAATAGCAGCATAGAAATCAATAATATTTATGATACAGACATGAGATAAATGAGAATAATAACCCGAATGCCTTCTTTTTCTTGCTTCCGATATAATATAAAAAATACAGTAAGACTTTACCTCGTTCTTTTAACTTTAATTTTACTCTTTCATCTAGAGATAAGATGGCCGTCTACGGATTAAAATTTTTTATTTTAGCTTTGTTGACAAATCGTAGGATTAATTAACAATTTATTTTAATTTTCAGAGTAATGGATGACACATTTCAATTACCTTTTGAGCTTTTTTTCTTGATAGTTATATAGATGTAATAAAGGAAATAGGTTAGTTATTAGCTTAATTATTTATATAATATACCTGATTTCGGTCAGAACTTTAAAGTGAAATTGTTATACTGGGCTACTATTTTTTAATCTAATACTCTCGTGCTATAGGCTAAACTGCCGTTAGTAAATTTCATATATATAGGCGAAAATAAATTGATTGATTCGCATTATGGCGGTATTGTGCTGAATGTACGTGCAGGAAGAATCAGTCAGTCTATGGTCGGTTTGGAAATTAGCATTTAAGTGGTCAGTTATAGTCTCTTCAGAGTTGAATTTCTGTTGTATAGAATTAAACTGAATTCTTATAAGTCGTATTAATCTAGCACATCATTATGTAAGGAATAATTTCAAAGGACTAAATGATTTTGCAAACTGCACATTTAATCTGACATCATCGTGATATACAGTAGATCGATCGATCGAGTCTATTTAGAAGTAATTATAAATGCATAGAATGTAGTTGAGTTCTTATAAGCTGACGTAGTCTATGCTGTATAATGAAATGATGATAATATCCTTATTTAAGCGGCAGAAGGATTGCAACCAATGGATATTATTATCAGCTACATCTTCATTAGTTAAATTGTAGCGTTTAACGATAGACCAGCATATATTGTAATTTAAAATCATGTGCCTATTATTCTAAAATTTTATCAATCTTAATTAGTAGGCTACTATTCTGACTATAAAATTCTTCTGTTTTTTTTGGCACGATAATGTAATCATTATTATCAAGTCTAAGTTATTTCTGTAATTTTTTAAAGCGCTAAAGCAGATTTTCTGTCGTTGTAATAATAGAATAATATATAGTCTCAGGTAGTATAGAATGAAATTAATATTTGTCTTTGCACTCTTTCCATGATTTTTCTAGCCCTGCTAAGGAATTGACTGTGTAATCTATTAGTTGCAGCAACAAGATATAATTTAACTACAGTTAATACTATTTATGATTAAATACTCTCCTTGATTTCTTACCATGCTAAGACATTAGTAAATAATCCAACCTTTACTCATAGTTACAGAAAGCGATTTAATTATAATGCAGTGAATGTTGTTTCATGACTAAAGTCTTTCTATTATTTTCTGATCAAATTAAGACACTAGCTAATATCCTATCTTTTATCCGTTTCTTCTAGCAATATAATAAAATTTAGCTCCAGTCAATATTTTTAAGTAAGCCACTTCTGCTATTTTTGATCAAGTGAAAGCACTGATACCAGAATTTGCCCAATTTTCGTAATAGGCTCATACGATTTTTTAATTTACTATTAACTACAAAATTGGGTTATTGTGCGTTAATATTCTTTAGCTTTTCGATTGTTTACGTATAACGTAAGTTTATTGTAAGACATGAGAAAAATGAATTTGTCGTTGAGAGAGCTTTACTAGACAACTGTACTAGATAAATCTTTACAAAAAATTTCTAACTAAAAGCCTTTAATAAAATAATACTGATGATAAAAAAAGTAGCCAGTGTCGGTACTCGTAAAAAAGTGATATGTTATATTGTTCGCTTAAAGATGATGAAGAAGGACAAACTCATGAATTATTTTGCCCCAATTTTAAAATAAAATAGATGTCAATCTGCTCTACTTTTATAATTCGATAATAGGATTAAGGTGACTAGCTATAGCGAACAACTAGCCAGGATGTGAAAACATGAGTGTTAGATTTTGATATTTGAAGCTAGATTTAGGCTAATATTGAAAGGGAGGGACCATAACCAATTACAAACGTAGATATTAACTTGACATTTATAAGAATCTCGTTATGTTTTAATTTCATGTACTAAATCAAATGTGAACAATATATATAATATTTACTGATATCTCGTTTGTTATTTGTTAAAAATCGACATAATTGCTTATTATGTATGTCGAATATTGTCAATTGGGAGTCAAAATGATTATTGTGTTGTTTAACAGAGATGCCATTATGGATAAATTTTTAACGCTAGATTGAGTGAAACTTACTTGGCCTCTATTTCAAGCGTATCGGCCAATTTTTGCATGGCTTGCTGATCAACGTGAGCTACTACGGATTGTATAGTTTCAGTCATATTTTAGATTTTATGTACTATATCGGTTGAAAGCGTTCCTCTGTAAGTAACTTTTTTCATACAAGTGTTAACCACAATGATCAATTCTAACTAAAGGTGAACTTGTCCTTGAGTTAAGCTTCTGTAAATTTTAAAAAGAAAAAGGCAATAGCTTTATTACTAGTTGTATTACATTAAAGATTAGCTAGCTCTTGACAAATCTAACTTGAAATCGCTAACGTAAACATAAAATAACAGTGTACAATCTCAATTTATATAATTATAATCCTACTTCTCCAACAATCAAAAAAACTAAATGTATAGCTAGGGTAGTTGTTTAGATTGATTTTACAATACTCTTTGGTTTTATTTTAATTAGTTAGATGTTTGTATTATTAAAACAGCATGATATTAAAGGCATCATATCTTGAACTTACCGTTGATTCTACTTCTAAATTTAGCTATAATTCTATTTCGAACAAATTTCTTTATTAAACACGCCTGTAATTACATAGATTTTGCTTGCGTCATGTAGGTTATCATAAATTATCTACATCACTTACTCGTGTATACTATATTACTAAAACTATTAAATACTGACGATAAGGTTACTCAACAACTGAGGATGGCTAAACATTGATTTGGGTTCTACTTCGAGATAAAGGATCAATATCCATCATCAATCTAGTGATTATTTTATATAGTTGCTGACTATTTTTGTAGGACTGCCTGGTTGTTGAAGGTTGACAAAAAAAATTACACAGTTGAATATTCAAAACGCTATGTCTTACCGTGACTGCTAGGCTTTATACCAATTTTTTAACTTTTTGAAACGCCTCCAGCTGTGCCTGTACGGTTATTATCTTAATGCCATAAAAGCCAACACAACAAAAGTAACCAGAAGAAAGAGTAAAGAAAAAGTAAACTACTAGGATGAATTATTATGGCTTAAATTAATGTAATAACATTCTTAAATACTTGATAATTTAAGCTGTAAGAATCCTATCGCAGCAGTAAGCCAAGAATAAACATTGTCCTCAACTAATTGTAATCACCTACTCTAAATAGTTATAAGAGATTCGTCAACAATATTGATAATGGCGGTAATTTTACACTACGTAATGGCGGGTCTATTCTAAAAGTTCTAGCTCGGATATAACTACAAAATAGATGAATTTTGATATCTTTCAATCTACCTTGCCAATTATATATAGTAGTAGAAAGCTGCAATAGACTTACAGATAACAATAGTATTACTAATATGGAATGGGTTGATTGTTTAGGCCGGTATTAGCCCATTAATTAATTAATGCCTATCATCTAGTCATATAGACGTAATATCCACAATATATCTTGGTTATACTATAGAATTTCTATCGATTTTAGCAAGTAGTAAAGCGCGTCAAATCGGCCAGTGTTACCTTAGCAACTAGCGATGGCGTATCGGTCGATTCTGATACATAACGACGATTGTGACTATAACTACGCTAAATAGCATAGTACTTATTATGACGAAAGAATAATCCGACTCTTGAGGCGTGAATTAACCTTTGCCTAATTATGTTATTATTGATTAGCATATAGCATAGCATATATAAAAAATAATATCTCCAATAGATTTATGCAACTGTAAAATGCTTAAACTAAATAACTCCAACTACAGCTAGGGTCTGCAGGTTCTGCAATCAGTGTAAATTTTACGAGCTTAGACTTTAGCCTATGTCGCATATGGTTGGCACAGATTGCTAATCTTGTCAGAAAGTGCTCAAAACTAACATGAATTAAGTGATTTTTGGAGACGTTCTAGAGCATGTCATTGTGCTTTTTTTCTTAGTTTAAATGATTCAATTCAGAGAGGTAGCTATAGTTCAACAGACGATAAAGTTTACAGCTCGCAAAATTCTACCACTAGAGATCTGATGTTGCTTAATGCAACTTTCTTTCCTCGGCCTTATTACTATATTGTAGGGAAATAAAGCGTTGCTGTGCAGGTCTACTCAAGAACTACTCGCCGACATCCTTTTTCAATCTCCTTATTACTCATATTATTATAGAAGGGAGAACAAGATAGGTTATAGAGTCGTTACTGGTCTACTGCATCTAAAACTGTTACCCTGCACTACTACGTGCTAAAATATAGCATAGAATCAAGCATAGAGGCTTATGATAGGATATACAGTATTAATTAATTAATTTCTATCTACGTGATAGGGCTACCTGGACGGCCGGAAATACTCTATTGCAGCGAGTGATACAGACAGACACTCGTTAATGAGCAGAAGGCAGACAATCTCTTAACCACAATCACAATGTCTGCAGAAAAGACTGCAGCTCTCATCAAACCTTTACAACGTTTAGTTGTACCTAATAGTAGTGGTAGGAAACATACAGCAACGGTAATATTCTTACATGGATCTGGGGATACTGCTGTAGGTGTGCGTCATTGGTTAAATGTCTTGGTCAAGGGCGTCTTTCGATTTCCTCATATACGAATAGTATATCCACATGCGTAAGTCTAATTTGCTTTTGCGTGTGAAATCCTATTCTACAAGTTGATTTTGTGCTCATTCTATTCAAGATCAATTTATGTGCGATAATGATGTATGATATTATACAGCTGTAAGTTATATAGAATAGCGCAGTAGATCTTATGATGGAAGATACTGAAATTGACCTGAATTGGTGAATTGCTGTACTGTATTAGCTGATAAAAAGAGCTCAGCTCTTATTTGTATATTAATAGTCGAATCATGATTGACAAAAACATTGAGTATCTCTCTTTCATGTTATCACAATCAATTCGCATAGACCTCAACAACCATATACACCTTTAAATGGCCAACTCAGCAATGTCTGGTTCGATCGTCGTAGCATCGATGCCAATACCACTGAAATGTTAAATTCTGTGGATGTCATGAAGGATAGAAGTAAGTTTACCGACAGTTACCAAAATTTCCGTTAACATACTGATTTTTAATGGCATTCTGTAGAAACTTTGTTCGTATGCCTATCTCATTATGGTGCAGTATTTATAACCAGATAAGCTAACTAGTAACAAACACAGCTATTCTTCATGACCAATTCAAACTAATACATTGATCTAAAATCTTAATTTTAAACCTATAGTTCATCAACTGATTGAAGATGAAGTGCGCCAGGGTATTCCCTATCACAGGATTATCATTGGTGAGAATTCTGTAATCGCAGCGTTTGTTTAGATTTGGAATTTTAAAAGTTGATTTGCTTTGCTAACAATAATCTAGACAACGCTCCCTAGATAATTTAGTGTAAAACTACCATTAAATCGCCGGTAATGCAAGTTGAAATAGGAAGGATAATTTTTAATGATCGATCAAGTTTATTATTGTCTACAACTACTTTCAGATATTGTTGCTGTGAATACAACTTTTTTGGTTGTCACGATAATAGGAATATTGTAACATTGCATAGATGTGAATAGATTATTATAAGATAATACTATTATCTTAATCCAGTAGTTATAATAGTGCTTTCTTTCTTAGAGATTCTGATTAAGATAACGTAATTATCTTGATCCTGTAGATATATTAGTGCTTTACTCCTAGGCAGTGCTATATAGACAGATTGCTCATAAGCTAATAGGGATATCGCGACATTGCATAGAGGTGAATAGATTTTGATTAAGATAAAATAATCTTCTTGATCCTGTAGTTATGTTAGTGCTTTACTTCTAGGCAGTGCTATATAAACAGATTGTTCATAAGATAATACGAATCTTTTTTCTAGTCATATTATTGCTTTACTAGTCGATGTTGATGATACGGCATGATTAGAATATTCATTTGAAAAGTGCTTCCCCTTAGCTACTTGTTCTTTATCTTATAAATTGCTTCATTTGCTTACGGTATATAATATGTACTACTTATGTAGGTGGTTTTTCGATGGGAGGTGCTATGGCTTTGCATGCTGGATATCGCTATAGTAGAAGCTTAGGTGGTATTTTTGCCTTATCCTCCTTTGTTCCAAAAGATTCGGCTGTATTTAAGGTTATTATAGTATTATCTAATACTGTATTCACATTCATTATTACTTCGATAGTTTGATAGTATCTTTTGAAGGCATAATGTTCCTGAAAGAAAGTGTAATTAATCTATCGTCATTTTTAGGAATTGCACAGTTATAAAAGATCACCTCCGTCCGCTATCGTTATGTCTGGCGATAATGACGAATTGGTCAAGTTTGAATGGGGCGTAGCTGTTGCTAACACTTTAAAATCTTTAGGTATAGATTGTCAGTTTCAGATGTTTGAAGGTTTGCAACATGATATGTCAATTGAAGAAATTAACATCTTAAAAGAATGGATTATACAAAAGTTACCGGAGTAGGAATGAGAAGCATCATATGATTCGATTGCCAAATTTTTAAATATTTTAAATTTCAGTAACAGGGCGTACAGGCATCAAATTTAAATTAACTCTGATGTATATCAAGTGTATCTGGTACTGTAAATATTTTACTACACTGTAACCTTAAAAACTCATACGAAATTCCAACCCTTGGTGTAACAAAATTATGCATGCACTGCATTTATTCTTTCAAGCATATTAGTACATTGCATATGGATTAGCATGCATGAAGTAAAATTAACTTTTTTCAACCTGAAATAAATTTGGTTACAGACACTATCAGCCAATTAGGTGAAATGTATTTAGGTATTTGCATATGCTTTATACTGCATAAACATTCATTATTGCTTTCCAACCCGGTATGCAAATGATAGCTGTAGTGGCAGCAGATGCGTAGTGTTGCTAAATCGAATAGAACCCTTACATCAGTGCTAAAAATATTATGGATATCTATCATTAAGTAAATGTATTAGCTGTATTACTAAGCTGATAGGTACATTGGTAGGGTACAAATAATTCCGTACGGTAATCAATCTATCATTCAAGCTGCAACCTAAGCCAGTAAGCCGATTTTTAAAAATAGAGGAAAAATAACAGCTGCTGCTTAAAGATCAAAATACCATTTCCTACTTTACTAATACTAAGAGTACTATTATACAAGGAGGTGGGATTAACCATGTAATAGAAGCAAGTGATGGTATTAGAGTTTGTAAATTCGCGGTAAAAACTCTAAAAGAGACGACAATTGTCGGTACTGTAAGATGGTGAAATAAGCCTGCAGGATAAAGCAAGGTATTCCACTTAAAATCCTAGTATTATTGCCACTATGGAGAACTTAGCATCAAATTCCAGATGTTTCACTACAAAATCCTAATATCATCGATACTAATGTTGTAAGAAGGTAAGAATAAATTTATAGTAAGTTAGACTCGCATGTAAACAATAACACCAGAGTTTGATCCTTCTACTGAAAAATCGTAGTGATCACTAACACGATAAATTTCAGAAGAAGCTAAGAATTAATCAGCAACATAAGAAAGCAACTGTACGAGAGTATCAAAATTTATGATATGATCCTTGTATAAGGTTACTACATTTTCCCCTTATGGTATAACATACCAGTCGCTCTGCTAACTTCGACTAGGTGGAGAATTTATTAAAACAAACTGATAGAAGTTGCTAATTGCTTTTATTGAACTATCTACTCCAATACAAACATTTATTCTAGAAATACGACAATTGAAGTAGTATTATCAAGAACAAAGAGTAAATTAATCTAAACCTCAGACAGGGTATTTGACTGTTTTAGTGGAATAGAAAACTGAGTAGTTGTACATGTATTTAGTTGAAGCCATTATTATGGAACCATTGAGCACGAGCAACGACATCATTGGAGTAATCGTTGCCAGTAGTACCAATATCCATACCACCAATACTTTGCACATTGCTAACACCAAAGTTATAGGCAGCAACACCACCTTGCATTTGTTGTTCTTTGGTCCAGGATCTATGATTGTTAGCAACACCGTTGATGGAACTGATCAAAATGTTAGTAGCTTGGGAGATATGAGTTGAACTGTATGGTCCACCTTGTAGAGAATGATAACGTTTATCGACCTATTCAAAGAAATAATAACAATTATAGGAGCAAATACGACTTTATCCACCTATTTTGAGAAGATTTTTGTTTAGTCTGCTTATTTATTTCCATATTTTAGAGCCATATGCAACATAATGTCCTAGTAAATAAGAAATTTTTACGATCGTAGTCTAGGTACAAGAAATGATCGTAAGCTTTAGTTTGATTTCATATTACTGCATAAAAAATTTGAATCGAGAGAGAATCTGATTGGTTTTTATTTCATGGATTATCTTTGCAAATTAATGAAACTCTATTCTCTGTAGAAGATTGCTAAATCTGCTATGCCTATTATATAATCTAACCACTGAGTCATAATCTCTTGAAGTTTAGTATCATGACTTTATTTCCATATTTAAAAGCTTATGCAATGGAATTATAACGTTTAAATTAATCAGAAATTTTTGCGATCATAGTCTAGATACGTGAAATGATCTTAAGCTTTGGTTTGGCTTCATGACACTACATACGTATCTAAAAATTTGGTTTATTTTCATTCCATTGATTGTCTATAAATTAATGAAACTTTTATTCTCTATAGAAGAACGCTAATCTGCTATACTCATCTTGTAATCTAAATACTAGGTCATGATCTCTCGATATCACATGAAATGAACGAACTATAGAGTATAGGCAAATAATCATAATTAGAACTCTGTATTTTAAATGATATAACTATCGTCTAGATTTACCTGCATCAAACCATATCCATTACCATGATCACCATATCCATTAGAATCTAAAGCACCACCACAACGAGATTCACGGCTGGCTATAGCGGTGATAAGACCAACTGGGATTTGAGTGCTTGAGCTAGCACTTTGGAACTGTGATTTGTATCGGAGACATCGGTTATAATCGTTAGAAGCCAATTTGTTTGATGCAGCAACACCAGAGTATGAAAGACCATCTTGTCTAGCAGTAGCTGATGATGCACCACTGGGGTTGATTCTCATGAAATCACCGTATTTAGTTGGGTAGCTACCGCCACTACCGCTACTGGAGACGCAACAGCGAACACTAGAAGGGCCTGGACAGTAGCCAGAATAGGTTGTACCACCGCAATGGGTTGTCAACATGCAGTTGCCAGTGCTACTTTTACAGCTTTGACCTAAAGTGAACGATATTCAAGGATAATCTTGGTTAAATGATTTAGAAAATGCAATTAAAGTAGATAGAAATAGACGCAGGATATAGTCATCCGCCAAATTATTTTAGAAAGAGTTTGAAATAATCTATTTTTCCGTAGATAATATGCTTGAAAATATTGAATTACTAGTCTACATCGTGATAAAGTACAAATGACTATTAAGATTACGGAAAAAGTAATCTTTGCGGAGAATAATGGTGTAAATAATTTTTGGTAGTCCATTTTTCGTAGATAATACCCTTAAAAATAATGAATTGCTATTTACATAGTAATGAGCACAATTGACTATTAAGATTCTGGAGAAAGTTTTTTTTTGCGGATGAGTAATTGGGTAAATAATTTTTGTATTTTATTTTTTCGTAAATAATATGCTTGAAAATATTGAATTGCTAGTCTACATCATAATGAAGTATAACAAAATATTAAGATTCTGAAAAAAGTTATATTTGCGGAAAATAATTTAGTTAATAAATTTTGGTGGTCCTTTTTTTCGCAGATAATATCCTTAAAAAATATGGAATTGCTAGTCTACATTACTATGTAGTACGAGCAACTATTATAATTCTAAAAAAGCTATTTTTGCGGACAATAATTGGATTAATATTATTAATGATTACAAACGATATTACAACATTGAAAATGAGGAAAAGGAAGTCCTGTTATAGAAATATTCTAGGGTTTTAAATTCATAATTCAATAAATAATTAATTATGATGATGAACGATAGAATCTAATTTTAAATATTTCCTTTTTACTTTTCCTAAGCCATTAAATGATGACCCCCTCTAGAGTAAGTTATGGCATTTCTGCATTTGCTGTAAAAGCATGCTCACGAGCAATTTAAATTGGTTAATAAACCACTTGTAGGTACAATTTTATGTCATGCGAAGTAGAAACCTTCAGCATAGTTACAGCGGAATGTTTAAATTGTAGCAATTCATACTACACTATGCATAATAATCCTAAAGGTAGAGATTGATGGTATTTCTAGCTATATCTTACCGACTTTTGGGCAACATTTGACGTTACTGGGATCGTAAGGACATAATCCACTGGCTGGAGTGCCGGTATAACATTGAGAATCATATTGGCAAGAACCTTGACCAGCATTACAGTCGTCATTAAGTGCGGCAAAAGCTAAGAGAAAAAAGCAAGGATCATTAATTTATATGCGGTAATGGATTCGATTCATATTAAGATTTTAATTAATCATGCTCAATAGTATAGAAAAAAGATGTATCTTACACAATTAACTCTTCTACAATACTAATAGCCCGTTGGAAAACACGAATTGAAATCAAGAAAGAAATTTAACCCTTGTAAAATAATTCTTACCCACGGCGACAAAAGCGGATAAAAGAATTACAGACTTCATCATGTTACTAGACAGCCTATCTATTAAGCTAGTCGAATTAGATATAAATTAGAAATCAATCTCCTCTCTCTTTTATAAGCTTTGAGAGAGTCGAATTAGGAGATCATTCTAATTCAAAGATTGATTTTAATCCAATCAAAGTCAATTATCTTTCCTTATGTCAACAATTTACCGCTCTTACTGTTTACCGAATAATTTGTTTAATGATTGAATTAGAATGATTAAAATGTAAATCTTAATCAAATAAGCGCTGGTAATGGGCGACAATTAAGGATTGATTGTCATGAAAGTCAGATAAATTAGACAACAGATCTGACTGACGATATGTCAGAATTCAATTACACATTATGCTCTAGCGATCAACATTGCTTACGGATATTATCCATTGCGGTGAAAATATTTCTTTTTACCTGTAATGATATAAGGATAAAATGACTTAAATAGAAATGAGATAGACTGTAAATTAATTAAGGCCATTTCTAATTTATAACCATGACCTTCTACTAGTATATGAGTATACGGTAGAAAATTAGTATGGGAAGATATTTTTGCTCGGAACTTCATCAAATATTAATCATAAAATGAGTTGAAGCAAGAGATAGATAAAATGACTATCGTCAAGCAAATCGACTATATTCAACTTCAATTCAATATCGCAATGATCTCTATGACCTAATGATTTTTATCATAAAATATAAATCTACTTGATATCAAATTTAGCCATATCTATTTCGATTCTTGGGTTATTAATCTTCTTTGAATGCTCTCGTTAGTCTCGAACACTTTCGTAAACATGTTTGTGAAGAGCTCTTAGCCACTACCTTATAATATACTTTCATACTATTCATTACCTGTTTAATATATATAGCATAGATATTAAATCCAGAGTATACGGCGATCATAGTTCTTTATTTTGCTATCATTCTTCCAATACAATTCCTGATTTCTATATGATGAAGACTCATTCTAACCTTTATAAACTGCGCGAAATTTCCATCCTGTACCGTTTATATTTCCTTCTTATTTACTACTTAAATCCTTTCTTCCTCATCACCACATTTGCTTACAAGCTAATTTCCTTATTAAAAAATTTACTTAACACAATTTAAATGGGGCTGTTTATTAGACGTAGCAAGATATGGTACTTAGTATTTTTCCCAACGTTTTTGATCACATTGTCATCAGATAATTAATATAGAATTAATGGTTACGTGATACACTCGTAAATAAAAGAGTCATCGTTAGACAGTTGGAGTATATTAAGTTTATATGCAATATTGAATAGGCAATCATGGCGTTCTATCTGTTGTTACGGCGAACGTACAGTATATATATACAACAGATTAATTTTCTTGATATATAATTTAGACGTAAGAAGATGTTTTAGCATTTAAGGACGGTACAGGTAGCTTGGCCGTATAGTTATCAATTATTCAACAAAATTGTTACATGATATATAAAATGGTTAACGACAAACGTTTAAATTGTATTAAATATATATTTAGTTTCGAATAACTAATCATGACATATATTTTTGCATATATGACGGATTCGTTTATTTGATACGTAAGGTCTACTAAGATAGGTTAGCTCTTAATTTAGTGGTGATCATTTTGCCTACATTACCAGAAAATAGATAACATAAATTTTAATAGTCATCGGTAGGCGATTGTCCTGTATTAAATTTATATTTAATGTGGAATGGCTAAGCAAGGCCTTCCATTTGTATAGACAATAAAAAGTTAATCTATTCAATATAGAATTTAGCGATTCTAGGATGTGTTAGTGTTTAGTATGATGATGAAGCTTTAGACCAGATCCTCACCAAATAATTAGTGTAGTAAGGAATTACTACGAGAAATAAGAGTATTGGATTCCTATGTATGAATCAAATAAAACGAAAGCAAGTTTTTATAATTCACTGATTAATAATTAGCTCTATTTGAAATAAATTAAAAATAAATAAATGAGCAGAACTCAAATTTAGGGTAATGACTACACTTTCTTGTTAATATACCTAAGCTCAATTTAGCTCATTAGGATATTGCAACTAAAGCATCCACATGATCAGGTGGAATTAAGCATAGATGCGATAATAGTAGAACGGATCGTGAATTGGAGGTGAGAGATGATCCTATTGCCCTTGCTCATGTAGTTAAGCTTTAACTTTTAGCTCAACAGGATATAGCAGTAGTTGTTTGCCCTGCAAGACCTTGCTCTTCTATGATGATAGTACAGATACAAGAAGTAGGATAGATTGAGCGTCGGATAGATGATGATTATATCGCCCTTGTTAATATTGCAGCATTCTATTTCATGAAATGGATCATGTAACTTTACCTTTTTTAAAGTATGGCGTTTTCCTATAGGATTAAGGTTTAGAAAAGGTGTTAAGGTAACAGGAGGGCTGATTATGATTATAAAAATATTTAATCCTATAGTGTGTTTATTACATGATTAGTTCATTTATTCCGCTATTTCCTCGTAAAAATTAATAAAATAATAGATGACTGTGACCTGATTTGACATGTCCTCGATCCATTTTTAACGCTAGAATATGTTGATAGGCCGTAGTCACGTAATCATCCAAATAAATGCTTTCTGTCGCATTATTTCAACCATAAAGTAGGCATTAGCATAATTATATGATGGAATTATAGGATTAACTTTTGAGTCATTAATTACGATTTTGTAAACCAGTAATTAGTTTATTGACATAGTCTCATAAAATTATTTACAATCGTCTGTTTATTATATACGGTAGGTAAAACAAATACGGCTTTGTAGGTTGTTATTTATCCACTAAGACTAAACCTATCTATCTGAATATATCCAAAATAACAACTTTGCATATAAAAAGCCTAGAAAAGCAAAATACTGCAAATAAATAGGTTAGTATAACCTGTTTCCTTTAGAATGTAGAAGATCAACTGCTAAATTATGCAGACATGATCCAATTTAGTTTTTCAGATGCAATCTTTCAGTGATATTATGTCGTAAATAGTTGATGAGATTATTTTAGCTTGTATACATAGCATTAGCGCTAATGATCGTTAAAGTCAAATAAATCATTAAAAATTTCATGTAAACATGATAATGAACTTAGTAATGGATTCATAGAAAATTAAGGTATCTTATTGTCGATTCATAGAGATTAGCTTGAGAATCGACAGTATGCTTTCGTGTCAATATGCTCACCCTTGATGCTATGAATAAACAAAGTTTTAAGCGTGCTCCTCAAAACCAATGACGTGTATTTAAACATTATCAATTTATATTGAAGGCTCTTCTGGTTTTGATGAATATTTCATAGTGTCAATTTTCCGAATCCGTAAACGCGCCACTGCGATAATAGTTAATATAAAAACGTGTTTTAGTCACAATAGGGTAGATACAGTAGAATTATCCTTATGAGCTGATTCTCAATAATCTTATACGGTTTAATGGGCTAATTTTTCTTAATATTTCAATTACGGATTGAAACCGTACTAACAGCTAAGAAGTCATGGCCTACAATGTACGCTATTTTTATTACCATCAACTTCAAAATAGCACGATAATTCAGGCAACTTATTCATTTAATTTTAGTGGCAGGAATATTCCTCGATGAAGTATTAAAATTTTCGTACAGAATACTCTGTCTATAGCTTTAAATTTTGATGTGCATTTAGAGAGTATTTTGCATAAAGCTTTAAATTTTGGATGCACAGGATGTATTGCTATATTATTAATAGGAAGGTATAATCAAGATACAGCGTATAGAGAGCCTTCAGAGATGCGTTTATAAGCTGATCTGCTATTAGCTAATGCAGAAATTGTGCTTTGGCTGATGATAACAGATGATCTAAATTTTCTACTGCTTAGTTACCGTTATATTTAAAGTAATGATATACCGACATGAAGAGATTGATATGGTCAGTTTTCAATTTTTTTACTTACTGATTTTTCATTTACTCATCTGTGAATTAGAATTACTGTTTCTAGCTAATTAATGGTCGCATTTATTCATATGGATCGCTAAGAGCTACTGACAGTTAAAAATCTTTCTTCAAGTCGTTTCGGAAAATAAGTATCATATAAGTTAGTTCATATTTCCTCTATGTACTAGTGTTTCTGTTTACTGAGATTCTTCCAGGCACTATTCGAAAGACAGTTTTAACGTAGATACTCTACAGCAGTAGCCATTTTATTTATATAGACCACCGTACTCCAGAGTTTCTTTCCAGTAATCTATCTGTACACTAGAGTGCCTAAGTCTACAGGAAATTTCAGTTCGTTTGATTTACTGCCTATTATCCTTTATGAATATTAAGTAATTTAAATAATTATATTAAATCTAGCAATAAATGCACTCATTTTTACTAACATTTTAATCATCTATCGCCGTTCTGTTTGTAAATAGTATAGCTTAGAGCAATTGTATTAGTACGAGTCCAATAAAGTATCATATTATGTGTATCTAACTAATACTCTGATTTCCTCATTCTACTATTTCGAAATTCTACTGTACTAGTATCCTTGCGTTGATCATCAAATTTAAATTGAGGACTGCGAACCAGAAATACTGTTGCAACGATATTAGCCACCTAAAATTGGTTCATATTGCAATTAATACCTTCGTTGTTGATGGATAAAAGTGTCCATGTAGCTTTATTGGAATTGTACGGTACAGTATCTGGCATACGAGTACTTTAATATCATATATTCCTAACGGCTCCAATTGATACCTTCGTACTAGATTCTAGTAGATCAAGTATACAGGCATAGTGCCCGCTGGTTCGCATAAACTAGTCATATTTTTGAGGAAAATTAGAAATTTTTTATGTCATGGTACTGAAATAGTAACCGATTTCATTTATTCATAAGCCGAATAGGTATCATATTTAAGCAAACTGTATATATATTTGTACTGGAATATATGAAGTGAATTAATATGATTTCAATAAATACCTCCATACCAGAGTTTAGTATGGTATATCATGCATTTCTAAAAACTTCTTGTATGCCTTTATATTAGAGTGTAATATATACCATTGTAAAAGTTAGCATAACATGCATGACCTATGAAAATATTCGCTATATTTCTACTGGCTTTATTAAACACTTTTCGGTAGAATTTAACATATTTTACCACAATATTAATTGGTAAGGCGTTTGCTCATGGTTAACATAATGAATCATTTCATAAAAGAAAAAATTAGAAGAAATTCGCATAAGTTTTCAATATTATTAATTTTCTTAAGTCTTCTAAACGTATGTTGCATTAATATCAATTCAAGTGTGCAGTAAACTGCCTTGCAGACTAACGTATTATTCCGTATTAATAATAAGAGATAAATTGACAAATGCAATATTCTGTCAGTGTGTCCAATTGCAGTACATGATTTGAAATGCTGTACATTATATATAAATATATCTCCAAGGGCATGAAGTTCATATTACGGGTAAAGAAGCAGAATTTTGTGCTGATTTAGATGCGTACCTACCCTAATTACATTATAGAAGAAGATATAACTGGCGACTACAAACACCGACATGGTTATTAACTTAATATCATGATGGTGAAATAAGTTGACGAATGATACGCATGTATCCTATCGTAAGTGTATCTAGCAATATGTTAAGATCTTTCTACAGCCAAATAGGGCTGGATATTTCAAATTTTATTTTCGTTTTGTAGTGGTAGGTCTTTCCTTTTCTTTCTGTAGTTCATTTTCAATTTTAGCATTAATTTTCTCCCAGTCGATGGTGACCTATACAAACATTTTATAAATTAAAATATAATAAAAGTCAAGTAAGATTGCAAGAAAACAATTTAATAACGAAGCAATCAATACATATAAAACATATTATATATACAGAAGAAATGATTACATTATTCTACAATATGTTCGTATCTACTTAATTTGGCTGGTTAGCATAAGATGGCCTCCAATTCTATATTACCGTACGTAAAATCAATCTATCTGAATAATTATCATATGGCGACTAACTTCTTGAGCATATTTTGCAAATTTTTTATCAGTTTCCTGCCGCTTAAGTTTGGACAGATACTTTTGACGAAATGCCAATACCGTATCGACATGCGTTTTATTCTTGATTGCCAGATCTAGGGCCCTGTTGCATAAAATAAATCCAAAAATGGGATTTAGCTGCGAATTCAGCGCTAAATTATCCTCTATTTTTGACGTCGGCAATTTTTTTTACCTTTCCCAATTATGGTTATTAATATGCATTTCAATAGCGCGATATATTAATCCAGCTTGCAATAAGATACTTTCAGCTTCAGCCGATTGTCTGCAGAATAATGCCATGGCAGCATTGCGGCCTTCACGCGATGGAATATCTTTGATATATGTAATATATTGTACTTTATCCACCTAAATACATAAAATCTTAGAGATAAGTAATTGCTATAAAACAAATGGCGCATTCCATAGTATTCTCAATTGACTTAATAGCGACTAAATACCTCATCAATTGCAGCATAGGCGATTTCAGCTGTGCTTAAATCTTTAGCATAGGCGGACATGGCAGCTAGACATGCCCACATCGCCGGATCCTATGATTGTAGATAAGAATAATATCGAATTTTATTAAATAATTCTAATATTTGATTTCACATTCCTTATCTCTAATTTTCCAATATGAAATCTTTTATAAAGAAATAAAAAGTGATTGAATAGCTATAACGATAACCTTGATAAATCGGCATAACTTAACAGCATCTGCCCATCTGTTTTTGTTAGCATATTCATGCAGCACTGCCGGATAAGGAGATGTGCTAATAGAAAGTAATGTTAACATTTGTAAATGGCTATTTTAAAATACGATTCTATTCTAGTTAGTAATTATACAAGTAATAATCCTATAGTACAAATAGTAGTCTTACCACGTAGTGACAACTGCTCCATCGGCTCTTCTCATTACGCAGTAATTATCAGCGAAACTTAAAATTTGTGGACTCTTACCGAATTCGCTTTAGGTCGTTAATCCACAATATTATTCATCGTTTTTGATAGAATTAGTAATATATTAATCGTGATAATTGACATTAAACATTGGTTAAGTTAGCTAAACATCATCTAGTACCGGTACAATTGTATTAAATATTTAATTAGTTACCTGGCGTTTTTTTCGTACTGTGTTAAATGAAGAATATCGCGATCAGCGTAGACAACACTTGGATAATACCAAATGGTAAAGTGATTATCTTGAATTGCCGCTAACATATTACAAGCATCATTCCATGCCAATGAGGATACCATAGTACCTGTGAATTAAATATTAAGAAATCTAGGTATAGCTACTATAGTGCGACTTAGAAATGTTGCGTTTATACTTTATGCAGTATTATGATTTCGCTCATAATGTAAATAAAAGTCGTCGTATATTGGCTTACCTAGTTTGATGAATGCCGCTTCTGATCGTCGAACCTTGGCTAAATAAACATCTCTATTTTTATCTATGATAGCGAGTTGGCGTTCCATAGCAGGACCACATTGGTCAAGACAGGTCTCAATTATTTCCAACTAAGAGTTTGATAGCGAAATTTTTATTTATCAATATCCATACGTAGTAAAAATTTCATTTCTACTTCTCTCTTTAATAGCAACAGAGAATTTACAGCTAAATCGAATATAAATTCCTCACAAAATTTAAAACATTTCATATTATTAAAAGTTACTGCCTACTATCAATTTGTAATTAGATCAATTAGTAAACTAAACCTGATGTTGTATCGGTTTGCCAGAGCCTACAGCTTTCCCACTGGCGGTCTCGAATAAATAAATTACTTCATATATTGAGAAATGAAAAATTTGAAATGTTAGACTATCGGTACTCTCATTAGCAATATCCTAATAAGCAGAATTATTTTCAGCAATGATTGAAATTCTTACGCCGCTCATCTTTGACATCTCTAACCGCTAATGTATCATTGCTTAATGACACAGTATGCTTATTTAGTAGATCTGTACGCACTCCAATCAGTTTTGGTGATGAAACTAATCTTCCCTAAAACAGAAATCATCAAATATGAATATGAAGTTTTCGTATTATTTGGATGAATATTAGGTAACTAAATGTATTAAGATGCTTTGAAATAAGGATCTGACCTTCTAAACACTAATAATCTGAAATACTTTAATAATAGATTACCTCGTAGGAATAAATCTGGATACCATTAATATTGTCCACAAATAGGAAATATCTGCATAAATGATAGAAGCCATATTAAATCTAAAGGGTTCGTAAACTACATTGTTATCATCACCGTAAATATGATTATGATTATTCGTCAATATTACTTTTCTGATTGCAGGATCAAGCTAACTGTGCTGTCTTTTAAGTCGATAATTATGGGCGTATTCCAATTCTTACAGCTGTTATTTAATATGTAAGTTTATTTTATGTTAGTATCTGAATTTTATCAAGATACTAATTACCTAAATATAATTATAAACTATTGTATATAGATATGATTGCACAGACTATGAGATACTTAATAAAATATCAATATATTTCGTAATTCTTACCTATAGATGTAGCATTGCGTTGTGGTTGTAACAAGTAAATGATCATGCGAAAGGCTAGTCTTAATAATTCTGTCTCGAAAATCTATGATAATAAAATGTGTTGTACTTAATAGTAAATTTTGAATCTCTGCTAACAAATGTGAGAATATTGCTATAAATAGCTAACTTTTAGAATTGAAAAGTCAATTAAAATTTCTCTGCAGTCAATACTGCACTTTTTCACGTATTTTTAATATCGCACCTAGTATTTCTTTTGAATCATTACTGACATCATTAACATTGATAGTTTTGGAATCGGTGATAGTTATTTCAAAATTCTTCCATTCTAGGCGTCTAGAGAATTAATAATGCGTCCATATCAGCTAATTATATGATGCTTTTCATTATACCGACTATTTCATGACAATTTTATACGAAACCGACCGTTCTACTACATTGGCAAATATAACTTGACCATTTCCGCATGCGCCAGCAAGTTGAGTACCATCGCTCGACCAAGCGATACTAAATATCGATCCTGTGTTAAGTTTATCCATACTGTACGACCACTGATTAGAAATTAAAGATTAATATTGCATCCGGTAAAATAGTTCAAGAGATTATAGAAAAAATATTAACAGTTAATGCTAAGCGCTATAGGTATTCTAATGTAAAAGTGCATACCCCTCTTCTATCACATAGTCGCAACGTGTTAAATAATCCGACTGCAAACAGTTCACCTGAAAAGGACGATAAATGATAATGAAGTATTGGATCAAAAATTTACTATATTTACATAATTTATTACGATTGTAGCTTATTCGTACCATCAGGAGACCATGATAGTGAAGTAACTGGGAATTCATGGGCTTGACTTGCATATAATAGTCGGCCATATGAATCCCAAACCTTAAATTATTTATAGAAGATAGAGGTGTATAATACGAATATAGTTAAAATTACAAATGGTGATGTCATAAAATTTTACATGACAAGTGCTAAATACTTGTATTCACTATATTTTATGTACCTTATATTTACAGTCTTCACCTCCGGAAATGATAAGATTGTTGATTGGATTCCAGTCGGCTTTTAAAATAACTCCATCGTGGGCTTTCCACTATATCGAAATATAAAAACGCATGAATACTTACGATAAATGTCCAGTAAAATCAACCACAAGACATAGATAAGTCGTTGCAAGCCTTATCGGCGTTATCTGGTATCGAATGATCACCTGTATAGGTTTCGATGTGGGCTGCAAAGGTTTAATAATCAACTCTTTCCCAAAAGTATGAAGAACCTGATCCGAGTCCGGACTCCAAACGGTAGAATAGACTGGAGAAGCTAGGGAGTCATGATGAAGGGCATTATGGATATAATTTTTCACTAACATTGCTAGATAAATAATAATGTGCTAGGCTGAGTTTTACCTGCTTGGTTCAGAGTTGAACGTAGCATTCCGCTTCTTGACCAAATTTTAACGTGGCCATCTTCACCCGCTGAAGTAAGTATGATTGGTTAGAAAGTGATTTTCAAAAATAGTAGTTACGAAAGGTATCAATCAATAGTTTTTTTTTACCTGTTACTAGAGCACTGCCATCATAGCTCCATCTTGTGGCTAGGACAGCACCTTTATGAGCGTCGACGGATTTTTCAACTCGGCCATTTTTGGATATTAGATGAAGTTTACCTAGTAGATGATTTTTTGTATGCTATTACTTTCTTTAAGGCTATAATTGATTAAGTTAGTAATAAATGTTTCTGTAACGACGTCACAATCTGTACCATCAGTTGATCCTAAGGCTAAAATTTCAGGTTGCGATTGCTTCTTGCCGCTGATTAGTTTTGGAAACCAGTGCATATCAGTAGCATAGATTTCAGCGGGCAACTTAGCGACCTACATAAAATACATTCGAATGTACATTATTTAAGTTGCTTGTCGATTAAATAATAATTATACGCCAGAATGTAGCTGTAATTACCTGTTTTGTGTCTTCCGATAGTAAGCTCCATTTGAGCATTTGGTGATCATCACTATATCCGAGCCGTAATTAAGATTAAAATTTAGAAAATGTGAACTTGAATGAGGAGTTTGTAATATTTTGTAGAGTCTTATATATTTTACAGTTGAAAGTATCAAGCCTGATTTGTTATTAGACCTATGGCACTTATCTACGTGGATAGTATGAACAACAAAGATTACTAACTCTACTTTCAGTACTGACAGTATAATTATATCATTGTACGTGCGCGTAAATTGCATATCGCATATAAGGATTACAATTATGAATTTTTTGAAATTTCAATATTGCTACCTATTGTGCAGTCGATAAATTCAATTTTATCTAAACTTTTATCTTTACTTACCCGCACGAGTATAGCTCATCTGCTGTAATCCATCCTAAGCAACTGACTAAATCTTGATGTAAAAATGGTTAAGTCAATTGTGATTTCATTTTAATTTAATCATTTTTTATTATTCGTGTTCGCGGCAGTAGCATCTTATTGCACATACTGCCCTACCTGCCACTCTTTTCATGAGAAATGTTAGAAAATTTTTTGTACAAACTATTTTTTTTAAGCTAATTTTATTATGATACAGAAACTGCAGTACTATAACGAGTATAATATAACAATATTATTGTTAAACCCATTGCTATTACTATCCATCACGTAGTTAGCTTTTGATAGAAAAGGATATGATGTTGTTCATTTAAATGGGAGATCTTGAACCTCATTTTCGCGATGAAATTCGTTAAAAAGTAATCTTTAATAGTCGAGAATTGCGCTTGAGAACTGGCAAAAGTCACTTTTATAAGCGCTTGAGAATCGGTAAAAGTCACTTTTATAAAGTATTTTCCTCTACAGAATGCAGTAGAATACGAGGAATTGAACTTATAACAGTTTTCGATAATGATATGTAGTCTAGGGCAGCATCTTGATATTAAAACCTTGTATGGGCTCATCAATGTAACTGCAATATCACTATGGTTACCGTTAACATTCTAGCCACTAATTGTAGGCTGTAGTAAACTACTTGTTTACTATGGTACCGTAGCGCCAGGAAACTACACAGGGGTACGATGCTTTCGTAGGGAAAGCCACCCAAATATCACCTACTGCTATATGGCTTACTATAAAGCTTGCCGTGAAAAGTAGAAAGTGAGTCAAGACTTTATACCAGCTGAATGGCAGAAAAGGACGGACGGAAGGTCTTCTTCTCAATCGAAGTACCCTGCTGTACAGTGTACAGTTTACAATACAATGTACTGTACACCAGGGTCCGGTGTCCATGCTTCCGTGATTTGGACAATATGCGCGTACTCAGTCAGTATCTGTGGATGGTTTGGATGAAGACTCCGCTGTATAGCATCTAGTATTGGAAAGATCGCTATTGATGATGTTGTATGGGACAGTCCATAATTATCGATCAGGACTTTGATATTTGTAAACACTATACGGTACTGTAGTCAGTATCTTGTGGAAGATGCGCTTTCATGCTCTGTCAACAGCTATCACTAGTGGAAGATTTAGTCGAAAATTCTTGCAGGCTTTATTATTTTCTTCGCAGTCTAACATGGCAGGTAAGGTGATTGTAAGATAGATAAGTTAGCTATGGCTGCAACATTGAGACAGGATGAATTTGTAATACTATGTAATCCATAGTAAACTGCATGCACGATCTTGCAGCTCAATCAGTTCAGCTGCACCATCTTTCTACAGCAATGTAGAGCTTGAATCTTCCACTAGTACAAGACTTTACCCATTAATGCTCTATCTGGATAATAAGTCAAACTAGAAAGGAAGCGCCTGACTTAACACATTATATTATTCTGTTTTAATGTGTAATGGCACTGCTTACTTGTAGAATATTTAATTCCATAATGGTGTATAAACTTTTAATTTGTGGAGGAACTGAAAATACTCGTCTGCTCTTTTGGTAGATAAATGTCACTTGCACGAATCATTACAGGATGTCTCTTGGCTGTTAGGCACCTGGAGTGGCCAAGGAGATGGCATCTATCCTAACATTAAATCATTTTCCTATAAGGAGGAAATTAAATTTTCCCATGTTGGCCAGCCCAATCTACAGTTTCAATCAAGCAGTTGGCATCTGACGAATAACACACCGATGCATTTTGAGAGTGGCTTTTGGTTCTTTGATCGCAATCACGTCAAAGCTGCTATTGCTCATAACCTGGGTTAGTCAATACCTGCATTGTACTATCATTTCGCTGTCCTTACAGAATCTTGTGACTTAACTCTAGTAATTTAATACGCTCTTTTCTTCTATTACTTGCAATCCTACTTAGATTAATATGACTTGTGATAGGATTGTACAATATTGCTCAGAATGGATAATGTAATGCCTGCTTCGGCTACCGATACAGTACATTCGAGTACCTAAGTATAAGTTGTGTAAAATGTTCATGTATACACATTGCTACTACAACCTATCTTATTACTGTACTTGGGTAAAAGCATGGACTACCGTACGAGAAATCAATGAGTAGAGTTACAGCTAGCGAAGAAGTACTTACGCCGGTACGCGTATAGTTGATATCGAAATTAATAATTACTACAGAGGTCTTTCCATGCACATAGCGTACTTTACGGATGCACTTTTAATAATACAAGTATAACACTTGATAACTGAATTTATGTGAGCTCGTACGGTATAAGACCATAATGCATCAAAGCGGTAAATCACCTTAGTAATCGACAACCAAATGTTCCCTTTAGTAGTCCATACCTTAACACAGCATTAGCGTAGTTGCGAAAGGACTTTTGAACATCATTGCTTCAAGCAGTACACGTAATATCGTCAAACAAAGTTCTTAAAAAAAATACGTGTACAGTAGGAACATTGCAGCTAATATTTTAGAAAATACTGTTGCAAGCGTAGCATACTGTATAATTTCATGTACTCGTATATCTATTTACATCCTTTTTCAGGTGTCTGCGATATTATGGAAGGTGAAATGACAAACAATCAAATTACCGTGACGACTACAGATATTACAAGAAAATCGGATTCGAAGCCTCCTAAAGTAACAAAGGTGCGCCCCATAGCGTTGTTCATTCGTTCAGCTTAGAGTCGCGATGTTTTAGCTATGATTCACGTTTATTCGTCTGATAATAAAATGAGCAAACCTTTCAATGCAGTTTGAGCTACAAAATTTTATAGCATTTATGGATTACAAGTTTGATAACGACTTGGTTTGAAAATTTATGTGTGATTCTTATCTATTTGTATAGGTTCAAAAGATTTATAAACTCTTGGAGGATGGAGATTTAGAGTATATCATGCTGATGGAAACGGAACAGTATCCGCTACAAGAACACTTAAGATCTCGATTTAAAAAACAGTGATCTGTAGGGTACTTATTTTGCGCTAAGATTAGCGAATAAGACTCTAATAATAATTATGATCGATCGAATATGATTGGATTTAACGTAGAATAACTGTGCTTTACTAGAATAAACGCTGCCAGTTATCATATGCTTATTTTAAAGTTTAGCATTCTTTAAACAATAAAGTTGCCACCTTATATTGAAATATAAATATTAGGCTGCATGGGAATTATTGCATTTATGCACTCATATACGGTATAAGGTTACTTGTGAACCGTTCAAGGTCTTCCTTGGTTATATTCCATCAAGATAGTACCATTTTGAGTCTTTATTTGGAAATACTCAATTAAGACTCAAAATGGTACTAAGTTTAGTTGTGTGAACAGCTACTAACTTACCTACGATGTGATCGTAGTATTTATTCTAAAGTATCGCTTCATTATCATTTATCTGGCCATAAAACACTGCAAGAAAGTTATCTTTCAACACCTTAAAATCATGCTATACATGAGTAAAGGTTATTCGGTATAGTCTACCGGCATATTATCTAAAATATTCAACTTGTGCTACACAAAGAAGTCCGACAAAGATTCAATTTTATAATATAATCAGTTTATTTAACTTGAATACCTACAGCGACGATGTGATTTACTGTATTACACAGTTCTACTAGACGTTTATAATGAAAGCAGACAAAGTAGTCCTTAATTTAACCAATACGTCATCGCTATCTATTAAAGCTTGTTGAAAGTCCTTAGTAATCGCACACTCGAAAAAGTTTTACAACACAAGGTATTAATTTTCTGTTCAATTATCATATCAATTCGATATGTTCTGGAGTGCTTATTAATAGCATTGATCAAAGTTTGATTAACTCACGTCCGGATGCTAGCATCTGATAAATAATTTTACTGGGTGTGCTCGCATCACTATCACTTCTAACTAGTTGATTTTCAAAGTCGGATTGGCTTCCTTGCATTATTATAATATATATTCAACGCAAAACTTGTACGAGGCTGCATTGTGCATACTAGTATCCTCTCCTCAAATAAAAGTGATTTTACGACTGTACCGTGCGAAGCTGCTACCGTTTAAAAGCTGTAATTACACGTGAATTTATCTATTGATAATTAATTAAGAGGTCTTCATGAGATAAGATATATGTATATATCAGCAAGATCTGCTTCACACCGCATGTACAGGTCCCTATCATACGTTTCAATTGCATTTCAGATTGATGCCAGTCATTCTATGAGATTAAGTGAGACATTCATTTATTTTTGTCGGCAGCACCGTTTCACTATCAGATGAACTCTAGAAATTGCTAACACGGAACCGGATCTGCTCTCTTAGACTAAGTTAAATTACTGATGACAATCTGTACAATGTAGGCGTAAGGTATCAGCATAGTATCACAGCTACAACAAATATGCATAGATCTTCGAAGAATTCGTTTAACTTGAGCATGATGGCGCACGACATACATATCAAATAGTGCAGCAATTTATAGAGATTAGATCACATTGTCATTATTACTACTACTATATCCATAACAAATCGGTATACATTCTCAAGTTATCAACTAAATTGATGCCGTCGATTGAAATTACAATTACGAAAATTAAGAGTTTTTAGAAACATCACACAAGAATCACGCTAAGTATCAATATATCGATACGCTCTTGACCTTTTCTCGTCAGTTTACTTGAAATGGTGTTATTATAAAGCTCACAAGAATGGCATATGGATTTGATATAGCAGTGTTGCAAGACAAAGACAGTCAATCTGCAATTTATTCGTCATAAGCTTAAAAATTTAGTTGTTAAATATTCAACGTTTCGAAAATTCAGAAAACTCTGCATTTTGAAAGTCGTTAGTCTTCAAGCTCAGACACTGTCAATCTCAAGCTTCTTCTTCTTCGAAAATCAACGTATTATATATAGCTCATCCAATAGGCAAGAACGGAAAAGTTTGTAATATGCATAAGATTCATAGTAGTGTACATAACTTACATCAAAGAGATGTAACGCTAAAGCCTATTTAGAGGTACTTGTACATGAAAAGTTGCCACATAAAATTGTGACACATCAGCAGGAAGCAAATACAAAATTATCTACTGGAGAATTATGGTAACTAATTACAATAATGAAACAATTTCTCGCTAGTTTAAGTTAATGGGATACTTTCGAAATAATATCATCCGAGACAGGTTAGGATTGTCAGGATTAACGAAAGTTTATGGTACGACCAAAGTTTCTTCTTGCTAATCACGTACAAAACGTGTCAGTCGTGGTAAAAGCTAACAGGACAAAAAATTGCTTTCAGAAAGTTACAATGTAGACAGTATTGCAATCTTTACAGGTATACAAGTAGTTCATAGAGCGTTTTATCGGTTTGGGTGTTAACTCTCGTAAGTTGTGCACATTTCTGTCGACTGATAGGAAGTAGTAGGTAAACTCGGTAAATCCATATTTATAACTCATTATAAACTAATATATCGATTCTGTCTACTTTAAAATCAAATTCAGTTAAACTCATTATAAACTAACGCATCGACTCTGTCTACTTTAAGATCAAATTCAGTTAATTTGCAAAGGTACAATGCGGTCGGTTATTTGGCCACATTACTGCTACTCATACGGGCTGCTGAGGCAAAAGAGTTTGGGGCAGATGATATAAAACTCTTTTATTATGGTATCTTAAAAAAGTTATTTCCATATCGGTAGTAGGTACTTTTGGATAAGTCGTCATAGGTTTTAGTGATCATCGTGTATGCAATGTTGTACATGCATTAAGATGTGTAATAGTTCTGATCTTAAACTGCAGATTGCTGTTAGCGTAACATCAACGATGAAGAACTACTCTAATACCATGGGCAATACATATACATACAATTGATACGCAATCTAAGCAGGCGGTCATGAACAATATTGAAACTTAAGTGAATAAACGAGATTGACACCTCAAAGTAGTTATATTACCAACATTTCAATAAAGCAATCATCTGTTAACATTGGCTTCCGCTTAAAGAGTGTAGCGTTTATCATATGTGGAGGATAATATAATGCACTCAATGAAATAGAGAACTCATTCTTTTGCAGACACTGTTGCAAGATCATCGGCAATTTCAATAACGAGCTGTAGGTAAATGCATGCAAGGGTTTAAGATCTGAGCATAGGCGATTGATTGATATAAATTGTTAAAGTTTCATAATGGTAGAACATTTGCTTTCATGCATTCGCCTTTTCCTAAAATTTTTTCGTATTAGTTCATTATGAACTACTGCAGTGATATCAATATTCCAGCCTATAATACGATGAACTGAATAAGGGGTGAAAAAGTGGCTGGCAATTACTGCAAGAAATGGTAAACAGTCGCATTGCGCTTCTTTCATGATTGTAGTAAACCAATAGTTAGAGAGTGAAATTGTATCATTGAGATGTTAATACACCAAAGAAAGATGCAACCCTTACAGAAATATCCTCATTATTGCAAGTGGCGAGGGAAACGGTGAATGCAGGCACAATAATATACTGGCAAGACTATCTTCCAAGGACTAAAGTGGTCTTACTACTATTCTAGCAAATAGTCAATTAACAAGGTATCGGCGATATAAGATACACCAAATCCAAAAATTATTACGGAAAGTGCAAATGTAACTTTGATATGTTCTATTACTAAAAGTGATCTTACCCAGTAGTGGATTACATAATGATAATTAAAGCCTACAATACCGCAAATTGAATTAAAATGTAGATGTATATATATATATATATATATATACGCTATGATTTAGAATAGCAGATACAGTCACTTCTATATTACAGTATGATCAAACCTCAATATTGGTATTCCGGCCGGGCAGGATAAGATTGCCTCGCTGGGTTGTCTCTTCCGAAACGATCGCCACGATTGGCGTTGCTATCTTTCCAGCTACCTCGATAGCCGCCGCCAACACCAGCAGCGGCTGCAGCAGCACCACCACCCATACTACCACTACCACTAGTTGCTGGAGTTGAAGGTTGGCCACGGCGGGCATATCCTTCACTTGCGCGTGAAGGATACATTCCCGCTGCATGAGATTGCGAACTGCGATCATCTACGCTATAGGAGTTGGAAGGGACATTACTTCTATAACCACCACGGTGTCCACCACTACCACGTCTCTGGCCATATCCGCCACGACTTTGGGGTTGGCTGCCACCGTATCGTTCTTCCTTATTATAGGGTGCACTAGTGCCATAGCCGCTGCTAGGAGCACTTCGGTAATCTGGTTGATAACTGGCTGCTTCTGGTCGATAACTACTACCACTATCGCGATTTTCTCTCGAATACGGTTGGCGATCACTATCTCCACCATATTTATTGTAGTAGTTATTATTATAATCTTGTGGCGGACCGCCTGCTCTAGGCCCACCACGATCCATATCACGTCCTCCACGAGGATCGCTATATGGCTTACGACGGAAACCTCCGGGGCCACCACCACGACCTCTACCTCGTCCTCGACCGCCGCCGCCACCTCTTCTGCCGTTGCCTGAATCTCGATCAGTTTGTTTTACAGCATGACTAACCCGAATGCTGCGACCGCATAGCTCCTACATAAAAAAAAGTTTCCAAATCAAAATGGCGCTAAAATATAGCCAATTTGGCGTAGTGAGAGATGGAACAGTTCTAGGCAGTTTTACTCGCTAGCATGAATACTTTTTACTCTTTACTGTATAAAACAATTACTGCAGTGGAGCAAAATACTGTGCGGGCATTCAATTTTTTGTTTTCTACAGTTGATGGAATGCTGACTACTACGGGAGGGATTGTGCTCGCTAAAAACTATCCCTATTAATCGATGCTGGTATTAAATTACTAGATTAAAAAAAAGAATTAACAAATGAAATGACCGTCAATTAATTTACTGTTAGTATGGTTAATCGTTGCGCGTTGAGTAACATAGCGTCCATTGGGACTTAGGATGTTCTGTAGCAACTGCCTGGTCTATTATGTTTACTGCTTACCTTGCCAGTCATCTGGTCAATGGCATCTTGTGCATCTTCCGGGTCGTAAAACGACACAAATCCAAATCCACGAGATCTACCCGACATCCTATCAACAGTTACGAACGCTATACAATTCAAAAAATGAGCAAAACTGTTAGTCATTACACAGATTGAATTTCACTACGAGCCTATGTCATATTGCTTTGCTATTTTATAAAATTCTATTTTACAGGCTTTGCATAGGTACAGCTGTACTTTTCAATTTTTAAGACTCATGTACGCGCACTACCAAACATGGACGCTATTGTGACGATTTTATTTTTATAATGCTGATAGAGGTAAAAGGAAAAATCTACAGTATTTCTTCCATCTTCCTATAATACTGACGTCATGTATTTATTAGGACGCTAGTGATTCGTTCTTCATTTTAATCATGGATTACTGTATCGGGTTGACCTACAGTATACGGAACAACTTTGAAGACGAGAATCTGCAGATCCATTTGGAGCACAGTAGCATGATGACTTGTTTAACTTATAATTACGCTTCCTGGATCAACTTGATACAAAAAAATGGAGCAGAAAAAACGTACTCACGGGAAGGGATTTTTGATATGGCTGCTTGTACCGTAGTAAAAAGTTTTTTTTTTTATCGCAGAATGGGAAGAAGATGAACAACCGTTGTCAGTAAAAAGGGTCTTCATTTTTAAAATCACGAGATACTGGGTGTTAGCATAGCAGCATCAAACTAAGTGTTGATAGAGAAGCAAATGGCTTTACACGTTGTACGTTGGATTATTTCCAACGTTGTTCAACACTACAGTACTACACTTGATGATGCAAAGGGGAAAAAAAAAAAATTGGTTTCAGCAAGATAAAGCGCGTCACTGAATACATTGGTCGACTTTGTACCTTCTCTTAAGCGTCCATATTGCTGAAAAGCTTCACGAAGTTTGGTATTATCCACTTCAGAGCTTAGGCCGCCAATAAAAAGTCGAGTGCCGTCTTCGGCTACTTCTTGAGTTTCTTCGCCATTCATCACGGTGCAATAATAATTGTTAATTGAATCTGAAAATAGCCAATTTTCACAGACACTGCTCGATCGAGCGCGTACCCTGAAAAGACGATAGGGTTTTAGTCACGCGGCTAACAAAATTCAATAGTTTCACTCTTTTTTTTCACCCTTACGCATTGCTTACTTTTCTATCGCGGCTACAAAAATCAATCTAGCAATATGAAGAAGTAAACTAGCAAGTGATAGTGCTTGTGCAATAGTTTGAAAACTTACAAATTTCTTTGAGAAAAAAAAAAGAGAAAGTCTTTCTTGTCCCAGTGAAAACAGGCTATGCGCCAATTGTTTGCTGCAATGGCAGTTTTATCACGTTAAGACAGGATTAGTTCGTCCAGGATAAGCAACAAACGCAGCTTGTTACCCTACTATACTGTATTGTACGCAGTCTGTTATGCGTAGTAGTAGCGAAGATAGCGCATCTTTGTGCATTTTGTGTCCTTTGATGTCCAATTTCTACAGTACTGCATGCTATATTGTACTGTAGTCTACAGTACATTGTACTGTAGAGACCCAAGCCAAAGAACTTCCGTTACTGTACTGTGGAAAGAGAAAATAAGATTGATAATGTGTTGTAACATCATCTGTCAAGCAGTACAACGTCTTGTAAAAAGGAGGAAGGATAGGATACAGTATAGAGTAGAAGTTGTGATCGACCGCTTGTGCAAAAGATGGCTACTGCATTAATAATATTATTATTAATAATTCAAGAGAGACTGGCAATGCTCTGTTCTTTCTTTATTTTTATTATTGATAACAAGTAGTGCAACGGATGTTGCTTAATGTACCTAGACGATAGGATTGAAATGACCGAGAAAATAGTCGATCTCCGTATTTGACTGATTTTGCCGTTCCTCTCTCTTCTTGTTAGCAGTCGCTGTTTATCAACTTCCTCTTTGAATCATGGAGAATACTTACTGGATGAACTAGAGCTATAATGCTGATTTTGAGCACCAATTCATTATGCTACTTTGAAGTTGAACTATAGAAAACTCTTTGTATCATGGAGAATACTCGATGAACTAGAGCTATAATGCTGATTTTGAACACCAATTGATTATGCTACTTTGAAGTTGAACTATAGAAAACTCTTTGTATCATGGAGAATACTTGATGAACTAGAGCTATAATGCTGATTTTGAACACCAATTCATGATGCTACTTTGAAGTTGAACTATGGAAAACTCTTTCCTAAAATGGACTTCAAATGCTCATCTTAAGACTCGATTTTGATGCTACTTTGAAGTTGCTGTATTACGTGATAAAATAGTAACTTATCATGGCTTAGGCTTGAAAGGAAAAGCAATGTTCAATATTGTAGCTAGAATAGAAAATGACCAATACATATTATCACAATATTCAGATATACTGTATCTTTTTATTGACTGTCAAATGATTGCAATTCATTCCATCATCCAATACGAGTAGAGTGAGAGATTTCGATAATTAATTAAGTGAAAGGTAACATCCTGTGTACAGTACAGAGTAGAGTACTGCCATCATTAGCGAAGCATTACTACAGTACAGTGCGTACAGCGATGAAGGATTTGTAACTTATTAGGAGTTAGTCTTAAAAAGGCCCATAGATTGATTTCTATTCAGGTTTTATTCTTCCATCGAGTTTTGAAGTTACAGTAGGATAGCATGTGATATATACCAATCACGAGATTCCAAATTTTAGAAAAATAAGGGCTTTATTGAATCTTATACAAAGATTAACTACACACAGCTCTACTCTAGCCGAATACTACTTCTAAAGACTTCCAGAACGAACTAACAGAATAATCTAAAGTTGCATGCTTTTATACTTTTCGTAGCATTCGCAGCTACAATAATTATCCAATTTTCATTGAAATGCTATTTCGGGAGTAAATTACTACTTTTATTTTCAATCCAGCAATCTATGTAGTGTTCCGTGATCATCGTCACTGGCACACTAGACTCTATTTCTATAACTACAAAGAGCGTCATATTTTTGACAGTATCTTTGAAGATCTTCCAGACAGCAAACTTGTCAGCATTCTCGACTTCTCCAGTAGAACTTGTCTGCTAACGAACGTAGTTGATCCTCTCCCCTGATACACTTTCATTGAATTAAAGCCTGAACCATGTCTAATCGAACCTAACAGTGACCGCCTCCAATATCATATTAATGAATAAATTTATTTCCTAAGTGATTTTCCTTTTAGTGTTTTAATAATTAAATTATGAATTTATTTAGACACACTTATTTTGGAGTTTTATTTTTTGGTTGACAGTTACTGTACTGCAGTTGTAGTACGGTTTACTATAACCGTGCAGTACAGTACGCTTCACTATAGCCGTGCTGTAGGACCGTACAGTACTTTACACTGTCTATTTCACAGTACACAGTACTGTCGTGTGTACAGTGTACAGTACAGTCGATTTCACAGTACACAGTACTGTACTGTCTATTTGCATCCCAAAATGAATGTCACCTATCATGATGACTTGTTATTCTAGGTAGCACTGTAGTAGTGACATAACTTTTGCAACTACTCAAATCGCTCCTTCTACTGCACTCATCACGCCTTACTGTAATTGTCAGAAATGAGGAATGATGGACAACTGTCAACCGTGGCTAGCATAAATGATGTCGTATAGAGCGTTGCTGACAAGAACAAGTCCAACCGTCATACATGACATTATTTCTTGTCCATACTATTTATCACCGTGGACACTGGTGTTGAGTAGAGTGTGAAAACATGACTGAACAGGCAACAGTCTACCATCCACTAGTCCAACATCGAGAAGCAAGTATAGACAGAAAGCTTAGACAAGGGTTCCACCGGACATTTCCTCACATCCCCCACTAGCCAACATCTCTGCAAGACTGGGAAAAAACGCCTTGACACTATACCAGTTGACTCGACAGGACGACTGACACAAAAGATTGACGTCAGCTCCGGTCAACTCCTCCACTCAACATGGCGACGAGTGATTGCAGCTCCGACGAATTTTTCGATGCTGAAGACGAACTCAAAATTTGCTCTAAGTATGGCTAATTGCTCTATTCATGGCTATGTTGGCCAAGTCCAACTAGCCAAAATAATGGATGTTTTTGTTTATGTACTGAAATAACTGTTTCCATTGAGTATACATTAGGATTAATGATAGCTTTTCTATCATTAGAATGCATTCAACATTAATTAAACGACGTGATAGCATAGTCGATGAGGTAGACTTTGCCTTCCTTGATCGTTCAGTAGAACCAAGCAGTTTTCCCCTATCGGCCCCGTAACATGATTTTATCCCATTTTATATCATGATACACCATGGAAGAAATAGTCTCCAGCAATCGCTATTGCCTGTCTTTTGACAGCAGTGCTACTTGGATCGCATCCATTTGAGTGCATCGTTGTTTGTTCTGCGGACGTCTTATCGCCATTTCAATACTCTCTACTACCCTACAGCACTGCGATAATACGTCAACATAATCCACTGATTCAAGACAGGAAAAAAAATGCCTCTTCCTTGGCCATAAACTCTCTACTTTCATTGACAATAAAGAAATCCTCAACAGTGGATGGCCTATTTTTACTTGCTACCATACCAAGAGATCCAATGATCCTTGACAAGCATGGACGATCATCGTCGATCCATTTTCATTTTTTGCTTTCTTCTACTGTCATGTCGTTGAAATGATGCCTTGACTCCCAACTTGGCTAGCATCAGCAGTTTTTTCCATGCTTTTACCTGCTGTCAAACAAAGAGATGGAATGATCCTTGACAAACATGGACTCGCTTGTTGTCATGGACAGTATTGTACTGTCGTCGACGATGAATTTTCGCTTTTTGCCTTGATTCTATCGTTATATTGTACAGTTTCATCATTGCAGTCCCATTTCAGTTTGAATCGATGTTAGTATTCAGTAACAAAACATCCATCTGATCTAGTCGATGAAATCATGTAGTACCATGATGGCGACTTCTATATAGTAGAAGATATCTAGGTCACGCAGAAAAAGAATTGGTCCTTCTTTGTCAAAGAATCAAATTATAGCGTAGAAGGCGTAGCCTATTCACTCTACTGAATGGATTTGTAATTTAACTTTCATTAAAATTCACTTTGATACTAGAGTACTAGAAAAGCTTTATTGACAATGCACCACCGGGATACAGCTACTACATCACCTACTAATTAGAATAGTAGCCCATGAATAGACTCTAATTAATGTTAGCTTGAAATAGCTGTTAAACATTTTCTGTTATTAACTCAAATCGTATGATGCAGTCCTAGTGGCTGCCCAGACAGTAATGGCATAGACTAATTATCTCGCTCTTAATGATACTTGCAGTGACACTGAAAAGGACAAGAATGACAATCTATCATCCAGCCATGTAAATACTGATCAGGATACAGGTGAAAATCAATCGTCTGATCATTTCAAGAGTGATGGCGATATTCATACAAATGCGGATCAAGACCATCATGATACTAATAATGACGACCAAGATATTCACCAGACTCCATCATCCGATCATGCAAACGTTGATCAAGATACTAATATTGTAAAGGTGTCTGATGATCCATCAGCAGAGCAGGTTTGAAACTTACCATGAATAATGATATTGGATTAAGCTTAACCTCAGTATACGAGAATATGCCATTGTTGGCAAAATAGGATACGTCACTATGACATATTATAGCCGATATCGACAGGAGAATACTCTTTCAATCCGAGTTCATAATCAACCGATACCGTCGTTTTCGATCTGATAGATATATCACTGATTGATTGAATAGAGACTGAGTATTCTTACATCAAAGTAATCGTCGAAGAATGCCTTGCATTGCAGGATATTTTACCATAGACTTCTAGTGTCTAGTAGTAGTCCATGATATTACATTTCAAGAAGGTAAAGATTTATTTTGTAAACCATAATTTATGAAAAGATTGCGAAAGTTTGAAATTATTTTTCAATATGGCCAGAAGTGGTACGAATTGAAGAAAGCTATAAAGTAGTTATCTATCCACTCATTACAACACATAGAATTGACAGATGCGGTTCCTCCAGGATACATACTTACATTTTTATTACTAACAAAGCTAATATTACTCAGCTCCATTAACAGTAGCTCACGGTATTGAGTCGCTAATATGTTAATCTACGTACTGTATTTGTTAGCGCTAATGTACAACATTAGTTGAGTATTTCATCGATTCTGTAACGACCGGTAGAATCACCGATAAAGGCTTATATACCTTGTTTTATACCTAGATAAACTATATATCTAACTAGCTATGAATAATGGATCAGTCTGTTTCTTCAATGATGCCTAATTCTCCATTAGATCTACATATTTAGACAATTTAGTCTCGTATGTCTTATATGGTACATAATTAAGATGCACCATTCGTACGTACACTTTTGCTACCGATGCTTTCTTATGAGTTAGGATAACAATCATCATAATCATTTACATTTGCTTTGACGTCATTGTGATATAGGAACAGTCAGATAATGACAGTATTTCTAGCCAACAATCCACAAAAGGAAGTAGAACATCCAATGGTAATTCAAATTCAGTATTCTAACGAACAAATAAATTCTGTAGAATAATGAGTTGATTATAAAGTCCGTAGAAGCGATTATTAGCATTTGAAATTTTAGTTGATTTTTTACAATGCTCATCGAATGAATTACCGGTATTTAAAGATTTAAGTATAGACGATGCCGCGGAAAATATCAAGCAAGCTGAGACTGATGAACAGCATGAAGTTGAGGAAACCGTATCTCGTAGACCACAACGCTTAGCCAATTCAGCAGACGTGAATAAACTGATAGACAGCCAACTTAATCTAAATATGGAAAAGGCATTATCTTCTGATGGAGCTAGCTCCACTTCTGAAGAATCCAAGTCTGTACCCAGTAAGCCGCAACATTTAACCAGTTCGCTAGACATTGACAAACCAACAGAAAGTCAACCTGATTTAAATGCGAGAAAGACATCTTCTTCCGATAGAGCTAGTCACACTTCCGATGAATCAAAGAAATCAGAAATTCGAAAAATTTCTTTTCCTCCAAGTAGTGACAGTAGTAGTAATAAAGACATAGATAGTCGGAGTGAGGCATCGGATGAACAGCCCAGTAAAGTTACCAGCAACAATGTCGAGCGGCCATCGCAATCTCAAACTGAGGTGTTGTGTTTTTGCACGATAAATTTATGAATTGATTTTAAGCCTAGGAATAATCTCGTTATCACGTTGCTTGATTGATAGCTCCTGTTATCATGTACTTTATACCTATTAATTGTTACTTAGGTTTCGTCTATGCGGTTGACTCAAAATGTGTCATCAAAGGATGAGGTAAGTTTTTTATTGCCCTGTATCCTTGTACATACCATATCTATCATGCCATATGTGTCGGCGATTAAATGAATTGGCGAAACAAACTGCATTCCATCCATGTTGTAAATCTTACTTTTAAAGTATACTATTGTTATCTAATAATAAAGTTGGAATTTATTTAAAAAGTAATACAGATAGAAGCTTCCTCTAATCTAGGCGCAATTATATTTATCATCGCATTAGAGTATATCAGTTTCTCTATCTGTATTTTTTTGCAGATAACCCAAGGTGATACCACATTGAAATCTAGTAAGGATAATAGCCATGACGTTCCGACCACGCCTGATAAAAAATTCTCTGTTAAAGAAGGTGCGGCGAACCAAATTGTTCCTAATTATAATATAAATTAACAGTCTTTGGTTTCTTCAATTTACGTAGATATTTACGAAAGTAACGTACAAGCAAGTACGTAGATTTGAATATTATATGTATCGTAACGCATATTAAATAAATATTATGACGTAGATTTGTTAAAGGCCACGAGAAAGAAACATTTACACCTTAGCGAAGACAGTGCATCACCTAGTCGCGTTCAGAGGGACATGACTGTTGAATCAGCTCTCGAAGGTGCTAGAATTGTCAAAACTGCGGAACCAACATCACCGAAGCAGGATAAACCTCACGAACCACCATGTGAAAAGGTAGACTTCAGTTTCCTATTTTACTGTAAACTTTGATATGCTAGACGCGCATACTAGTATCCACATTAGGATATAACTTTAGATAAATGATAACTGCATAAGTTTCTAAATTGTCATAATTTATTAGAAAATATTGCAAGGTGTTATGGTAAAGGACTTAGATACGGGTGTCGAAATTCCATTAAGCGAGGCTGAGAAGCATATTCCTACTGGTGCAAACCCTCTTTCAGTGCATATAATGAAGATTACCTCTGAGTTATCTCGGTAAGATAGATTGATGCTAATAAGTTTCTACAGTATGTGATAAAAGAAGTTAACACTTTTATTTTAAATTTTAGTGAGGGAGAAACAAAGGAAGAAACAAAGGAAGAAGTGGACGATAAACAGGAAGATAAAATTGATATGGAAGATAAATCGATGGAGAAAAAGTAACATTTTGCATGTTGATTGAATAATATTGTTTACTTCGTATTGATGATGTAGAACACGTTTTGCTTCTTAATTTTATTAGAAAAGGATTTAGACATTTCTTAGGAAGGAGAACTAAAAGAAAGAAGAAAGGAGATGATGGTTTGTAAATTTTTATTCTTTATTTCTATAACATCGCTGCTGAAATTACTTTGCTTCTCTATTGGAATTATAGGTCAGAAGGAAGAAGACGATGAAGTAAACGTTCAAAGTGATCATACCCAGCAAATAAAGGTATCGTCAATCAGCGATTATATATTAGCCCAATTTTAGCGAAATGTATGATCATTTTACTACTTATATAAAAACACGCAGTTCTTACCACTTCACTTGTGCGAGACGACTGATTATAGTGACGGCGTAAATGTATATTACAGTATAAAGCTGCATCCCATCATAAAGGACCATATGAATTTTCTAATACGAAGTTACTGCAAGATTTAAGCGGAGAGCATACGGTACTGGCATCTAGACATAATTTTGTTCTTTTATAATATAAGCTGTATCATAATTAGAAGTTACTATGCTCTTCTTATCATTAGGGACCAATATGGACAATGAGTTTTTCCAATTGTGGCAAGTTACTAGTAAGCTTTACCTCTAGTCCTTAATTCCGTACTTTAAAAATTTAGACACCTTGGTCCATTAACCATTCGATATTTGTTTAAAATTTATAGGCGAGCGGTGGTCAAGATACAGTAGTGGTACTGGCAGAATCATAGCATTTCTAATATAATATTTAATTTTAAATTCATTCTGAGCTACTGGTAGATCTTTGGAGCATTGAGCTGATTTTTGCTTATATGATTTCCTTTGTAGCGAATTTGGGTTTTAAAAATTTGTTCGGAATACTTCAAAGAGATGTTACCAAGTAACCATTATAGTAATACTTTGTAATTGCCTAATTTTCGTCTATAATCTAAATTCTGAAGGTACTCAGATTAATGCAAGATTTCTTCCATGATTTATGCAATTTTTGATAGATCAAAAGAAACCTAAGAAAAAAACTAGTACAAGTCAACCGGTACAATATTTGTTGTTATTTAGGCGCCTCTGATCAACTTTTTTGCGTAGTAGATTCAAATACTAAACTACTTTCACTGTATTTATAACATACCCTTAGACTCAAGGATCATTAGAAGAAGGCCCATTTCTTGGTAAACCTTTATGCATATTTAATGGGCACACTGCTGATATTCTAGATCTCTCTTGGTCGCGTAATTATTTTTTGCTATCGTCTTCAATGGATAAATCTGTTAGGTATGTCTTTATGAAAAGCATATGATATTGAATTAATAATGTTGCAATAATTATCTAGTAATTTTATCAACTTGTTGTAACCGCATAGACTCTGGCATGTATCCCAAAAAGAGTGTCTTTGTTGTTTTCTTCATACTGACTTTGTAGCTGCTATAGCCTTTCATCCCTTGGTTTGTAATTTTCAAAAATTTTTTCGCAGTTTATATATTATACGTGCGACTTAACCAGCTATAGCAACATTAAATTTGATATGTTTCAGGACGATCGCTATTTCCTTAGCGGATCATTCGATGGAAAGCTACGGTTATGGAATATCCCTAAAAAGAAAGTCGCTATGTGGAATGAAATTGATGCATGTAAGATTTGCGTCACTATATGCTTCAGGTGCCATAATTGAATATTTTTCTGACTATATTTTATTGCAGCCGCAAAATTGATTACTGCGACCAATTTTTGCCAGAGAGGTAAATATGCTGTTATTGGCACTTATGATGGAAGATGCATATTTTACGATACTGAGGTTAGTGAATTGAATGTAGATTTAAAATTAGGAAAAGTGTTTTACTATGATTGGATAATCTTGACGTCGTATCTTATTACCGTACTAGCAATTGAAATATCATACCCAAATCCATGTTCGATCCTCAAGGGGGCGAAATTCAAAAGGAAGAAAAATCTGTGGCATAATACCTATGCCTGGCAGTGATAAGGTACTTCTTTATTTTCTAGAGTAGCGAGGATATTTATGAATTGATCCTTATAATCATAAATGATGTTATTGACTTCATGCTAGATTCTTGTAACATCAAATGACTCTCGTATTCGACTATACGATTTAAAAGATTTTAAAATGACCTGCAAATACAAAGGATGTCTGAACACTAGTAGTCAGATAAGAGCTAGCTTCAAGTAATCTTGCTATTTCAATTAATGATACGACATCTTTGCCTAAATTTAGTCATAGTTTAAAATACAGTAGTTTTTTTCGTACACAAAATCTAGCATTGACGCCAGTTCTATGCAATTATTAAATTTAGTCAAAGCGGTGAATCAATAGTGTGTGGATCAGAGGATTACTTCGTTTATACCTGGAAGACGTACCATGATTATGCAAAATCATCTTCCAGACGCGACCGTAATGACTGTTTTGAAAGTTTTCAAGGTTTTATTTTATATAATCAACTTAACAGTATAATTTATGTTACAATGCCATTATAAATTCCGTTTATTTTGCTTTAGCCCATACCGCAATTGTTACTAGCGCCGTTTTTGTTCCTGTGCCCAGCATGGCGATGCAGTTTCTAAATGTACTCGAACTATACGATGGAGAAGTTGTAGTTACTGCGGATTATCAAGGAAATATCAAAGTTCTAGCAAGTTGCTTAGAAGAGTAACTGTGATATTTAAAGATTAGCAGCTTCTAATTGGTGTTGACAACATCGTTTCATTTTATATTAGTATCCCTATCCACATCTCGAGTTTTGAGAGATATCTTGGACTATTTGGTGTTAGGCTTCCCTGCCTACATATGCCTTTAATAATCGAATTATCGATTTAGCGCCTGCTCGTTGTAACATAATGTTGAACACTGTACAGTATACTGAAAGATTATTTTGTTGATACCATAATGTAGGTAGACTAAGAATAAGCTTTATTGTATAATCAAACAATCCATGAATACTATTTTAATTTTAGCATGTTTATAGAATCTATGATACTATGCTTGGTCATGTAATATGGTAATGTAATGATAAAACTGTATTACGAGCATATGTGGATTTCATATACGTAAATTATCAGACTATGGAATATATTTAATAGAGAAAGCTAATACAAAGTATTAAGCACAGCTGTTACGCGAAAAAGTATTCGTAAAGTTAATATCGATACGAAAACTTTACGCTTCTTATTATACTTAGGCAATGTATATTTTTGAATTACTATGTATATCTAAGTTATGGGAGCTATGGATTTTGCTATGATTGACAACATTGTTGGTAAGTGATTGGATGCTAGGAATTTTTTATTGTGATATCGATTATTCCTTTTAGCTAAGTTTAAAACATATTATATAGTATAGAAGTGTACTAAAGTAGTCATTTATTAAAGTAAACATTTATTTTCTAAAATACCGTAAAAAAAATATGTGAAGGTTTTATGTGCTAGAAAAATGGCTGTGTAGATTGATTACATTTGATTGTACGTTTCAACGCAGATATTCACAATCATATATGCAATCTTTTATGGCAATCATGATACTAAAACGTTTATACCTTCTGGTATACGATAAAGTACGAGTGCATAACTGTCTATAAATCATTCTTTATTTAGCTATTGACTAAATTATGCAGGTAGTGCAGTTTATGCAATATCAATATAAAAAATATTCAATTTGCAGAATAATCTTAATGACAACAAAGTAACAAATATACGGTTATTGTCTAATAGCTATACCGTGCTGGCACAATATTTTAACTAGATTGTAAGCATTCACAGAAAATAATTGATTCAAGAAGCGATCTTAAACATTATACTGATGTTATAACATCATTTTCGAGTATTTACTAGCTATATAGCTACAACATAATTTAACAGTATGCATTTTTTAAGTTGCACATGAAGTTTATTGCTATGTAAAGGCGGTAAGCCATTATAATAGAATCGTGAAAATGATTTTTTCTGTACGAAATAAATTTGTATGTTTATCGATTGTACCGTGTTATTAGATAATTGCTATACCGTTTAACTACTTTTGACGAAATTCGGAATAGGGATTGAACTTAAATCAGGATAAATCCATCATTTCCATCGTCTATCAGCTAATATAATTAAGCTTATTTACATTGTGTGACATATTTGCTGAAAATATTTGATCGATATAAATACTTTTCTTGAAGTCCATAGTCTAAAAAGCGTTACATACGAGGACGATTGCACCTAAGTGCTAATTGTAAGATATAGCATTTTAATATCAATTAGCTATAATGTGTAATTATCAAGATTAAATTTTTATACTGTACTTCGCGATAACCTATACTGTAGATTTAGTATATATTTTAACAAAATGTAAAATTTACATTGTACTTTATAATAGACTAGTGCTAGTCGCTATTCCTTCACGAAATATCGTGTCAATCGTAAAAGGAGAATGCCAGTGGCCTATATAATTCACCGTACTAAATCAAATTGAACTGAAGGTCATAGTTAAAATATCAAATTTTTTCACCTTTGCATTTGATGGAATGATGAAATTTAAAATAGCGCTGGCAGTTAAAATAAGAATTGCATAAGATTGACTTTACATTATTTGATTAGCTAGCTAGCTATTTACGTACTGTGAGCGACGTCAACACCAAAAATTATAATGAAATACGCTTATATAGGTACTGCAATTGTTTTTGCGCCCTAGAATATTTGTTAGTAATATTAACTACGACAAGACATAATCATTTGATTACAGAATGACAAATGCTCACTGAGATAATATTTATGGATAGATATAACAAGAGATCTCTGGGAATGTCCTTAAGGTTTAAGATGAATATGAATTTATTCTATACAGCGAATATATCAACTTCTAGTTTTGTAATTTTGTATTCTCGCTTTCTAGAACGATACTCCACAACTATAGAATTCGTATAGGAATCGTTACTTTTCGAGATCTAATTCTTTATTTTTCTAGATTTTCAAATATTATGTATAGCAATTAGTCTTACTAGTATTTGATGCATGTATATGAAGGTTGTCACGATTACAGATATATAAAATAGTCCACTAACAGTCCAGGTCTTCAATCGAATAAAAGTGAATTAGTACTGCAAGTTATAAGGATTGCCTTTAAGATATACGTATAACATGAGTAAAATTTGTTCTCGAAGATATGAGCAGCAATGGTTGCTAGTAGTAGCTATTAAATAATACGAAACATTACTATGTGAATTCTTCTGTCTCAAGAGTAGATGGCAAAGCTAATCCCAAAAAATTGATTGAGTTATGAATAAAGCATTTACAGCACAGTTGTACGTAATTCACGGTTTGATGTCTGATAGAAATAGTACTACGGCACCTTGAAAGCTTTTTATTCGTTTTGTGATCCACTGGTGACTAGATTGAAAGTATTTACAGTTTGTAAAACATCTACCGAAATCTCACTTCACAATTATATTACGCTCAGTATTGCTTACAATTATCTTGGTATTATTATTTAAATCATCGCCTAGCTTCAGATTAATTATAGGCTAGCATCAATGAAATCAATCTCTATTAACTTACTGTGCACACTTTCCATAAATTTTATATTATGTTAAGTTTATCATAATCATGATTAGGGACTAGCATGGCTTGAAACTTTATGTTTAAAAAATCGAAAATCCAGTATAAAAATGTTGCAGCATGGAGATTATGCAACTGCTGTACCGTAAATTAACGCTGGCAACAGTTTTTAATTTCCAGAATTACTTTTTTATCAAATTAATCAATCGGATACTGATACGATATGATAGTTGAGTATACTGTATATTAATAAAGATGTTCCCATTTCACCGACACCGATTACAGTAAGTAGTCGTACAGTAATCCACGATAGCTTAAATCTGGTACTTTGGATAAGTGCACATTGTATAATCTCCACTAGTCTAACCATATAAGACGCATAAAATTGAAAATAGTGAGCATGGAATCAAATTAATTAAATGTTGAGAGTGATTACCTTGCCTTCACATGCATACTGTACATAGTACATAAACTTGCAGTAGACTATGGAAATTTCAAAAATAAAATTTTATCATCTTGTCGGTCTTCGCATATCAACTTTCAGCAGTTTATAGTAATACCGGGACTGGCTTGCATATGGTCATCTTTATTAACATGTATTAAGCAGCTGATAGAGAACCATGACCAAAAATAATCTTAAGTAACAGAGATCAAGTCTAATATTACCTCATATGATGGCAATTTCTCCTTAATTTACAGTAGGATGTGAGCCAAAAAATAGAGGCAATACTGTAATAATTTATTCGCATAAGTTATACCAAGGATTCTAGTCATCTTTGGCTATACCGGTTGTAGTAGCTTCACTGTCTCTTGCAGTATATTTGTGAGCTGTAACTAGCAGAATAAACCCGTTCAAAATGAATGAATAATTGGACTCCATAGAAAATAAGAATGGTAACAAGTTTATTGGTCACCTATTTTATTTCTGGCTTACAAGTTGTATTGTCTAAATGAACTAACGGGCAATGTGGTAAATAGGAAAGATTTTTTCAGTAGTAATGTAGATACATCAGGAGCTTTTCAAGAATCTAATAGAAGAAGAATGGGTTTGTATTCTTTTCTTCTTCTCTGATAATTTTGAGAGAAGCCGTGACACCGTTAAAAACTGATCTAAAACGAGCACCATGAGGAAGAAAGTCGACAAAAATACAAGCACTTGGAGAATTTAGTAGCAAAGCTTCAATAATTATGATTACCTTTTCATTGATTTGCACAACTGTTGCTAATTATTATATCTCCTCTACTCTTCATACGCATGGATACTATATAACCAATCTTTATCTTAAGTGCTAAACATCATCAATTGTTAACATAAAAAGAGTTCGCTAGAAAATAGTTCAATGATAATATCATGAGTTGTACGCTAATATCGAGCGTACCTATACCACGAAATGAATCAATAGTAGCATTGGAATGATTATAGAACGAATTGCGTTTAATCTATTTTAACTAATTTACGACTTACTATAACTTAATTAATATGTACCTGTAATGAATGGGTTTTAGTTGCCATGAATTAGTTAAAGTAGATTAAATATCATTTGCTCTAGTAAGGCTCTTAGCATAGTCTTGTATTCTATATGTGCATTTGTATTGTAGTACATTTAAATTAAAACATAATTAGATAAGATAAGAACGGATTTGAACAGGATAAATGACCTCATACAGCAATAGAATGTTCGAAAAACTGATCATATCGAAATCAATGAAAGTAAGAAAAAGCATTACCGTTAAAGTCCCTGTGTTATTTCTATCATTCGAATTTTCGCTATATTAACCCCTAGATTCGCAATCTCCTGGATTCAATTCTATTGGATGTTCAATTAGAGCAAGACTCTAATGTTATACGTTGTGCGAATAGTTTATACATACCTTGATCGTACCAACCACAATATAATCTGCATTTACTTTATTCGCAAAAACCGACTACAGTATAGTATTTTACGTCACAGTTCTTTACTGCATACTACTGTATATCGCTTGAATCTTTCCTCTTTTAGTAATCCCTGGAATTACCATATTTTTAAAACACACTACTTCTGTATAATGTTGAAATTGCCCCCCCCCCCACCCTAGTCAATCACGATTAAACACCCTTCACACGGAGTTCAATTCCGTTGCATTTCCCAATCACGTTTTTTCCCGCCGACAGTATCTCTTGCTAGACAGACTACCTTCTGTAGCAGCTAACGTGTATCTAATTCAGGTTTGTCAGTTCCTTTTATGTAATTTTCAATTCTACGTTGGATAATGTTAACCTGGACACCACATCTTGCGGTGGTAAAAACGTTCAAACCTATTACAGTTTACTGTAGTATTCGCTGTGTCTCCTTGGCAATCTATCTAGCAACATTTGATTGAAAATATCGGTTTAAAAGGCGTCTTCAAGTAAAAGGCATTCATTCAATTAAGAGTTAAAGCATTTTTTGTCCATGAACAGAGCAGGGACAACCTTGTGTCATCCCTTTCAATACACCCATGCACAATTCAGTACTCAATTTTTTGATGCAGGTAATCGCAACAACTTTGAAGAAAATTAGAGTAGCAATTTATTTAAAATCATATTCATGTCCATATAACATATACTGTGGTTTGATTGAAAAAAGTGATCATTTTAATATTTCCAACATATTGGCATCATGACTGTCAAGTGTCCACTCTTGAGTAGACTACTTCAATTTTTTGGACAGTTATTCAACATGTAGTAATGTGTCACTTGCCATCACTGCTGTCACACTTTCCCTTTTCAAAGTGGACATGGAGAAAGGGTAGAGGGGATTAGTAATTTCAATTTAGATGGCGAAAAAAGAAAAAATTTCAACGCAAACATTTGGTTAAGTAAATCAAAGGACATATTTGCTAATCGCAGTTCGTGGTCTAGTTCCTTTGTTGGATGACAATGGCCTACACGATCAGGAACAAACATTCCCTTCTTTGTCTGCATGATCGATTCCACGTTTGTATGGCATTTTACTACTCTGAAGTAGGAAGTCTTTCTTTGCAGTAGTTGCCATCAACTGTTGGTTGGTTTCGAGTTTCGGCATTTTCTAATTCTGTATCGGGAGATGAGGGTATGCCACTGCCATTCTACTGTTATTGGATTACATTTGCCCGTGGTTAAGAGTATTATTGTACTGAGGCTAGGGGATTTCAAAGCAGTAGCGGAAGTCTCTGTACTGCATGAATACAGGCATAAATTAAAATGACAATATACGGTATGTGCAATCACTGCAAGTGATTTACTGTATGGTATAGTTATGTTTTTCAAGCGTCCAAAAGGAAGATGACAAAGCTTGAATTTCTTGTTCAATTTGACTCTATTACACAATCAGTTCTTCTACTTTTCAGTAACAATAAACACTTATACGGACAGGCTACAATCTAGCCTACAAAACATCATCTAGTAACGAAAGAGTTTCCTATTGAAAGCGGATGATCTATGCCCTTCTTTATTGCCATTCAATGAAAGGATCATCGATCGACGAGACATGGAAACAGCAATTCAAATGAAGAATTGGAAAGGAAAGGGGCTGCAGTACAATTACCATTCTTCTATCAAGGCTAAACAAGGCCAGTAATCAGGCTTTAGTGGGTGTAACATACAGAAGAGTGATGAAAGTGGTGAGAGAAACAATGCTCAATTCTCGCCTATAGACTAGACAATATGGCTAATATTGTGTTTTTTGCACTGTATATCTTTTGTATTCTTTTACATCATTCGTCAGCCTGGCCAGTACACATGAACTCAATAACAGTAGTCTGTTATTTTTACAGCATTCATACTGAAGAATGGCGTCTACCATGCCTGTATTATGTATTAAATATCATTGATAATCAAAAATCTCCACTTAGACAAATGGTGAACAATGTATTACTATGTTTTGAATCATGAACTACAGTACTGAATATAAACTACTTCGTCACTGTGCAGTAGTAGTCCATTCCATATAATAGTGCAGTTGTCTTTACCAACCTTTGCCAGTCTGCCTTTCAACGGGCATGATCTTACCAGCCTGTTGTCGAACAAATATCACAAATTACTTTAGTCAATGCTGTAAATCAATAATACGAATAATTCTCCTCTTGAAACAAGTGGTTTTATTGGGGTCATTTTGGTGCTAGAAGGCATAAGTAGATTTCAAGATGTTTTCCCCAGCCGACGTCAAGACTGCATTAAAACGGTCAATGGAGTCCTATCGGCGTCCTAATCCTGCCTATCAATTCAGTTTTGTGTCGCCTTGACTCAAAAATACTTCCAAATAGATACCTCTCTCTTGCTATATCAACGCATTCTTTTATGTTGCTTTATTATATATTTGCAGGGACGCCATGAATTAGTCAAAACACTTCAATTGTTAAGATATAGGTACAAGCGACGACGTTATTCATGATATACGGCGTCAAGCACGCTTGATCATAAATTCACCCTTGGATATCCACCTTGTGGATGCTGAGTTTTGTGAATTATAAATGGAGTTCTCTATCCGCAACACAAAACAAGCTTTTTCTTTCGTCTGCTTGATTGTATCCTAGAAATGGACGTATTCAGCCATTACAGTACAGTATAGAAACTCTATGGTGCTACTTGATAATGTCAACATGGTACAGAGTTCATGGTGTAGACTTGACAAAGTAGCCATAGGCTAAATTCCTCATTCGCCTACCACCGAAAAACACCGAAGGCATTTGAAAGTACTACTGTGTCGAATTACTGTAATGTAGAATATACATTTCATCTTGGTGTATCGGCTATTAAATTAATTAACATTGTCAAAAATTAGAATACTGTATAAAGTTTAAGTAATCGTTTAGCATCATCATTCCGTCAATTTGCTGAGTAAGACGAAAATGCTATCAAGTAACCAGCAATTAGATTGGATAACACGTCCATTTCTTCTACTGTCTGTACGTGTTGCTTTGTTTGGCGCAGCACTCAGCGCTGGCTCATAAACTTAATTTATTTCTCTGACTAGGATGTCAGAACATAATCGCTGGGCGTTGTATTCTTACGAGCGCATTAAAGTAACTTGTACAACAGAAACAGAGAATATGTTGTGTTAAAAAACGAAGCCTGGCGAGGGTTGAACTGGGGAGTTTTTACTCGATGTTGGTGTTTACTTGGCTTACACTAGGGACACTAATGTCAAGAGCTTAATCTACACCCTAGACTACAGTAGGGTGTAGGGCCCCTGTAGTAGAAATTTTGAACATACAGCACGGCATTGAGCACTTAAAATGATACTCATGTCGTAAAATGGCGCTCAGTCACATAGTGAGTTCAATTAATTATTGCCAGCTACGTTTATAAGATACTCCTTGTTAATAAAATAGTGGATATGCACTTAAGATGTTACCTCTGCAAGAGTCTTGCTTTATCGGGATTGAAGATATTAATTGCACTATAGTTATTTACCTCGCTACATGCAGTCTTCAACTTTTAATTATATCGCATCACTGCTGTGTCCACCAACTGCTGCAATTGCTACAATTTACTACCAGTTAGCAAATTTGGCATGCAATATACGTACAGCGTGCTGTGATCCGAAATACAAATACAACAATCGTTTACCACGATAAATTAAATTCAATTGAAGCGAAACTTGTGGATTTTACAGCAAACCGGGACCAGAACTACACAGTGCAAAGCTGACTGGCTCCCTAGAATTATTCGAGGGAGGTCAGCGTTTCCAGTTGTGATCTTCCACCCCCTTTCATGATCTTACTTCTCCCAGATAGGAAAGAAACAGCAATAAGCAGTATTATTTACTGAGTAAAACTAAAATAAAAATAAAAACTGAATCTGAACTGGCGTGGTCACTGCTTTCGTCTTTGCCATACAAGATTGATGTTAGGTACAGCTCTATGTAAAGTATCATCAAATAACTCTTCATTTTAAGTCCATTAAAATCTTTACTGATTATGCTTTATACAGTAGTATAAGTAAACGTTCTCGTTGACTACTTAGCTAAGGTCATAGCTTTATGGCCGTTAAATAATTGTGTTAGGAAAGGAGTAATATCCTAATAGATGCTTCCCGTTTGCTCTATTAGGCTGCAAATTCCTGAGCAAAAGGAAAGAATATATTAGTGAGTGTTCACTTAGTTATGCTATGGACAACTATTCTCTAGCAGTCCATCAGTGTGTACGGTCTAGTACAATTATACTGGTACAAATGGAAACCTTATCATCTTCGTACGTGTATAAGTGTAAGAGTAATGAATGTTTAGTGCCGACAACATGTTTATTCTGTTCTGTACATTAAAAGCATACAGGTTAGATGATCAACTCACTGTTTAACAACAGTTTTATGAAAGTTAAACTCGAACAGTACACATAGAAATTAAAGTATTGCATTTTAGTCTTTTATTTGAGTGCTGCAAAGAATCAAAGATAACATTACACAGGTTCTTTGTTATCATATTAAGGTAGTTAACTACTACGAGTAATCATTTTGGTGTGGTATCTTGAGATCTAAAAGTATGCAGTGATACTAGGATATAGCAGAAATTTATTGTCGATTTTAACAACTGGAGGTAAGCTATTTGCTGTATTTTTAATAAGTTTGATAAAATGATGTAAAATGTAGTGCGTGGAGTATTAACCGCCATAAATCGGGTACAGCCCAAGCATAGTTTAGTTGGTGAAGGTTTTTTAATACTGCTAATACTTGTATAGCTCATTACTGACTACAGGCTTATTTGCCAGTGAATAATCAGTAACACTGATTACTTATTTACGAGGTCAGGGTATTATTCAACATAGAGTAATGCAATACTAAATCGTTGAAGTTAGTATTTTGTTTCCTACTTTATTAAAGAGAACATATCCATTCCATTAGGTAGTAGCTATACCTGTATAGTATACAGTATTCTATGGATACATGGTGCTTGGCGCTAGCAGCGCAGCGTAAACATACTCTATGCTGGAGCAGCAGGAGCAAAGAATATACAATTTGTTTATTTATGACGACAATAGCTCATCGAATCTTTTATTACTAACGTTGAAAAGACTTACACAAATACCGCCTCATCTATCTTACTGCGATAATGTTTCATGATATACCATACTTGATCCGCTGTAATTCAAGATTGTAAAACATACTAAGGAACTATCGAAATTGCGTTAATTAATCTCAACAGGAGACGCTTTACATTGAAATTGTGGGCTAGATCAGTTATTTATCTTATAATACACGTATAGTACTGTATATTAATTTTACAAGTATCACTTATTTAAATCCTTTAGCAATGGTTGGTAATTGCCATATTGATAATCGGATTATACTGTAACTCATATCAATCGCATCGATGCAAAGCAGGATGTGCAACAGTTCATTTTGTATTCCAATTTGGATTATTTATTATTCTTTATTCTATCTACGTACTTTGCCCCCTATCTAAGTAATAAATAAGAAAGTTCTTTAAGAATGACTTGGAGAGCATTTATTTAATATTTCTTTGCCTCGCAAATGATAGTGTCTCAGATCAAAAAGTCAAGGTTATTCTACTGGCGGGCCTAAAATTTTAAACATGAAAAATCTTTAATTTGCCATCTTTTAAATTATTACTACCAATACTGCCATTTCATCTGCTAATTATAATCATCAATTTCAGTGACAAATCGTATAACTTAAGATGAGTCCAATATGAGATAATGGATGGCTGAAGAATCATTTTTGTTACATGTTTAAAATATGATTCACTGAGAATATAGAGAATAGTAACAAATATCTTCTGTTATTTTAAGTTAATTTATTAGCTATTTAAGCAGAATAGACAACTGGCGATTTCAACAATAACAGTAGAACTAAGAGAGAAAATAAACGCAATAATAAAATTATTTACTATTATAATTCACGTAACTATCTTTCAAATCATGTACGCTCTACGCCTCTTATATGTTGCTGTGCTGTAAGAATAAATTTTACTAGAGTATGCATGTCCATACAACAATAGGCTGATTAAGTAGATTTTTATTATTTGCCTGCTCTTGACTTTGACGACCTAGTAATTGTTCTATATTCTACAATAGAAAAATACATCAA